AGAACTGCGTCAAAGGCGCCCTTGATATCAAGCGTAAGAAGAGAAGCCTCTTGCTTATCCCCAAGTGCTTTCTCTATATCAAAGGTAAGACAGGTTGTAAGGTCTGTCGCTGCTCGTAGAGGAAGTGCTCCGAACTGGTTCGGTTCAAGAACAGCGTACTTGATAGCAATCCAGGAAGCTCTCTTTGCTAGAAGCCTCTCAAGGCCCTTCCCTAGAACTGAGAGCAGAGAGATTGGCCGGTATGCTCGAGGGGACGACTTATCCTTCTTATTAGGCTTTGGGATAATAGCCACAATAGCTGTTCGGAAGATCTTTGGGTGGAAACCTGTCTCTATGCACCCTTTGAATAGTGAATAGACTAGGTGCGAGATGCTATCCATCCTATAAATATCCACCATCCAAGTCAAATTCACTGTTCAACGACCATTTCAAGAAAGTCGCTCCTATCACAAGTGAATCTCAATATCAATCGTAATAATTCAAAATTCATTCACTTGCCACCGACCTCCAACTTCCAAACCTTCACTCTCATCGAAGTGATGTAATAGAGTAGTATCTCCTTTAAGCTCATCACGAACCAAAAGCCCGAAGAAGTCATTCCGCTTGACTCTTGAGCAGTAAGAACCAGAGTTACGCTCCAATCCAAGTGAAGATTTAAGCTAACGTCTCACTTCGCCCGGACGCTTATGTAAATCGAATTCTTGCGGGGTTTCTGGCGTGGTTTTCTTGCTGTTCAATTAGATAAGTAAAGTCTTACAAGAGGGAAACCGTAAAGATTGGGAGATTCACTGTATTTACGGTGTAAGGAGGGAAGGGTGTAGGAATAGTGAGAGGAAAAAAGGGATTGTGCTGAATGGAATGATCATGTGCTCATCCAATACCCCCCTTTCTGCTCTGAAAAGATCTTTCAATCCTAGACACTTCACTACAACAGACTTGACAGAGCGAATATAATAATACATGAAATATTTTGTTGTCAGTGGTATACCGACAAGGTGTTTCCACCATATACAACAAGGTGGAACTGGTCTTCTACAGGTCTCATTCTCTTGTACAACCTTTAAAGGAGATACTATTATATAGTTCTCGTTCGCTCCCTTAGAGCTATTTTTCCTCCTTAATTCATGAAATGCTATTGTTATCCGGTCATTCTGGCATTCTCTGGCATTTTCACACATATACCTATCACCGTGTTTCTTCCATACAAAATTGAGAAAATAAATGGAAGGCAGGCGTCGAGTTAAGAGAGATAATACTCTCTAGGAGAGAATTTAGATCAGGCAGAACAAGATCATTGGGAAGCCACGGTAAGGACTGAATGAAATACTGGAGATAGTTATTGCAAGCCTTGATCAAAAAATGAAAGTCTAAAATTTGTCAATTTGATGCCGTAATAAAAGGCTTATGCCATCAAAGTCATTAATATTTTACATATTCTTACAGCAATCCCTTCATGAAACCCAGAATATTATTCTACAATCAGTCCATCCCGTTTGATACCCGGCCAGATCTACGTCTCGAACCATTTGGTCTTTCCACATCAGTGCCTTTCTCTTCAGATTTAATTGGCTTAGCCTTCTGTCGTTTTGCTGGTTTCTCTTCCTCCTCTTCCTCCTCCCCATCATCTTCCACTTTCACCTTTCGGGTAGCAGCTTTTCTCTTGTTGGAATTCGTAGTTGTTGATTTAGCCCCATTCTTAGTCACTTTCTTCACCTCTTCCTCAGATTCGTCCTCTTCCTCCTCTAGCTCCACTCCCGCCTCTTTTTTGGCAACAGATTTCTTTTTTGAAGCAGCGCTTTTCGATTTTCCATTTGTGGTCGCCTTTCCCTTCGTCTTGACAGCATCCTTCTCACTCTTCTCTTCTGCATCACTTGCGTCCTCGGACTTTATATCACCAGCAACGGCACCTGTCTTCTTCTGGATGCTTGGAACAACCGCACTTGTTCTTCCACCCACGGTGAGATGTACAATCTTCGAACCATCCGGCATAGTTGTCGGTGCGTCTTTCTTTCCTTTGCCCCATCGATGATTGAAAAGCCAAACTTCAGGAAATTTACTCGAGTCTCCGAGGACATCTACTGCTGTCTGACAAACATAGCGTATCGATTTGTGAAGTTGCTTGATTTGATCTGAACTGAACGTATTGCTGTATTGTTCGGGGTGGAGTTTTGCATTATACAGGATCTCGTCTCTGTAAGAAGTGATTAGTATGGCAGTATGTCTAAAGAAATGAGCAAACATACCCAACCCAATTGCCAATACCGCTAATATTCGCCTGGTCGAGCATCATAGCTTTGATGGGAACCTTTTTGCTATTCATCTTCTTTTCGAGCCATTCAACCGTCAAAATATCTTTATCAATAACAGGATCCGGACCGTTCTCCTTCAATGGTGTATGTTGCCGAATATCATCACCAGGGCAGTCAACCAATCTTATTCTCCCAAAACGCCGGGAATCTGTAAATGCAGCTTCAGCCTTGGATGCCCCGTCAGTCTCCAACAAAAGTTTTGTATATTTCGGAGGCCATTCTTCGTCAGACGATGCGTGTGAGCGGAAGTTAATTGTACGTTCTCCGCGAACATAGAACCAGCCTGACTACATCAGTGATTGGTACAATCATGACAGACTGAGCTCTTACCTGTCATGCCGAAGTGAAAGACTGGATGAGGAGGCGATGCCATAACCAGCCTAGCAACCTAATCAACACTTTGCAACACCGGAAATTCCACAAGACTAACCAGAAGTATTTCCCTTGCTGACCAGCCCCCAGCACTTTCTTGCCCATCAATGCCTTTTGAACCTCAGCGGCGGTTGTGCCAACCTTTCCGTATACATTGGCGTCATCGTGGGCTTTGACTAAGGAGAGTATCTTGCCTGAGAGGCTCTTCCGAAGGAAATGGACAGCGCGAGCAACTATTGAGATGTCAGTTGTGGTCAACAGGTCCCACGCGCCGGAGAATACGTTTACCTTCTGCGATTTCGGGCATTGTAGTTGCGGATATCAGATGACCATGAGAGCTTGGATTTCTCGGAGCCTCCACTGCCAGAAGCAATTAAGGAGTGCGGTGTTGACTTTGGTGGTTGCAAATGTAACTATTCGCAAGCAATCAACATGACTTCAGATCGATGACGAGCAGGCGAGAAGCGCGTCTACAAGACTAGGTGGGGCTGTGGAAGCACGTTAAAACGTGACTTGCCTGCACTTTTCCGTCGGTCTGGGGAGTCGGGACTCGGGAGCTGCATATCGGAAGTAACCCCGGCAAATCAAACGTGAGGTGGGCCCCGGACCAAGGTTCTGCAGCAGCACGACAGCACAACAGCCGAGGCCCCATCTCCTACCTGAACTCAAGTGCCTCCGTACCTACTCCTCCGATTCACCCGCGGCAGATCACAAGCCATCTCCATCCCCATCCCCATCCCCATCCATCACTTCCACATTCTTTGTCGAACAACTCACAACTCACAACTCACCCTCACCCGTATTGTTTTGCGATACTCAACCCCTAATCTACGACTCCTCGAAGTCAACACCGCCACCTCTTGAGCCAATATCACCACACAACACCTCGCACCTCGTCACGATGGTTGCTGATTCCCTTGCCTACCACCCCACAGTGGACCACTACCTCAAGTTCGTCGCAACCACCGTTGGACGCGACAAACTCCTTCGAACTCTCCAATACTTTTCCAGATTCTACGCCTGGTACCTCTTCCGTACCAATGCCACACCTGGCGAGATTGCCCCTTTCGAGGCCATCAAGAAGCAATTCGCTCTCGCGCGCAAGCTCATGCGAATTGGCAAGAATGTCGAGCACCTAAAGGCCGCTGCCATCGCCTCGAATTCCAAGAGCTTGGACCCGATCATCAAGTACTGCGCTGTTGGCAGACAGTTGGGCTATGCAGGTTACTTGACCCTCGATGCTGCGACTGTTCCTGACGTGGCCGGCATTCGGAAGTTCGAGGGGGCCGCTAGACTTGCCAAGGAGGCCTATAGATGCTGGATGTTTGGATTGTTGTTCAGCACCATGAGCAGTGTTTATTCCCTTTATGGATTGAGACAGCAGCAGGCACGAATTGACAAGAAGGATGGCGAGGGTGTTGTGACCCTCAAGAGAATTGAAAAGTATGCCATACCCCAGTCCCCGACACCCGAATCACATGCTAACACTCAACCCAGGGAACGAGCCGCCATCAACCTTCAACTGATTTCCGACCTTTGCGATCTCACCATTCCAACTTCCGCCATTGGGTTGATTGGATTTGATGATGGATTTGTCGGTCTGGCTGGAACGGTGAGCAGTTTACTAGGTCTTTACAGCCAATGGAAGAAGACCGCCTAAATCGAAACCCTTGCACCGCTACGACCTTGGATTGGTTGGAACCAAAATGTATTTTAGCTGGGGGCTTTGGGTATCAGGCGGTGGGGCCATCGAATGTGGTTATGTTATCCTGAATCCATACGCTGCGAGATTGCCCCACCTTGGGAGTGCCAACGTGGTACTCGGGATTTTCAAGCAACACTTTGCTTTTCTACGCAACGAATCTGAAGGATTGACCGAACGTTATCATTTGGTTCTTTCATGTTTTGCATGAAATTGGAGGTTTCGGATTTTGGGGGTTACTTGCACTTTTCGCCGGCGCATATTCTGGGGCTTGGATTTAGACCATTTTATCATTTTGATTCCAAGGCTCGCTCACTCATTTGTGTATATTGGTAAGCTGAATCGAATTAACTTTATTTTACTCATTCTCTTTTTTGCTACCAGAATACGTTTTGCGAAATTACAATCCTCCCTGCTCTCAAGTTAACACTAGCCCCACCCTCGGGTACAGATTTAACCCTCAGACACAACTACCGGTACAACAAATTCTGAGACTTAATCCTTATTTATCACCCCCAAGTGAAAGGTAAGACGGCAAGACAACGATCAGCTCAGGCTGATAGCAGACTTGCAATAGCAACTATGCCATTCTCTTTCTCTCCCAAATTGAGATGGTCAAATCGTAGGGTGTATTTCAGAGTAAGATGGTTTGTGATTCGAGATTTCTTTTCTGATATTCATCAAGGTATGATACAGCTGAGAAATGAATGAGGGTCTTGCGGCATATCAAAAGATCTTTCGTTCATTTTCCAGTTTCAAAACTATCTTTCGCCAACTTTTTATTTGCTTGCTTCAAAGTATCCAAATACCACTCAGCATACACTCCTATGTACACCCTCACTCATTGGTCTCTTTCCGCCTCTTCCTTGGCCTTTCTTACTGCTATGCTCTCCGGAGCTGGAGTGTGTCTTCTCAGCACTAGTATCCTTTCGCTGGCTCAAAATACTCAAATCCGTCTCATCATTTTCCTATGGTCAAAGCATTAGCAATCACCCCTTTCACTTGATATACAAAATGAACTCACAATCAAACTCTGCGTCGTCTCACAGATATCCGAGATCAACCTATCCAAAAGATCCAAACTCATACTCTCCCTCACCACAACCCTCAAAATCTCAAGATTATCGGCTTTAGGAGGCAAAGGATAGTTTGGGATAATGTACTGCTTTGCACGTAGCAAGTTGCTGACGCTAACTTGCTTGATATGCGGGAATTCATTTTTGAACTCGTCGCTAAAGCGGAATGCTACGACTGGGAGTCCGGCGTTGTAGTCGGCGGATGTTTCGTTGTCGGATTCGTAGACAGGGAGAGAGGGGTTGAACGAGTGGACTCCCTTCTTGCGATGGATTGAGGATACGCAGGTGTACCAGCCTGTTGCTTCGAGAGACTTGGAAAGAAGTCGTGCGTTGGAGAGACAGTTTTCCATGATTGAGCGGTAGCCGTTGAAACCTAGGTGAACTAGATTGTAATATTGGGCGATGACTTGTGCTCCTGGTCGGGAGAAATTGAGAGTGTATGATTCTTCAGTTCCTCCTAGGTAATGCTAATAACATGTTAGTAAGCGAGTGCAACCTTGGATTGCAAAAACACTTCTCTCACAAGCTCAAAGATCAAATGTTTCGGAAGATACGACTCATCCCTCCAAATAATCCATCCAACACCCGCATAAACAAGTCCAAACTTATGTCCAGAAACATTAATAGACTTCACACGAGGAAGTCGGAAATCCCATTTCGCTCCCCCAGCACCCGCATTCGTGAACGGCGCCACAAAAGCCCCCGAAGCACCATCAACATGAATCGGAATATCGACACCCGTCTTCTTCTCATACTCATCCAAAATCCCACTAATCTCCTCAACCGGCTCGTAATGCCCCGTATACGTACTCCCCAGAATAACAAACACCCCAATCGTGTTCTCATCGATATTCTGCCTCACCAACTCGGGGTCAAGTCTGTACTCGCTCTTCTCACACACGGGTAAGATACGAGCCTCGACCTCGAAGTAGCGTGCGAATTTCTCCAAGGCGACTTGGGCGTTGGCACCCATTATGATGTTGGGCTTGAAGGTGTCTTTTCCGGCTGCGGTGCGCTTTTCTTGCCAGCGGCGTTTCATGGCCAGGCCGCCGAGGTGGATGGCTTCTGAGGAGCCGGTTGTTGCTGAGCCGATGGCTTTTTCGCCTTTTTGGACGCCCCAGAGGTGGGCGAGGATGCTGATGCAGCGGGCGTGGATTCTGGGGTTTGGGTTACTATGTGATTTGGGGAGTTGAGGGTAAGGTGCTTACTGCATCATTGCTGGGTATTCGTCTGCGTCGCTCTGGGATATATGAGGTTAGTTTCTTTCTGTAGAGGATATAGTGTTTGTTTCCTTACCATGTTTTTGGCAATATTCTCAAACATCAATTTCTGAGCGTTCTCTTCCATATAAGTACCACTATTTCAAGCATCAGTATTCACGCTCCCTCCAAAGCATTCCCCATCTATTCTCTTACACAAAACTATCCAAAAGTTAGCACATCCCATCCCAAATAAACCCAAACAAACATAATCAACAAACCTCGCCAAATTCAAATTCGGAATCCCATCCAGATCCAACTCATCCTTAATCATCTGATGCACCGCATCGGCCGGCGCACCCTCCTCGCTAATCTTGAACTTCGGGATCTCCTGTTTACTCGCGAAGCGTGTGGAATAGGGGGTTGTGGCGAAGGCCCCGCCTTGGGTGTGTTTGTGGTGTCGGGCTGCTTCTTTCATGTGCATGTGTGAGAGGTTCTCGATGAGTTCGTCGGGGTCGATCTGGATTTTGGATATTAGAGGAGGGATTTATGTTTGGGGAAAAGAGAAGAGGGATAGCTGCGTACGTGGCGTGCGAGAGACATTTTGAGGGGTTTTTTGAGAGGTATCAATTGGGTGTGGTTTTGGGGATTGGGATTATTGTAGTAGCAAACAAGCAATAATGTTTTTATGAACTGTGTAAGAATTCAAGAGTGGTTTAGTAAGTAAGTATAAGTAGATATCCATTCAACTGTAAATCTTACACATCCCTCTTACTTAATATACATATGACGACACTCCGGACCTTCTAACCCATCAGCCCACCTGTGGGCACTTTATCGTCGTCCTTTACAGTAACCCCACATCCCAATCCATAAAAACATGCAAATCTAGACGTTCTCAAAGGAGTGTCATTGGCTGTTGATATTTCTACGAGTTGTCTTTGTCATATTGTCCTAGGGCTGAAAAGCTTGATTTCGCCTCCCTTGACGAGTCGTCGACTCGTCCGGGTTGTCCGGGTTTTATCCGTGCGGTTGGTGGTGTGGTGTGGTTCCGTCATCTTTTTTGAGAGGACCCCACTTTTCTTTTGTTTGGTATGGATTTTATAATTTTTATTGTAGCAACCCTAGATGCTGAGTTACTGTAGTAGGGAGTGTATTAACGGCAAATGAAAAGGCATTCTGCACCTTTTTTATACCTAGATAATGTGTAAAATTTGGTTGGGAGACAATTATGCTGTCCCCTTTCTCAATTCCATATTTTTCACCTCTCAGCTCTAGAACCCTCCTCAAATATAGCAGTAGAATCACTCTTGTTTCTGAGAGTCAATAGATGTTGCCCTTGACCAAAATAGCAGGAGGTTTTATAAAACCCCAGAGCCTGTGGAAACAAATAAATTACACACAAGAAGACTTGCAAAAGTAGCCTGTAACGTACTAGTAGACGCCCAAATAATTGGTACAAGAAGATTTATTGATTCGTGTGCAGTCCGTGAAAGCCACTAGCCAAGGAGAGCAGGTACGAAGAATGATTTTCGCAATATATAAAATTCAATTTATTTAATTTTGAAGAAATATATGGCTAGAATGAGAAACCTCTGCCACAGATCCGGATCTGATTGAAGCATTATCCGATGGTAAAGAGCTATGTCACTCTTATTAGGAAGATTTAAGTGGATATCCAAGGATCAATGTATAAGATTGTTAGCATCGAAGAACTATGACTGTTAGGAAATAAGAAAGATTCTCGCTCTTTTCACATAGTTCGCACAATACACGTGAGCAAAGCGTGACCTTCAAACATAAAACCACAATTTTCAATAAAGAGAACCCCAATTATCTGTTTTACAAGAGGCATATGAGTTTTCCAGGAGGCATATAAGACTTACCCTCATAATCACTTCCCCCTGCCTCGGTATTTTCTGACTGCACTTGCCCTCTCCCTTTCTAGTCATGTGATACAATATCTGGTCTTCTCGGGCTAGGATTGTATTACTTTATTATGGTCACCATCTGAGAACTTCACAATCCTTTTAGCCTATATCGTTCAACACTCTTATTGGAAGTAGTATATGCATGGAAGATTTGATCTGACCCAATCGCTTAAGGAGGCCTGACACCGTAACACAAGGCTTACAGACGCACCTCCACCGAGAAAATAAGTAGATAAGCTTGCCCAACAAGTGTAAAAGATTTCTCATACTTGTCTGTTTTCTCACTGAGAATCCAACAAAGCTGAAACAAAAAGTCACTTATTTTGCGGTTACCTTACTACCTCAGACACCCGTGAATGAAAAAGATCCTCAATCGCACGATGGGATTGTCATACGATAACCACAACGGCCCAGCTGCCTTATATTCCTCACCATTCACAAGCAGCAACAATTCAAGTTTTGCTTCTCACAACCATTTTCTGCATTCTCCTTCGGGTTCAGCACCGCGTAAACTACAGCAGCCCACCGAAGAACAATGGGCCTCTTTGAAACCAATAATCGGAGACTTGTACATCCGCAAAGACACCACGCAAAAAGACCTTCTCAGACTCCTGGGTACGAAGTATGGGTTTAAAGTCACGCAAGGTTTTGCCTTCTTCCACATGAAGCTTCCAAGTACAGCACTGATAACAATCAAGTCCCAAGCAACTTACGAATCGATTGAAAGCTTGGGGTTTTTGGAAAAATATGACCCAGCGTCACCGAAATAGAATGCAGCATCCCACAGAAAGCTCTTGGACGAATGGCTTCGCGGGGGCTCCTACGATTAAGGTGATACCCGCGAAAGTGAGGCGTCGGGGGAAAGAGCGGCTTAGAAGGAATGACCATGGAAGTTTTTGCGATTCACAAGTTCTAACGAGTATGTTCTCTATATAGAGAGATTTTTTCGATGTACTGACATATCACAGCAACATCACCGGGTATTGATCCGGGTATTGATCCGGGTATTGATACCATGGTGGTCGACAATAGGGATGATCTTTCGAAGACCACGGCGGCACAGTCATCCTTGTCCAATTGGGAATTTGTCTCTTGGGATTCTGTTGATGTCAATAACTCCCCAAAACTCACCCGATTATTCTCTCAGTTGAGTCTTGAAGAAATTCCGATACTTGAACTTTCACCATCAACTTCGCCGACCACTTCAACAGCTATCGTGACACAGTCGCAGTACGTGAACTGTTGCGAATTCGACAAGAGATTTTCAGATAGAACTTCGTCGTCTTCGAGTTATAATGCTCATAATTTAAAGGAGTCATCACCAGGAACTCGCCCTGCTTGGCCGTTCAAGTATGCTGATGTTGACTTCCCGCTGCCGTATTTTTCAAGATGCTCGTCTCCAAGCCCCTTTAACGAAGTTTACATCCTCCCCACCCACCCTAATCCAACACGCGATTCGCGAATGGTGAAATACACAGCGACAGACAAAGAACTTTTAGAGTGTGAATCAAAGCTCCTGCATCTCAAGAACACGAGGCTTTTTTCGGTCTCCGATTCCAGGATTTTGGAAATCACCCGATTCCTAGTGTAATCCTTCCTCTCAGTAGGCTTCGTCAACAGAGCAGAGTACTGGTGCAAGCAACTTCTTCACAATATCGACTCTTCTCAAGTTCAAGATTAAGCTGAAACCTTTACAGACAGGTTGAAACTCGCTGAAGCGATTTGCTACCGAGGGCGTTATCGAGAAGCACTAGCGATACTAAACGGGGTGGAGAAAGACCTAATACGACTTCTGACATCTAGCGGTGAGATCCTCATTCGTTTCTTACTTTTGAATGGCAGAATTCTTGGGCGTTTAGGAGACCATGGAAATGAAGAAATACAAGTCAGAACTACACTCCAGAACTGTCTCACTTTATTTGGGCCAAGCCATACCAAGACCTTGGAGGCCATGCATAGACTCGCCTTTTCACTCCAAGCTACAGGGAGAATCGAGCAGAGTGAGAAGCTCTTGAGGATTGCAGTTCAGGTTGGGGAGAAAAGCTCTCTCACAGTATATAAGGTAATACCGTTGTTAGCTGCATTGAGATATAAGCAAGGGCACAACGAGGACTCTGTTTTACTGTGTAGGAAATCTATCCAAAGGTTAAAAGCACAAGGTAGCACTGTGGAATATGGAATAATCCGAGGAGAAATATGCGATAGTTTGTGGTGCATTACTCACGCGCTGCTGAAACAAGGAAATATACGGAAGATCATCGAAATGTTCGAACAATACATGGAGTGGCATATTCTCCGAGATATACCAGTGATGTCTAATATTCTGTATTGTCTTGGGGAAACATGTTCTATGTTCTACTTTTCAGGAAGACCATGAGGTTAGACAGCTAGTCTCATTTTTGAAAATGTTTGACAAGGAATATGGGCTAGAGAACGCACTGGAGGCTTGTCACAGGCATATAAAACAGTTACAAGAAGGTTCAGAAAATCCAAGCTTCGGGGATCGCATTTTGTGGTATATCAATTATCTCGAGGAGTGGTATCAGGAACAGAAAGATAAGGAGGAAGTTCAAGTATCTGAGTTTGCGAGGGAACTTGTTACCGACGGCATTATGGATGATGAATAGAAGTAAACTGTGATAGCCCATCGACTTTCAATCATCAATAATAATTCTCAATAACTCATTCAATCAAACATTCATGTTCACGTAAGAAGATATACTGTGGGCCTTGCAACTAGAAATCAACCCCCAGGAGGATGAAAAGCAGCCCAAGCCTGAGCAGAAGAAACAGCTAACGAGGCAACTGCAAGAAAGACACTAATGGCACCGAAGATGACCACAAGCCAGAAAGTCCAGAAATCTAAGATCATCAGTTCCGCTGAAGTGGATCAGGTGCATGAGAAACTGACTGGCCACATTCCGTTTATCCCGCCATAAATCTCGAAACCCCTTTGGTTGCTGCCTGTTCATGCTGGTGGTTCATTTTAGCAGAGATAGCCACAAAGATCGAGTTTGCAACTTACTATGCGTGAAGTTCTCTCAACCTGTTACCATAAATCGGGAATCTTTCGTATGGGACCTGTGCCGGCAACTATTTTGTCCGTAGGTGAGCACTCAAGTGGCCCAGAACATCGCCACACATAGACTTGAACTTTTCATTTTCTAGCGTCCGTCAGATTATAGTTAGAACGGCCCAAGCTTAGAATCATGTGTTTTCTTGTATCGACTTACCTCTAACTGCTTTCCAATCAGTGACTAATCGCAGTGTAGCTCTATCTGCTCGAGGTACCCCATTTGAAGATTTACGATAGGGAAACCATGGTGGTTTTATTGCATTGTAAGCGGAGAGAAATGCCTCACTTTCGATGATATCTCCGTTGTCAAAAGCAAATAATATACGCCAAGTTTGCATCACTTCGTTCCATATATCATCTTTTTCCAACCACTTTCCACCATGGTCCCATGAAACTGAACACAAATGATCAGCTCTTGCCTAAGGAACCTACTATGATTGATGTTACCATAAGTTGCGTATGACCTATTGAACCAGAAGGTATCTAACGTATATTCACCTAAATATTCCCAAAGGTATAAATGTTTGTTCGAACTGTTGACCCCTTAAGTATGTAAGCTGCGAAAAGATTGACGAGAGTATTGACATTATACGATAAGAAAGCACAGGATAAGTGAAATAATCAGCAAGAACATTCTCAAAACTTACATCTGATCTTTATTTTGCCCAAAGAATGTAGCGAAGTTATTCCCAGGTTGCCTATTGTAAAAGAAGATTCTTTGAGCTCGTCATGTGATAGTTGCTGGCCGGCAGCAAAGTCTCGAGCATTTCTAAAGCCACCTGCGGATTCTTCTAATGTGGTGTAGAGGCACCGTATTATATCTTGAGCTCTGGCATGCGTTCTTGGATGGCCACAGTATATCTCGCGGATCTCATTAGAGCGTATGCCGCCAAAGCAGTCATCCTTAGTGGGGTAAATATCCCAAATGTCAAGAGCGCGCAAGATTTCAACTATAACCCAGGCGTTCAATGCGTGTGTCTGAGGCTGCGTCAAACGTATAGACGAGTCATTTGAAAAGACGGGATTATCATGAATACGCCACCCGAACATGCGTCGAGGTAGTTCGAGAGTTTGGTCAAGTATTCCTCTTGCATAACATCTTTTAAGCAAGGTTGCAAGAGGATGTTGCTCCTGCTCCTTTAGGTGCTCTACCAGAATGAGGGCTCTTTTCCTTGTACCTAAACGTTCCAAGTAATTTTTGAAAATATCATTCAATGACACGTCGACAATTGGCACTTGGACAGACGAATGAATGAGATTGACATGGCAGTGGCCATATCTGGAGGTCTCCTCAGCATTCGGGTACAAGAGAGAAAGTAACACTTCAGTCGCTGATCCCGACAAACAATTTGGCCTCCCATTAGATTTTTGCCTTCTTCCGGTGAGATGCCAAGTTTCTGTAGGTCCGTACTGTTTAAGTTCCCATTCTGCATCCTCTTTTTCTACTTCTTCAAGACTCATCACCTGGACTGGTTCACCAAGCCAGGGAGTTTGGCCGTTTGGGTAACCGTAGTTATTGAATGCTCCAAAAACCGGGCGCTTCACATATCTACCATTCTCTTGTGGGATCCGACGAAATTTTGCCAGAGCTCGATCGTTCTCCTCCTTATTACTAGAACATCCAGCATTAGGAAAGATACCGTGGTACAATATGTCCACGTTTGACTCAGATGAATCAAATGGTGCTTCACGCGGGTTCCGAAGACCGAGTTCGACGTCAAATCCATCGCTCCTTCCCGCTCGACCTTGCGATTGCAGGCTCTGTATCAGAACCTTGCTCCACGCTTTCATCAATTCCTCGACCGTCTTTCGCCGGACGCCCATAATTAAATCGCCCTCCACTCGTACAGAGCTGATTGAACGTGAATGATCTGATACGTGATTTGCAGATTCTGGGTCAGGTTGCTCGTTAGGTCGATTTCCTCGTTCGCCATCATCAGGTTGTGATTGCTCAGCGTTCTCTGGAAGTACTGCTGCACAACTCGTTGCAATGTCGCCCCTCGATGCCTCTGTAAATTCTACGGTGTCAGCCGTACCGCAAGCTTCACTCTTCTCTTCTTCCCCTAGCAATGAAGTGGCTTCGTCTTGCATTTTTGCTAGCATATAAGTGCTGCTAAAAAAAATTGGGTTGCGGGAAGGAACGAAGTGGGTGGAAGTGGGAGAATAATAATGGTACCTAAGGTAGGTAGGGCAAATGCACAAGGTGTGGTAACACAGTATGCATGCAAATCGTCAGGAAATCACACGCAACGTCACAGAATTCTGCACTCTTTAAAATAAAAGTCACAGTACTAGATTATTGGTACGGTATTCTGATTGAACAGAAAGACCAATCAATAATAAAATAATTGCAAATCACAACACTCATGTTCCTAATGCTGTCGTGCCTATGGCCCCACACCCACCTCACACTCACACTCAGACTCCACGTGAGATCATATATTACTTTTTCACTGTCCCAACCTGACCGCCATACCTACGCTGTTGTCCATCTGCTTATTTTATAGAGTCCCTGCCCTAGTACATCATTTAGAAGAGAAGGAATAAGAAATCAGAGGGCAGAAGCGGGGTAATTATTCTCGCTGTGCATGTCTTCGCTTAATTCCGAGCCCCCTAATACCACCTTCTTAAATAGGATAAGCTTGCTCACGTTTTGGGCTAATGAACTGATTGTTACTTACCTGTCAACGGATGCAAATGTCTGGAGCTGCGGGGGAACCTTGGTAGGCCTCAGGATTTGGAAATGACCAATTGCTATAACTACATAGCTGTAGCTTGCGATTCCACGGAAGAGCATGCTGAAGCCGAGGAACTACTTAAGAAGTCGAGTCACATCCTTGTACAGAAATACGATGAATTCCATACTAGTCTGCTAAGTCAAATCTGATCGCTGTACTTTAAGTTCTCATATTTTGAACGAGCTTTTTCAAAAACATCTCTTATGTTTGGCAGGAACCGGGCTCCAGCGTAACTCTGCAAGGGGCATATGGTGATTATTAAGCATGGCATATATGCTGAATGACTGGTGAGCATACTCAAAGAAACCTTCAGGGCCTGTGACTGTCCTAGGACCTCAATGAGAGTGAGAGACCATTAATGAAGCAAATGGTCATGTGACCAACTTATGTCATACCAGCCACTATATATGCCAGTTCTCCTCCAGAGTTCTGGCATAATCAACCACCAACTTAATATAAATTCTTTCATCATCATCATCAGTTTGACCTCGTTGTCTGACCCGTGACGGACTGTACGGGTAAACCAACTAACTGACTGGAATAGCTAACAAGAATCGTGTGACTTGTATCAGGGACCGCGGGTGGGGAAAAAGAGAGTCCAAAAAGTGCGAAAGACATGAGGAGTTAAGGTGGGAAGCACCCCTTATATACTCCTCGTGTGCACTCAGGCCCCAATCCATCTCCAAGAACCCGAACTACTCACGTAATCGGTTCTCAGTCCATGACTACGAAGAGTCTCTGGTCACAAAGGATGCTCGATGAGACCACAGTGTATCTAGAAAACTATAGTACAAATTCCAAGAGTTGGTATCCATTGGTGTTATGAGTCGATTAAGCTAGGTGACAGTACAGTAGGACTAGGACTGACCAGATATATTCGTAGTACAAATCAAACAAAAGGGAACCTCTACATCCGCTGGGACAAGATAGCGCAAGCAGCAGAAAATGTGGCTCTGGCTAGAGAAGCACTCCATGACTCTGGTGGTGCTGCTTCCATCATCGGCGTTCCGTACTTATCTGGAACAGTAGCATGGTTTCTTATCGAGCCTGCTCCATTGCTATGGAGCAGAACAATGTGGTCACTGCCATTGATGAGGCGCAGATGGCTTTAGCTATTGCTACTCGTACAATCTACAAGATTCCACCGCAGATGCGAGTACGCTTTCCTACTACCTAATGAACGCATACCTTATGGACCCGGACAAGTACCAGAAGGAAGCGTATGAGCAACTTAAGAGGCACACAGGCTTCGGAAGCTAGTGCCGCCGAGGACGACGGACTTGAACGATGAAAGCGATGAAGCCTTTGATATTCTTGTTCATACCATTATGAGGTAAATGTTGAGGTACTTGACAGACATACTAAATCTCCTGATGTATTCTAGTGTTCCTTTAAAAATGGGCTGTGCATCAAACCAGCATCGCCCCTTTTCCTAGCACGGCCTCGCTCGCTTAACATACTTGATCCATTTAAGGTTCCAATAAGCGAGAAACAACCAAAACAAGGGATTTGGCTACAATATAACAATGGAACCGAGTTCTCGCTTTTCCAATGCATACGGCAGAATCTTCAATTTTGTTACTACATAGCTCCACATCGTATCTCTCGCAATGTGGAAGAGTTCAAGAATAGTAGAATAGGAATACGTTATCTCTCAGCACTCTCTCTTAAAACACCAAGAAAAATCAGAGTTCTCTTCTTTATAGCACACTTTTAACGTCCGCTCCCTGCCAGATCAGTGCAGTCATAACATAAGACCATTCCACTAATAACCTTTCCTTTCCTGATCTTTCCAAATCACTCTACTCACATACTTCACTATAACCTCCACTTAAGAATCGCGAAAATAACGACTCCTACACACAAAATCTCACCAGGCAAATGCCCGAGACAACCACATGATTCTAATCAAACTTCATCAAACCATCTAGCAAAGACCCTATCACCTATACACCTACTTATCTTATAGCAAAACCGGGGATAGAACCGTGGAGATAAAGGGACAGAGTATTTTCGTCTCATGTCTTCAATCTTAGACTTCGATTTCCAAATTTCCGAATCCAGTATTTACTCGCCCTAGCTTACTATATTACTTCATTGCATATCACGAGTTACAGTAGCTCAAGTTTGGACTGGACAGTAGAGTAACCACTGAAACCTGAATAATTTTATATTTCTCTCAAACTCTCTCGGTGTCTCTGTCCGTCTCACAGCAAAGCAATACTAGCACTACACTGCACTGCACTATTATATCCTTCCCTCTCTTTTCCTCTTCTCATCAAAACAACCCCAAAATTAAAGAAACCAATTCCATCATATCCTATCCCATCCTAGCCAGAACATACCACAGTGCATACCACACTTGGTCCCATAAAACCCAAGGCTTTATCTAGTGAAAGCTAAGGCTAATGGTAAAGCCGAAGCTAAAGCCTCACAACACTAACATCCAAAATACCCTTCTCACCCCTCAACTCCGCCTCTACATCCTTTTCAACTATTCCCTATATCCTTGTCAGCATTCATATCAATTTCCATTTACCTTCCACCATCCCCCTTCCATCGCTAAACAATCCCAGCCTCCGCCCCCCCTTCCTCCCTAAGAAGAACAGAAAGAAAACCAAGAAAAGAAACTGACCTCAACACCCAAAATCATCAACGCCTCATTCTCCCCATCCCCTCCCTCCACCTTTCCCTCCTTCTCACCCCCTTCCCCTTCTCTCTCCCCAGCAGTCCCCCCTTCAAGCGCAGCCACACTCATAAACCTAATATTCACCCCATGCCTCCCCAAAATATTCCCCACCCCCCCAATCTTCCCAGGACGATCATAATTATGGAGCACCACAAGGGTCCCCTGCGGCACAAAAAAGGAACTAAAGCGATCAAGACGCGAGATATATCCCTGCTTCCCAGATACATAGCCAGAGATAACACCTCCACCTCCACTTGCACTCCCACTTGCACTTCCACCCACCCCCTCCCCACCAACACCAGTAGCCCTCAAAGTCACCAGACTAGCATAAACCAACTCCTCACTAACCCCCTTATGAACCTCACTAACCACAATCCCCTTCCCCTTCGCAATCAACCCCGCATTAACAATATTCACATCCCTTCCCTCACTCACACTAACACTCCTCACCAACCCCTTCACCAACGCCGCAAAAAGCGGCCTCGTATTCCCCACCCCCGCCAACTCCCCCTCATACACCAAATCGAACCTCTTCCCCCCTCGTGCCTTCCGCCCAAAAAGCTGCGTGTACAAACTCCCCATCTTCTCCACCAGCTCCACAAACGGCTGCAGCTTCCGATACTCCTCGGGCAGGATGAGGGGCGCGTTGACGGCTGAGGTTGGGAGTCCGCCGGAGAGGACGGTCAGGACTTGTGTGCAGACGTCTAGGGAGACGTTCTCTTGTGCCTCGATGGTGGAGGCGCCGAGGTGGGGTGTCGCTACGACCTTGGGATGGCGGGCGAGGGCTTCAGCTGCGGAACTGGGGGTGGGTGGCTCGGAGGTGAAGACATCGAGGGCTGCTCCTGAGATTATTCCCGAGTTGAGAGCGGAGAGGAGGGCGGGTTCGTTGTAGATGCCTCCTCGGGCGACATTCAGGACCTTGGCGGTGGGCTTCATGAGAGCGAGTTCGGCGTGGGAGATGAGATCGAGGGTGCTGGCGATGAGCGGCGTGTGGATGGTGAGGAAATCCACGGCAGGGAGGAGATCACTGAGGTTCTCGACGAGGGTTACGGATGCGGAGGAGGCGAGCTCGGGCGAGGCGTAGGGGTCCATGGCGAGGACTTTCATACCTAATCCTGTTGCCATGCGTGCCACCTTCATGCCCACCTTGCCTAATCCAATGATTCCTAAAGTCTTCCCTCCAACCTCAGTCCCTACCAGCTTTCCCCTCTCCCACTCCCCGTTACGAAGCGAGCGATCACCGGCTGGTATATTCCTCGCTACCGCCATCAGCAACGCAATCGTATGCTCCGCCGCCGCAACGATATTCCCACTCGGACTATTGACTACAATGATTCCATGTGAAGTCGCGGCTTCAACGTCGACATTGTCTACGCCTACACCTGCTCTCGCTACGACCTTTAGGTTCTTCGCGGAAGCGAGGAGGGAGGCTGTGACTTTCGTCTCGGAGCGGATGATTAGAGCGTGATATTGAGGGATTATCTCGAGGAGAGCTTCCGCGGTGAGGTTCTTTGGTTGGTCTATTTGAAAGTGGGGACTTAGGAGGGCGAGACCGTCTGGGGAGACTTTTTCGGGGATGAGGATTCGTGGACGAGGGGTGGTAGAGGGGGAATCTTGCGGGTCGAGTGCGGAGGGTGCCATTTTGTTTTTGGTTTTCGTGGTCGGTAGGGAGGGAGATTTTGTTTATCCAACGGTGATAATGAATTTGAATCCTCCTCAATTCCGTGGATGCAATAGGAGTCTCAAGTAAGTTAAGAACGTAGTTAGAACAAACTATGCAGTCTAGAGGCTATCAGTAAATGCGGGGTATAGAAGAAGTGAATCCAGCAAACCGATTTTTCTAAAATCTCTCCGAAGCGAGAAGGTTTCAAAATGATACAGTGGTACAATTGAAGAGAAACAATTGATCAGAGTAAGACAAGATAGAAAAGGAGAAGTGGAGAATAGGGATTACAACAGTCGCAAGCGACATTGGGAAGTAAAATGGTGGGGTAATACAGTACCCCGCCCCCGCGTTCTATGCACGAGGTTAGTCCATACAGAGGAAGGATCTCAAACGCCACAGACTTACCCCACCATCCAGGAACGAGTATTCACTCACTCGGATGCACCTTGTAGACAAGGTAGGTGGCGAGGCCACATACATAATGGCTTCTTGTAAGCAAGAGTCAAGTCACGTGAGTTGGACAACAAAGGGCTTCGGGTAACACGGCATGGATACTCGGTAAGAGAAAATGGGGGGTTTCTTTCTTTATGCTCATTTGACACGTACTTCATGCAAGATGAAGATTTTGTTCTACATGCGATATTTGCTATCCGATTTGGCAAGACTGTCATTTTGGATAACTTCAATCCCTGCGAAGTATTCGTGTTAGCTATGTACCTTTGTTGTTGTTACAGATTTCAGGAGAAAGAATAGAGAAAGAAGAGCAGGCTCGAATAAGCTCGAGCTTGTTCATCTGGTGTTATTGACTTACAGTAATTGTCCGGGTCAAGCACGAATGCGACGTTTCTCATGCGACCATCAGTGAGTCTCTTCTTCCAGTTCACACCCAAATCCTCGAATCTTTGGCAAGCAGCATCCAGATCGTCAACAGATACACCTATTGCAATTAGCTTTACGATGAAACGAAGGATGAGATATACATACAGATGTGACCAAACCCTTGCGGCTCATCGTTTCCATTATGGTACTTGAAATCAGCATCTTTCTCCGTGCCATAGTTCCAGGTCAACTCCAATAATCCCTCACGATCCGAAGTAATGGTATTTCCTTCCGTGGAAGACTTTGAAGAACCTTGCTTGCCAGCGTATCCCAAAAAGTAAAGATTGAAGTTGGCACTCTTATTTTCACTGGTTCGGAAAAGCTCCATACCCATAACTTCCTTGTAAAACTTCAAAGACTTTTCATGATCCTTGACTCGAATCATAGTGTGGTTCTGTGAATCGTTAGCGGATGGAATATCAAATTTGAAGATACCAACCATTCTATACGTCTGCAGATCAGTCGTGGTAATACCCTCGGTCTTTTCAACAGGTTGTTGACCAATGATTTCAACCCAATATCCATCCGGATCCAAAACAAACGCAATGCTTCGCATACGTCCATCAGTCAATTTCTTCTGGAATTTGTAGCCCGCATCTTCAATTCTTTGACAAGCGGCTTGAATGTTGTCGACACTGATACATGTATGTCCAAATCCCTTTCCTGGATCGGAATTTCCTGTTGCCACCTTGTAGTTGGGATCATCCTCAGTACCATAGTTGTGTGTCAACTCGATCAAACCTTCGCGGTCGGTGAAGTGGTTATTATGGGATAGGGCGCCAGGGGAATCATAGCCAAGGAAGTACAGGTCGAACTTAGCCTCGGGAATTTTGATATTCTGGATTACTTTCATGCCAAGATGCTCATAGAACTTGACTGGATTAAGTTATTAGACATATGATGATTTGTCATAGCTATATTTGTAGCTTACCTGATTCTTTTGGGTCTTTCACTCGAATCCTATATCCATGATTAGCGCATTCTTGTGGCTCTAGATCACAGAATCGTACATGGAGTGATTGAACTTGTAGGTCTTTAGATTGGTAGTCATGGTTGCGTATTTCCTAAAAGCTGTAGCTGTAACTGTAGCTACCAAACCCAAGTCAGCAAGCTCGCCCCACCATTGATTGATGTTTGTGTTGCGGGGTAGTTGGTTAACGTACCTGCGTTGGAGATGGAGAGTTGTGGAAAGGCTATTCTGTTAAATCTTTTCAGAGCGCGGAAGGATTGCATGGAAGTTTAACTGAGCCGTCGCGACAGTGAATTATGTAGAGTGGAGGGAGCCTGAGGGTGAAGACTGCAGGTGGACTAAAGATGTCATAGAATCGAGTGGGGTAAGATGGGGATAGGTTCAGTGGTATGGGCCAATGCAATTGCGCACAGCAACCCGCAACCGACTGCACGTCAAATTCGCAGGTGGCAGCTATATTGGGCTTGGACCTATGACGCCGCGGTGTGCTTGATTTCTGCAAGCTGATGCAACTGCAAGCCCTGAAAAGCCAATTGAGTTTGAAAGTTATCTAACTGTACTCGTACATAAGAAAAGAGGAGAAGAGTAGGCTAGCAGGGAAAAAGTCCGAGTCTTCCAATTGACATTGGGCATTTGCTCTCACAATGTATAAGTAGATATATCTAAGTATATTTATAAGTACCTTGTATACATACCTACGGACATACCTAGGTAGTTTCTTGAAAACGGAAGGAATAATGGAAGCTGGTGAGATTTGAGAAAGAGGCAATTGTACCTACCTACCTACCTACCTACCTACCTACCTACCAACCTATCCTAGGTGGGAAATGAAACCAAAGGAACACTAAAGTCCGTTTCTTACCTACTGAGATTTTGGCCGTCTTGGTATGGAAAATAGTGAATAGATCTGTACTCGTACATATACAAGTATCAATGTACTGATTGGTAGTCTATTGATGCGTTCCGGGGGTGATGTGGTGAAGGGAGAGGACCTCACAGGTGCAGGTGGCAGGTGCAAATCGGCGAGGAGCTTCCCCTCCAAATTTCTGCGACGACATGCTCATACTCACTCCACTCTGCTCGAGTACTTGTACGCGTACGCATACAACTGGATGCTCCAACAACCTTTCCACCACCACCAACCTGCGCCAATAACCACCACCACGACCACACAAAAAACAAACCTTTGGGTGCTGCGCTGGATTCTGAGTAGGAGATTGTCATTATCGACGAGGCAGGGGAATTGGTACGTACAACCAGCGCAGGCAATCTCTTCCTGAAGAAAATCATCACTCTCTCCAAGTCGCCCTCGCCTCGCCCTTGCCCACTGGCTTCCGGCATCATTTCTCTGCTCTGTACTCGAGTACCAACGCATCACAATCACAGGTCCCTCCTCATCCTCTTCTCCACCTCAACCACCACCTCGTACTCGCGCCGTCTCCTCTACCTCTACCTCCTCATACCCAAAGCCAATGTATAAAAGAGACATGCTTCTCACGAGACCCCTCACCACGTTCCTATCGCGAAACACCTCCCCTCAACTTCCGACCCTCCTTCTAGTCTCTCCTGATGGCAAGCTCCTTGCCAGCTCTTCCCCCCTTCCCGCCGCTGTTCTGCGAACACAGTCAACCGTAGCATCTACACTATGGAACCTCTACAGCCCTTTTCAGTCCTCCAACGACCTCATATCCTCCGCACTGCCACCATCGAAAGCTCCACCACCAGCGAAACCCCCACGACCATCGAAAGTCTCACCTGACTCAGAGTCAGACGACAATCATCTAGGCTCCATAACCATCCAACTGTCACACGGTATCATGGTCCTACGAGCTCTATCCTGTGGTATACTATTCGTAGCGATCGGTCCTGTTGCTACGCCTTCTGCCAGCGCGCATTCAGTTAATCCTAATCCGCATACACTCCTCACACCACTGGTCGCGTCGAATACCACCTCTCCCCCATCCTCGCCGCCACAGAATAATGAGGGGCAGCACGAGTCTATCGAAAGAAATGTAACGAGCTCGACGCACATACCAATTGAAAGCAAGGCACCTTCGATCGCTGGCAGCGTTGGTAGCTCCGTCGTAGCTGGGAGAGCACAAGCTAGCATATTAGGCGTGAAGAGGCACGCAGATGACGTCGGAGTATGGCTCGAGAAACAACTCAGAGGATTCGTCTTGGGTTCTGCGGAGTTTCGATGACAGGCTAAAGGTATGATTACGAATACAGTATAGCATAATAAAACGATAACTGGCAAAACCAGTGTCGCGGAATGAACGTGAACGCCTCTTTTGGAACCACCCCGAAAACTGGGTTGGGCAGGAATATAGACAGGCAGTGTACCCAGAAGGATATGGGAATGGAATGAAAAGGATGAAAGATTTGGCTTCAAGCTTCTCTGCTATGATGAATGATTACAGGATATTTTCATCAAACAGTCCATGATATGAGGATGTTTGATGACATACGGGCAGAAGTGGAGGGCTACTGCTGCGGACTTTGTATAATATTGTGATACTGAAGGTTGAGCGCGTGTTAAGATACCAAACGAAACGCTGCTGGTTTATAGAACACAGCACAGCACAGCACAGTACATGAATGAATGGAATATTGATTGAAAATTAATGGGGTGTTTGAGGATTATAGTATTTCCTTTTAAATACCTTCGGAACTAATACTCACGTCAAGGATTCCCATATCTTCTCCAATGTACAATACAATCAGGACCTCGCAGTACCAATTCATTCCATTCCACTTCAAAATCGTATTTCGCATTCGTCCTAGTAACAGGTAAAAGGGCCTGGGCAGCTCTCTCTCCACTTTATCACTTTCTGATATATCTTTTTCTCCATACCAGGTAGGGATCGGGTAATCCAAGGTACTGCTACCTGCCCTTGCCTATAACAGATCGTACCTCCGTATACAGGGAGGGGGAGACGCGAGATGTACTGTCCAGAGTGATAAGTATGGACCCCTTTTCATATCCTTCGTCCTTCGTCCCAGGCGAAATAAATCTAGATTTACTATGGTGGCTAAGGTTGGCAACAGGGCTCCGTAAACCCCCTGGAAAACCCTACTTTGAAGTAAATTACGTTTACGTTTATTTCGCCTGGGAGTCTTGGACACGGTATAAGGACCATACCAAGACTGATTAAGCCTTTGTAAGGTGGGTTCATAAGAGTCGTAATAGGAACACGATGATGGATTTAGTAAGTGCGGGTAGATCGAGGGGATCTTTGTTTCTTGGATGGGAGGATTTTGTCTTGGATGATGGGTGTGCTAAGGTTTTTGGTTTGTTTTGGTTTTTTTTGGGAGTCTTGGGACTTGTTTATCCACTTGGGAAGCTTGTTTGAGTGGGGTTTTTATGGATGGATGGATGGATTTCTGTGGGATTGGGGGGAGGGGAGGGGTTTTCTTTGGGTCTTCATAGTTTTTCTACTGCTTGCCTGTACTACTGTACTCGAGTATCGAGTACGGCTGTTATTAAGGGGCGAAAGGAAATGTTTTCTATGGGTGATTTGACTAAGGATTTTGAGAGGAAGGATGGATGGATTCGTTCGTGTTATCGTATAGTCGTGTAGCTTGCTTGCTTGCTTGCGTACTTGGCTGGTTAGAGGCTGGGAACTTATTGCTGATCTCAATTACTGTGTAGTTTGAAGTTTACTGATGGATTTCTGAAAATTTTTGCTTTTTCGGAGGGGTTATTTACTGTTTCGAAACTACGGTGATCTTGTGTACGGATTTACGGTTAGGGAACTCCTAGAATGTGGGAGAATGTGAAATCTTGGGGTTGGGAATTATCTTCTGGATCGTTCATCTGGTGTTTTGTTTTTATAGAGTTGAATAGGATGGCAGTGGCTGGGGTGGTACTGTAACTACTGTAGATCTGGACTTTATAGGAAAATATATGCATTTCCTGTAGAGAGTACCATTGTATAGATTAGATTAGTACAACCTTCATCGTGACTTTGGTATTACTAAACAACATGTTGTTATCCAAGATCATATACGGATTTTGTGTTTCCCATTTAATGAATCATCGTCGTCTCCCAAAATCGAAAGACGATGACGATCAGCCATCTCCGGACTAACCTGGGAAGGACCCTGAACGGCGTGGCTGATGTCTCATTAAGCACCATATCATGATCATGTCTACATTTAGCACGCGCCACTCGTTCCTCAGATCCTCTCCTCGAAGCGCCTCATCCATCTATCCATCTTCATCTCATCTATACCAAAACAAAACAAAAAAAAAACGAAAAAGAACCTCTCACCAGCCGACCAGTTTCTCATCTTCCGCAAGCCATCCCCGTCCATAACTTCCTCACGTACATTTCCGTGTCCTCCGTAAAGGATGCAGAGATTAAACTTTCCATTTGGAGCCATCCCATCTCCGTGCAAACGTGCAAACGTGCAAACCCTCGCTTCCGGACTGGATTAAGCGCTACTGAAGGACCCCGATGCTGATCTTCTGCGGGCAGTGAGGGAGAGTATGGGAACCAATTAAAGAATCGGGAATCCGCCTTTTTGCATGCGGCGACCCTGCGATGAGGCCTCCGGTTCCCTACAGCCTGCCTGCGGTCGGCCGGGTAAACCTCTCTTGGGTGGAGAGGAAGCGGAGTGACCAGGTACGTTTGCGCGAGCACGCGCCGGTTGTGGGCGTGGGTGGCTGGTGTTTTTGTTGCTTGTCCGCGGGCTGGATAGCTTGTGTGGGTTTTTATGGGGAGAGGGCCGAAGGGTGTGGGAGGTAACGAGGTTTGTGGGAAGATAAGTATATGTTGGACTGTGCCGCCGATTTTTCTGATTTTGCTTTACTTGTTGTGTTTGCTCAATTGTTTGTGAGGATTGTTTTTTTCTTCTCTCTTTTTGTATTTTGATTTATGAGTAGGAAGGAGTTTTTGGGCGCATCGATGAGATAAGATGAGACAATTACTCGATATGGGGATAACCATGTCGGACGGGTTTCAGAGGAGACAGCGTGATGCTATTCGATTGTGGTTTTCTCCCATGAAAGGAGAGGGGGATTGGAATGGTAATGGAAATGGAAATGAAAATACCCACGTCTCGTCACTGCGGATCGATCAATTACTCAAAAAGAAGATTTTATTTCGAAGAAGAAGATCGCCTTCCATGCGAAGATATCTCGAAGAAGCATACCAGTTCGGTTTGAAAGAAGGGATCGAAACAGACACCTTCATTAGTCCTCCATTAGAGGGAAGGAAACGAGCTCGACTTTCTGAAATCACTTTCAAACCGTTTGTCTCTCTCTCCAACTGATATGTGAATGAGAAAGCTAATGAATAAATAACAGACACTCACATACAGAAAGAAGAATTCTACCAACAGGAGGTATACAAGTAACACGAACACCCACTTGCAACGAATGTCCACACCCAGGCGAAACATGCAATTTCCTCCAATACATCCTTCCCAAATCATCGCCACCAACACCACCTCGAAGATCGTCGTCTTTATTAAAGGATTCACGTGCCATCGAGTGTATACCCAGTCCCTCCGCACCTCTCACCCCTTTCTCACTTTCACCCGAAGATGGATATTTCTTCCAATTCATGATCAATGGCTCACTCAGTAAACTCGACTTTTTTTCCAAGCCCAATCTTTGGCCTATGGTAATACAGAGATTCCATACCGAGCCTTGTGTGAGACATATCCTCTTAGGAACGGCGATGATCCATCGACAGCGTGTTCATCCCCATACTTCCCAACACGGAAATACGGAGCGAAGGGCAAATCGACATTACATCCAAGCAACCCGTCTTTTCCATCCTTCCCTCTCCAACATACGAGGACGCCTTCACGGGGAAATGAGGGAAATCACAATCCTAACAACTTTCCTACTAGCCGCCTTCGAGATCCTTCGACGGGACGACGAACGAGCAAGTTACTGGGTGGAGAACGGTATGAAGATATTGGGTCGTCCGAATCCAAATAACGCGAGTGAGACGACGTCTAGAAAGAAAACGAGAATGGCAAAAGTCCAATGGGATAGGAATTCCAAACAATTAGCCCAGGCATTTCAGATCCTGGATGTGAATCTGAAAATCAAACGCATGAAGAGGAACAAGAAGAAACAGAGAAGCGCTGGACGATGTGGTGGTGGGGTACTAAGCAGGAAAAGGCTGGAGAAGAAGAGGAGTTGTGTGGGGTTATTCTCGTCTTGATCTTTGGTTTTCTATTACTTAAATCCAGGCGGAATGAAAATGGCGCCCACGATGAGGATAAAAAGGAAGTGCGATCAGGAAGTGTGTACGAAGCAGCGATATATACCAATCTTTTCAGATTACCTTTTTCTTATGTTGATATCTACCTGGCTTTGTTTTGGGGGTTTTTGGTGGTGGGAGTTGGAGGAGTTTAGATAGCGAGGGATTGAGGATTGGTATTCAAGCGATGCCGCCGATGCGTAGACTTTTTTTGGGCCTACTGTTTGTTTTTTTGGAAGATACCGATTAAGGACTTAAGTAGGAGAATTAGGGGGTGTTTGGCTCGTGCAATTTAGAGATTTGCACTATATAAAAAGAATTATATATATATGTTTCTAATTAAGATTTGTATACAATTCTTAATTTGTACGCTTATTTGGATAGCCGTAAAAGTTACTACTAAAATAATTATAAATCTATTACTGTCGGTATAAGTGAATACCACTCAAGGCCACTCACGTGCCGTACTTGGTACTGAGCACCACTATATAATAGTAGTAGTACTTATAACACCTTTACTCGGTGTATATAACTAATAGTCTTTATAATACGATATATTCGATACTAAACTATTAGCCTTATATTATACTTTCCTTATTATCTTTCGGCTCTATTAACTTAGAGTTAAACTAACAATTACAAATCTAATTACAAATCTTTTTAGATTTACACCACCAAAAAAACTTTATAAAAGAACTGAAGCCTTAACCCTTTAGTTCTTTTTGATTTGTACAAATCTCCGTACAAATCTTTCTATTCTCCTATAGTATCCCCTATAGCATCCCCCTATAGTGGCCCCCCTCTATAGTATCCCCCCTATAGTATCCCTCCAACAGTATTCCGATATCCCCCTATAACATCCCCCTTTACTAATACAAAGCAAAACTCGGCTAATTTATAGTCGTAAAGCGTAGGAGCAAAAAGAGCGGCTAGGGAGAGGGGGGTGGGGGGGGTATAGTGAGATTGTAGGAGGGATAATATAGGACTACGGGAGTAATAATATAAGGGATGGGCGGGAGTGGGCGGGGGTTACAGATATATAAGATTTGCACCTGAAATAAAAAACTTTTGTAACAGCCAAACAGTGGTGCATTTGTTTCTTGAGAATAGTCTGATTTGCATGTAATTTAGGAAACTTTTGTATGAGCCCTTGGGGTCCTCCAGCCCGTGCAAATCTTAGACTTTTGCACCTGTTTTGCATGGAGAGATTTGCGTAGCCAAACACCCCCTTAGATAATATATCATGGGATTTTATTTCCCTATTGTATTCCTAAGAAATTTGCACACGAGATTCATTCATACTTCCCTCCGCTCCTTATATTTTATAATCCAAATACAGCTTATTGCAGTCTTACTCTGTACATACCTGAGTTATGAAAATATTATCCTAAAGACCTCACACAACTAAATTAATTGTATAGATGGTTCAGAACAATTGTTAGTTTTTAATTCGTATTATACTAGATGAAATAGATCAATTAAGTTTCTTGTGCCAGAGTTTTGGCAGAATGACTTTTGATATATCAAGCGTATATAGAGTAATACCCGCCTCCCTTACATACGAGATTTATCCTTGCCATCTAGGGTTCCCTCCACCCCTTGCATTATATACTCTATATTCCAAATACAGCTTATGGCAATCGTACAAAGATCAAGAAATTTATACAATAGTAATAAGCCCCCATCGTTCTCCGCAATACAAAAAATCATGAGAAGCTTAGCTCTCGAGTGAGTCGAGTCTAATACCCCCGATTCCCATACGGATCATATGGCTGGTCGTAGGGATCTGTTTGTTGGTATGCTTCCTCTGGTTCATCTTCTGGTTCGTCTTCCACTCCATCCTCTGCTTCATCCTCTACCTCATCCTCAATCTCTCCACCCTCCCCCTCCTCACCAACCACCGCATCCCGAACCTCAACCTGTTCCTCATCCCCAGCCCCATCCCCACCCAAGAACTTAGAGAAACGATGGAGCCCAAAAGATGATTTCTTGGGCGTCTCTTCTGGCGCTGGAACGATGGGGTCCTGATATGTTTGGTGCACAAGTTCTTCATGGGGCTCGAGGAATCTGGATAGGCGGTTGAATCCGAAGGAGCTCTTTTTCTTTTTTGAGATGTTTTGGGAGGTGCTGGGGAAGGGGGTAGGGGGTTCGTATTGTTGGGAAGGTGAGATGTCTTCCGAGTATGGGACTGTAATGGTTTCTGGGTCTGATTGGATGTATTGTTCGGCTGTTGGAGTATCGATATCTGGAGACACGGGCACATCATGTTCCTCATCATGTTCCTCAGCTTGATGAAACTCCGACGACGCTTCTTGGGATTGGTCTTCAACAGGTTCGGGTTGGATGGGTTCCGAGTTCTCTTCTTCTTGCTCCTGTCCTCCTTGATCATCTTCATCCACTTGAGCACCATCACTTTGATGATGATTCCCATCAACTTGGTCTTCATCACCTTCAGAGCTGTTCATCGTGTCTTGGCCACCACTCTCGTCGTTCACTGACCCGGCTTGACCATGTCCAGCCAGCACTGCACTACTGACTTCTGTATTGGTCGTCTGCCGAATGGTTTGCTGTTGCGTCAAACTAACGTCTCCATTGATGTTTTCTGTTCCATTTTCGAAATCGTCATAGTCATCATAACCGTCTTCGCCTCCTCGTGCTTGAGAAACTTGTCGATAAGCTGGATCAGAATTGAATAGCTCGGCTCCTGACACAGGCGCAGAAACAGGCATTGGCACGATTCCTGAACGTGTGGTTTGAGCAGAGTTGTTGACGATTTGTTGACGTCGCATTTCTCGACGTGTCGGTGGTGGGGTACTCTGAGCTAAAGATCTGCTCGTTTGTCCTTGGGTGTTGACATCTCGAGTCCGTGACAGATCAGGAGTATCGTCTCCCGTCGCTTGTTCTTGAACGCCTCGAGTTGTTTGACCCGCACTTCCATTTTCAATTGCGGGAATTTCTTCCTCTTCTTCCACCTCGGGCTCGGAATCCTCATAATACTGCCAATGATACACAACATTCTCCTCGAAATCGGGATTCTTATCTTCCTCTTCAATATCAGCTACCTTCCTATTCCTGACCCTCACTTGAAATCTCGATAAAAGCTGTGTCATTCCAATCGCGAGCTTTTTCGGTCCTTTATCCTTAATACTCTGCCAAATGAGTTTGAAAGCATCCCTGCACTTCAAATCGAATGCCTCTTCCAATGCAAGCCGATAGGCTTCAGCTGAGAATTCTTGTTCGAGTAGAAATTGCAAAGTTTCAATTCCATGGCCATGGTAGTTGCTGACAACAGCGGCGACCAAGGCACTTCCATATTTGCCAGGCCACGCATCAATCTTCGCCCCTTTAGAAATCAACAGCTCGCACAGCTCAGGACCGCATCTCAATGCAGCTGCTTGTAAGATGGTGCCATGTTGGCCAGCTCCATAATTAGGATCTGCACCAGCTTCGAGAAGAAGACGTGCATTGCGGTTACAACCAGCAAAAACAGCTGCGTGTAAGGCGGTTCCAGCATTCTGCTTTTTCGGAGGAACGGTATGGAGCTGTGGTTTCAATCTGAGCAGCAGTCTAAGGCAACCATCATCGTACTGTGTTGCCGCCGCATGGAGGGCAGTACCACTTTCACCGCCTTCTAGGTCTATGTGGTACTTTTTCTTCAACTTTTGTAAATCCTTGAGTGAAAGCTTTGGAAGCTTTGAGCCCTTCTTGCGTAATAAACCAACATGTCCCAAGACAGCTTCGAGGCATCCCTTGCTTCCGGAGGCAATAGCTGCTTGAACAACGGTGTCATGAGGCCCAGCACGAACCGTGGGGTCCGCTTTTCTGTCAAGCAGCATCTGGCAAGTTTCAATGTGGCCGTTGGTAACAGCTGCATGCAATGCTGATCCGTTATGGGGGCCAGGATAGTTGATGTCTGCACCGTGGTCCAAAAGGAGCCTCACGCAGTCTTTATCGCCATAGTACGCTGAGATGATGAGAGCAGTATCACCATCCGGATCAACCTGATTAAAGTTTGCACCAGCCTGGATCAAGGTCTCCAGGTATTCTGCTCGCAAAGACTGTGCAGCGTTGATTAGAGGCGTACTTCCATCTGAACCCCCAAATACATTTGGATTTGCCCCTTTTTGCAGTAGTAAGCGAGTGAGATCACCGAGACCATTGCTGATGGCAGCGATCAATGGATTTGTCCAGCTTCCACCTCCGAGGTTGGGATCAGCTCCATATTCAAGTAATAATCTTGCCACAGCAATCTGTCTAGCCACACAAGCAGCTTGAAGGGGGTAGGCGTCGTCGGATTTTGGACGATATGCATTGACAGAAGCGTTATGCTTAAGTAGTAGCTTGACGGTCTCGAGGTGGCCGCGTGATGCAGCAGCCTGAAGTGGATATCCAGAAAGGGCATTCAAATCAGCGTGAAAAGCAACTAACTTCTCCAGTATGTTATCATTGCCATCAAAGGCTGCTGCAGTAACCGCGTTGCCATATTCTTCTCCTTCTGCGTTTGGGTTTGCACCCCAGTATTTCAGAAGTGCCTCCACTATATCCTCTTGTTCGCTGTCTGTGGCCATGTACAAAGCTTTATCAATGGTTGTTTGGGCAACAACAGTGCCTTTGTAGTGAGTGTTGTATTTAAGAAGCTCTTGTAGGACCAGGATATGGCCGAGGGGTGCAGCAGCCGCGAAGCCCACATCGCAACTGAAGCGTTGAGGGCAGGTCTCGAGCAGAAGCTTTACAATGGAATAAAACCCATTCTTGGAAGCTTCATCAAGCGCTCTTTGTCGTGATGCCTTTCTCTCGGGGCGCGATAAGTTTTCTGTCTCCAGTGGTAACAACATTCGTACAATGTTCTCATGACCAGCTGAAGCAGCTGCCGCAACCGCACTTCCGAATTCTTTGGAGCCTAGAGATTTTGCACCTCCTTTATCTAACAAGAGAGGTATGAGATCTTCGTGACCCCATGAAGCGGCAATCGCCACAGGTGATTCTGCGTCACCGTCCATGAGTGTCGCATTTGCTCCTCGTTCTAGAAGCAGTTTCGCTGCTTTCGTGTAGTTTCGAGACAAGGCTATTGTTAAAGCTGTTCCGTCATCCTTTGCTACGGCGTCGATGTTCACCTTGCCATTCTTCCCGCTCATCAAGAATTCCATCGCCTTGATCTGACCAGACGAGGCTGCCATATGTAAGGGTGTCCATACTCCTGTCGCTTCCCCGTTATTCATATCTGCTTTGTGATCCAACAAAGTTTGCATGACTTCCACATGTCCTCGTTCAGCTGCCCAATGAAGTGGTTGGTTATCCCAAGTGTCACAGACGAAAATCTCATCCGCGTGACCGTCGGCGAGAAGCGAGTTGATTAGGGGGGTGAGACCGAAGAACGCAGCAATGTGCATAGCCGTCAGTCCCTTAAGCTCATCCATCCCACCGTCTTCCTTTCTTGAGTAGCTGTTCCACCAGCGACGTCGCACTCTTGACTCGAGAGCCCAAAAGGCGTTTTTAAGATCTAAGGAATCCACAAAATCTGGCGATGCTTGATTTCCATGTCGGAGCCAGTACTTGACAGGATACTCGAGAGAAGAGGCATCCATGTCATCATCCTCAGCATTATTAGCCGCGTCTTCTGGAAAAAGACTGTTGAGCTCCTTCGTTTCGCCGTCGACCTCCTCATCAGACGCGGATCCGGCCCAAGTAATTTCCTCCTCGGCGGGTTGTAGCTGGCTTATGGTGTAGGAGAACGATCTCAAGGCAATAATGCCGTGCTGCCACAGAACCTCATTTCCATGATTGGAGAGTCCGATCAAGTTCTTGGATAAAAGAGCATTCTTTGCCTCTTCGTGTATGAAAGTCACTCGATACGAACCCAGATCACCCCATACAGACGCATCGTAGATTCGAAGCAGGGGACCGCATTTCTTGACGAGCTCCAGGGTTTCGTGAGCATCAGCAGCGTCTGAAAGCTCCGCAAGGACATTCAATTCATCGAGTGTGGGATCTTCGTATGCGATGGCCAGAGTGCGGAGAATTTCTTTGGTAGTATGGTTGTCTTCCTTTTCCGAATTGAGTGCCTATACCACAGTTAGAAATCAATCAACAATCGTCTCTTCTAGGAAGATAAACTGACCTTTGACCAGACCTGATTCATCAACTTTCCAACATCTTGAGGGAGTTCTTCCAGGGTTTTTCGTACTAGAACATGGTTTGTAGGAAGCCTTTCAAGTAGGCAACAAACCACTTCTACCCATCGAGTATTGTTGTCAGCTCGTTGAAGAAGGATGCTAGTGACGAAATATTGTAGAGAAAGACTGTATCCCTTCAACTCAGCCAGTGCTTTCACTCTCGCCTTTGTATCCGTCCTGAGCATTTGACGCAATTCGGCATCTTTCGATCCGTCTTCCAAATTTACTCGAAGTGCAGAACCGTCATCTCTCTGAAGGACTTGACATATGTAATCTCTGTCACGACTGAGAATCATCCACTTGACATTAGTGTATGCGGGATCTTGGGGATTGTTCACTTCTTCATCCATCAGTTCCTTGATTGCTCCTAAAAATTCAAGTGTGGTGCTTTCATCGCTCGGTAGAAAATGCACATTGTTGACGACGAAATACACGCTAGGACATGCATCATCCCTCAACATGTCTTGAAGACTCCTCCAGAGCTTTGAGAAGCTCAATGAGTTTACGTTTTTTGCGGAAACAAATCGTTTGACATGTTGGGCGAGAGATCGTTGTTTCAATATCAATTGCCACATCAGAGATTTGACGATATTCTCTGCGTTGCTCGAGTCCGGACTGGAGTCGCAAAAGAAATAAGCCACCATCACCTCGCTCGTGGTCCTTGCCTTTTCGAGATCTTCGAGTGCTTTGACTGCTGCAAGTGCTGCCTTTGATTTGCCAAGACCTTCACATCCAGATATCCACAAACAAGGACTACATGTTGATCCTCCAGGAACACTTCCACCGGATACCCATCGGAGATATTTGGGCTCCTCAAGAATCCAACGAGAGTCGCCACCTATACTCTCGACTTTTATTCTCTCCCGACGAAATGGAACTAAATTCAAGCAATCCGATAGCCTCCCAAAGGTCACATCGTCTATAGGCGAGAATTTCGATGCTTTAAGCCTCTTGTTCACAACAGTGCGGCCTTTGATCTCGATGCTTTTCAGTAGAACTTTCACAACTTCGTACCTTCCGTCTTTGGCGCTGTCAAAGCGGTTCAGTTGACGATGGTCGCAAGCCATACCTCGTACTTCACTTGCGCCATCCAAGGTTGCCGATTGTTCGGTTACAACAAGTGCTGAAGTTCTCTAGAAGGAATATTAGCTAGTGTTAGTTCAACCTGGGTGAGCTTAACATACCGTAGTTGCTGATAACCTACTACCGAGCACTTTCACATAATTGGTATTCCGCTGTTCATAGATACACGCAATACTCGAACTTGGCGCTTTAGAAATAAGTTTCGTAAAATCTCTTCGCAATTCTTTCAAGGAGTCTCTTTCCGGATTAAGATTTTGCAATAGTGCACTGTTTTTCCCATATTTGAACGTCTGCAGAATTGAAGCAACCATACATGCTCTCCCAGCCTCATCCGAACCTCCAAATGGCGTACCGAAAAATATGCCTCCGGCAAAGGATTCATAAATACGCATACGATCCAGTCTTTCCGGTTCCGATACAGCCAAGATCAAGGCCTTTGCAACAACCAACCCTCCCAGGCTATGAGCAAGAAACATCAAGGGTCTATTTTGATCATTTCTCTTTGCAACGAGAGAATCGAGTAGCAGTGCTGCGGCATTATATAAAGTCTGTGAAATAGCACCGTCGCCTAACCAACGAGAGTCGTAGTGGTACATCATGACGCGAGCTCCTGGAATAGTGGACAAAACACCGTCTTTCTCATCTTTGAGCCAGCTATAGCTATTCGACTCCGAATCGGACATAAAACTCCTCTTTGGATCAGCACCCAAGCCAGGGACTGCGACAATGCTGTAAAATAATTATGCTAAAGAACACTAAAGATAAATTTCTGGAACTTACTCAATGGTGTAATCTGACTGCTCCGTCTCGGGCGCAACGACCACGAGGCCTTGTTCTGAAGTCGACATTCTGACCGTATATACAGTCTTTTCACCTCAACTCCTACATGTAGGAACTCAATCTTTTGGAACTTTATGAAGAGGAAAAGGGGAAAAAAGGAAAAAAAGGAGGAAAAAAGAGAGAAACTGTATACACCATCTCACAGAAATATCTTGGCGCAAATACCGCCCCCAAATACAGTCATCTTTACGAACCACGCCACTGGTAATTTGGGGGCCACCATTGAGGCTCAGGTAACCCATGTATATAGGCTGACACCACATGGCTTATGATCCTCTTGAGCTAATTTGGTCCTCGGGACGAATAGGAAATTTCCCGCCGTCGCTTGAATGCTTCAGTGCGGCACAGAACAAAGAATCCCACCTTCCTCTTTGAGCGGCTAAAGATGTAAGCACTAACCCCAAACACCGTCAGATAAGAGATCTAAGTATGGGATTTACCTCTGATGCTCCTATAGAATTTCAAGTTTCCGCAATGCAAATGGTAATTTGCTGTTGGATTTCCAGCATCCTTCAAAAAAGAAAATTGGAGAAGGGGCAAGGCAGATGCCCAAGTGAAAAGGTTTGGGGGTTTCATACCTCCCACCTAGAATGGTAGATGAATATTCAGAAGTCTCAACGTTCGAACTCAACAGAAGAAAAGATAACCATTCCTAGAAACTATTAAAAGTAACACCGAAAGATTATAGCTGTCATTCGAAAAACTTCAGAAGAAGTCTACAATCGAGCATCTAGCTTTCCTCGAAAAATCCCTCGGATTCTCCTTGGCCATTTAACAAATCTATATCAAACTAGGTACTCGAGAAGAACAAGCAGTTCTCTTACCTAGTCTCCCAATGGAGCAAATTCAAAACAAGGTGATTTATCATAAAGAAACAATTAAAGAACCACGCACCTTACTAACTTAAACTCCAAGAACGCTCCATTTTCATGTTTCTTAGACGAAAACCCGACCGACACTGACGGCTCCCACCACGAGTATCTTGCAGCCTCATACAGAATCAAAGACACCCTGATCGCCCCAATCCACCTAGAACGTTGTTTCGTTGAGCAAGAATTCGATGTCGACCGACTACACCACATCATGAAATGGCTCTGGGTAGCCGGACGACCAGTGCCTCCAAGACCACTCCATTAGCAACTAACACTACGACGTGAGCTCGTCATCACCGAGCGCATGGATATACACATGATATGGGGCCAAGGTCGTATCTTCCTCAAGCCCATTCCACGCTTCCTACTGGACCCCAAATTTTGGGAGTCAAGTCTCTTATCTGATCCTCCCAACTATCATGGCGAGAAACGAAGCCTTCGACATCGCGCGATGGGATTTTTGGTCTCTTATGCAGCGTTGGTAGCCCACGAGAGCGACTTCTACATCGCCCAGGACCGACATCTTATCCCTGCCGATGTGACTTGGAGAAAATGGCAGATCTTTATACGACAAATCCTAACAAGTTCAAAATCCGTGCAATCGGATGTTGCTGATCGTTTCATATATGGCGAAATCCGTCTAAATCGACTAAACTTGGTGTACTTCTTCATCAAAAGGTCACTTAGGGGATATATCTCCCAGTGGAATTCATACGGTAGTTTTTATCGTGATAATATGGGATTGGTGGTGGCTGCAACGACATATATCGTAGTTATTCTGTCGGCTTTGCAGGTTGGGTTGGGGACCACGCGGTTAGGGGAGAGTGATGCGTTCCAGTTAGTCTCGTACGTCTTCACGATGTTTTCGATTTTCGGTCCGCTAGCTGGCGTGGGGATTATCGTTGGGGTGTTTTGCCTTGTGTTTGTGTTGAATTGGGTTTGGGCAAGGAATAACGAACGAAAACGGGAGAAGGAACTTGGGAGAAGTTGGAGTGCGACATGAAAGTTGTAGAGCTCACTAGCAAGATTAAATAGAAACCAATGCTATGTTCCAAGATTCTTTGGCTAACCGAGTTTTCACCCGAGGGGCAAACATTCCTGGTCAAGCCCCACACCAGAGCCACAATACCGCGACTTTTCTGATCAAGACGAACGGCATATGGTGACACTGAGACTGGATTCTGGGCTGCTTCGAGGTCCAGAATTCTTAGAATTTGAGTGGATGATGGCAAGAGCATAAGCGAGATAAAGGATATTTTTAAGGTGGGGACGTGATAATAGGTGTAGGATGAAGTGATGTACACTTCACTGAGACCTGATAACTGCTGCAGTGGAATGAAACAAGAGCAAGATGAGAACAGCTTAAAAAGTACTAATTCAAATTGTTTGGAGATCTTGCAGTATATTCTCTTCCCTCGATTCTTATCTGAATGGACGCGAGAACATCGCAGGTTTCGTCAGTCCTAGAGGATGAGGTTTCTTGTGAGCTGACTGACTTTCTCAAAGTGTATATGAAACAGCATTTTGACATAGTAAATACATGAGGGGTATAGAATCGAACAGAGGAGCATTATACACCAAGCGTCAGAAATAAAGTAAGGATGAAATCAAATAAAACTCATCCATGTATGTGCTATCTTTTGACAAACCGTACTGAAGAGATCATAGACGGCCGCTTATCAACGGGGCCATCTACAAACTCCAATGTACACGAAACACCAAAGCCGTGGTCAGCACTTTTCAGTGATGGTACTTGTCTTGCTCGTATGACATACCAGCCGAGGGTAGAAACAGGACTTTTGTACTCCACACTTTGAGAAACTGGACGAAAAGTCGCACCGGGTGTATGAAACTCCGCACAAATAATTGCTACCTCACTAATCATAGTCGCTGTCACACCACCATGCCCAACTGTTGGCCATCCGGCAGTCGCTCTCCCAAATCGAATGATTGACACCACCTCGCCGGTAGTTTTATTATGGAATGTTCTCCGTAATTCTACCCCCCTAGCCCCACCTAGTGTGTTTTGTATGTAATTTTGCTTTTTGATATCGCACGGTACCCAGTCCGGGTTGTGGGACAAAGCTTGGAAAATGGGAAGTTTGTTCAAGGATGCATGGTTCAATGCAAGTGCCTTTCGATCCAAATCCGAGCCCGGTTCTGGCATTTCTCCTGTTATTGCAATATTCACTAGACTGCCAAGAATATAGCCAGTAATGAGGAAGGAAAGTGCGAGAATTGGTGTTTGTAGAGACCTCTTCTTCTTTGGCTCGGGTGGTACTGGTAGATTGTATATCTGGGCATCAGGACCTATGGACTGTACATTTTGGGGATCGAGAGGTTGGAAGTATGTCTTCGGTGGGCTCGTTGGTAGAGAAGGTAAATTGGATGTATGCGATTCTGGATTGAGGGGATCTCCGGGCTGGAAGTATGTTTTTGGAGGATTCGAATATTGGCGGAGCTGGTGCTGCGGTGGGAGGGGTATGGGGATTTTCGAGGTTGTTTTGGCAGCTTTTGAGTGTTTGACTATATTTGCTGAGACTCTCCGCAAGTTTGAGGCTGCCACAGGCATCGAGTTAGACAACCGTGTTATCATCGTACTGGTGGTGTCGAGGACGAAAGGATTGAAAGTGCTGTCTTGGGTTGATGTTGGAAGTTGAAGCTTCCACTTCCTCGGCACGGCCTCGGCACTCGAGGGGGCCTGCCGAAGCTCACCCACACCTCACCCGCCCCTCTCCATACAACATTCACCTGCAATGATCTTCAACTGAAATTAATGGGCAGAACAGCTGCAGCAATCTTCATACTCAAACCATCGCCCATTTCTTCCATGCTACATCATTTTCAATATATCCGCTTCATACACCCTCCTCCTCTCTACCACAATACTACGGCTTACCAACTGAGAAGAAGATGATATATTTTGGGTAGGAGGAGCATCATCCCAGCCCATACCATACCATTCGGTATAGATATGCCAATCATCTGTACCCGCCATACCAGAGCTTTTCGATCACTGGCCCTATTTCCTCAAAGAAGTTATTCAAAAGACCAGGCCATTCTTGCTTGATCCAAAACTCAGCTCATCAGATTGGATCTCCAAGCTATTTAACTGTTGCTAAAATTGCCGATGAGTCTCTAGCAGACCCCAATCGCAAGCGCAGAAGTGTTTTGGCTGTATTTGATACTGTAATTGATACGGTGACCCTTCTCACAATGTGCAAAGGGCCTTCCCTGGCTACAGTAGTCTTGGGGTGGTGACTTCACTTCCACTGACCTTAGTTCATCAGAAGGCTGTTGACAAGGTCATTTTTTATAAGCCAAATGCAAGTTGAGTACCGTTAAAACAAACAAATCATGTTATACTGCTAGCTACTTAAGTATTACATTTCCAATCCTTTCAACAATATGCAAAACTTTGATATTCATAAGAGACGTATTTAAAACAGCCTTAGAAGAACCCAAAAGAGAACCCTATTTCAAAGGCTCTCCGAGATATGGGAAGCTAATAATCTCGTTCTTATCGACCATTGCCATCAAAAAGGTGCTAATAAGCGGATCCATACCAATCTTGACAGCCTCTGCGATCCATTCAGTCATATCCTGCTCGGCAAACTCCTGGTTAAATAAAGTTTCCATTTGAGTCTGGAACTTGGCCACAGGTGATTTGGTGCCGCTAGAATGATGTGCAATTACGAGGGTCGAATCTCCAGCCGACCCAAGATTAACGATGGATTCTTTGGATGCATCGCTGTCGCTCAGGGACGTGTCCTTCTTCAGTGCTAGTCTAGCAATGTTTGCAGCAACGGCAGTAACAGATGCGAAGTCTAGAAACCCGTCCCAGTGGCTGAATCGTGGCACAATATTTCGTTCAAGTGAGAAACGAAGGATCGAATTGAGCGCATCCTCTGGTGGCGCATTGGTCCCAATAAGTGCACATGGACGATGCGCTGTCACGTTGATGCCCGTCGTCTGAGCGACTCTTTCGAGAATTCGCTCACCGGCCCATTTGGATGCTGTGAAACCCGAAGAACCGTCTTTAGGGGGCTCAAAAGCGCTTACTGATACCGGCGGGAGCTGGTCCTTGCCAGAGAGAAGTGTTACCCGGCTAGAAGAGATGAAGTGTATTGGTATTCTGCGTGGGTAAGCGAAGTCTACAAGAAATCGTAGAGATCCAATATTTGGCGCTCGTAAGGATGGATAATTGTTCATGCAGTGCCCAATGCTGCCCCCGTGGATAATGAGGTTGATGCGTGGCTGCAGAAAGGAGATATCCTCTGGGGACAACCCAAGGGATTCGGATTGAAGGGTGCCTGGGTAGCATGCTACCTTGTTGGATAGAGGTGCTGTTTTGAGGGCTTTCTTTGGGAGTGCTACGCAATGAACTCGCTTAACACTACTATCATGAACTAGTATTTGTAGGATCTCAGCCCCAAGGAAAGAATGAGCGCCTGTTAGCAGAATTTCGTAGCCAGAGTCTCGAACAGAGCTGGTGGTTGGTGTGCTGAGACTCATTGATGGCACCTGGAACTCGGTCTCCTTCTCCCAATCAAGTTCCTCAATGGGTCCTTGATTATCCTTCTTGGCAAATAGATGTGCCGCCATACGGCCCAGAGTGCTTGCTTGATACAACTCCGCGATGGATACTGTCAGCATAAGCGTCTCCCTAATCGCTCCTTGTAGCTGCATCAACAAGAGAGAGGATCCTCCAACCATGAAGAAATCAGACTCCGGCGTCAAGTCTACTCTAGACCCAGCCATGGATTGACCAAGTACCTCTTCCCACAACAAACTGACTTCTCCTTCCTGTAACGAAAGCTTCTCGGTGCTACCATCGCCTTGCTCTTCTGATAGTGGAAGATCCATGGCCTGGATGGCCTTACGATCGACTTTTCCGTTCGTCGTGCGCGGTAGGCTATCCAACGCAACAACAAGCGAGGGACACATGTACGTCGGCAGGGGCAAGTTCTGTGCCAACTTCCGCAACTCTCTAGCTCCAAGCTTCTCACTTTCCCCTGGACGCAATACCACATGCGCGACGAGCCTTTTAGCCTCATCTTCTCCATGGGCCGTGACAATGGCCTCAGCAATCACTTCACTGGCCGCTTGAACCATCGTATTGGCCACATCATCCAAGTCGATCCGCAGGCCGCGCAGCTTAATCATGGTATCGCCGTCTCTTCGCCCCATAACAATCAATGACCCGTCTGATAACAATCTTCCTCGGTCTCCTGTCTTGAACATACGTGTCCAATCTCGTGATACGTCGTCTGCAGTGGCAAATGGGTCTTCTAAGAACTTGGATGCTGAGAGGCTGGACAGGTTTAGATATCCTAGAGCGACACCTGCGCCACCGACACAAATCTCACCTGGATAGCCCAGTGGTACAGGCTGTGAAGAGGTCTCGTCGAGAATATACACCGAGTAGTTGGGTAGCGCCTTTCCGACAGATGTATACTCTGTGATCTTTTGCTGGCTATCTGTAGATAGGTTTTCGAACGACACTACACACGAGGTCTCAGTTGGCCCATAGCCATTTGTCAACCGGATGTTGGGATTTCCCAATTCCGAAAAGGATTGTAGGACCTGTTGCGTCACGGCTTCACCGCCCATGAATGCATGCTTCCAGTTCGTGCATTTTTGCAACCACGATTGCCCGTATCGCAGAAGCATAGTATACTCTGACGGTGTAGCGAAGGTTAGAGTGACATTGTGTTCGAGCATCAGTTTGGAGAGGGCAACGGGGTCACCACGAGATGCTTTTGGGGCAATAACAAGCGAACCGCCATTAGCGAGGGCGCAGAATGTTTGAGTAAGGGACATGTCAAAGCCAAACGAGCTTTGTTGTAGGACCGTCTCACGTTGCAACCCAACTGCAGACGTTGTCGTGGCGATGTGGTTCAGCATACCAAAATTGTTGAGCATAATACCTTTCGGTTTCCCTGTAGAACCAGAGGTGTAGAAGAGAAATGCTGGGCTCGTTGGATCAGACAGATCAATTTGAGAATTAGCATCAGTTGCCGACTCCAGCATTGAGAGGTCAGAAAGGTTGACAACAGAGTTATCGTTCATCTGAGTCAAGGCCAATTCAAGAGTTTCTTCATGACAAAGAAGGATGGTCGGCTGGCAATCTGCCAAAATAGCAGCATGCCGTTCTCTTGGGAGACTGGCGTCCAGTGGCACATATATATGACCCAGTCGTAATATCGCCAGCATGGAGACAATAATATTCGATGATGGTTGGCAGAGTACTGCTATGCGACAGCCATTAGATTTCAGTCTTTTCTGAATGAGTGAAACCAATGAGTGGATTCTGTCTTCGAGTTGATTGTATGTAGTTGTTTTATGGGGCTCGATAATAGCCACACTAGATCCATTTCGCTTAGAATGGGTGTCTACTCTTTTCGAGAGGGTGTTAGGCCCATCAGGTATCTTCCGGGGCCCTTTTCCAACTGAGATTCCTTTCTGTACGGCAACCGAGTCAGTCATGTCATACTGCTCGAGAATCCTCGATGTGTCTGAGGATAGCATGTCAAGTAGCCTGATATAAGCGCGTGAGACTAATTCGGTTGCGTCTCTGTCATACAGATAAGTCTGACCGACAACCTGGAAGCGACATGTGCCCTCTGCAGTTTCGTATGCCCCAAAGGCGAGATCGAAAGGCATTTCTGCATCACGGAAAGCGTCCATTGATAGAGTACAATCCTTTCCCAAGTCTACGTCAGATATTGCCGAATTACGGTAGTTGAAAGTGATCTGATAGAGCGGGTTGAAGGAGACATCCCGCGGCACGTTTAGGCGGTCGAGGATTACGTCGACTGGAACCTGAGAGTTGCTACGTGCCTCGAGCACTTGTTTGGAAGTCCGTTGAGCCAGCTCGGCAAACGAATCATTTCGACCATACTTACATCGCAGTGGGAGAATATTCATAAGGAAACCGACTGTGTCAGCAATATCCTCATCAGTGCGACTGGCATCCGTGATACCGATGCAGAGATCAAGATTTTGGGCAGGAATTAGCTTGGAGAAGAGAACCTGCACCGCCGCAAGATAGAAATGAACTGGTGTTACGCGTAGAGCCATACTCGCAGCTTTGATCTTGCTAACCAGTTGACTGCCCAGATCTGTTGTGACAGTATGGCCTTCATATCGCCGCATCGGTCGCCTGCGTCGAGTGGAGGCGAAAGGGAGCAGCGGCAGAACATCAGGTAATTCCGCATGGATCTTTCTCCAGTAGGCTATTTCATTATCCAGTGCGCCGGAGGCTACGGCCTTTCTCTGCTCTAGAGACGCCTCCAAGTACAACTTCTTCTGTCGACTCAACGGCTGTGAAGTATACGCTCGTTGGAGATCGCGTAAGAACACGGCCCAGCTTACACCATCGATTACAATGTGGGGATATCCAAAAACGATAAAATGCTGATCCTTATTCTCTGTAGATATCAGAGTTGCCTCAAAGACGTGTCCGTTGGCCAAATCCCATTCGTGATTTTGCAGCTTGACAAACTCACGCTGGACCTCCTCATAACTCGAAGCGTGGTGGTACTTAAGAGAAGATGAAAGAGAGGGACTACGCAAAAGTCCCTGGGTAGGTTCACCCGTCTCATTATTGGCAAAAAAGCAGGTCCGCAAAGCTGGGTGATGGGCAATGACTTTGTCGAGTGATTCGCGAAGCCTGGCGGGATCAAGCGAGCCCTTGATCATATAGGAGACGGCAATATTGCACGTCGTTGGGTCATCCAGATACTGGTCTAGAAACCAAAGCCTAGATTGCGCGTAAGACATTGCTTCTTCTCGCACAAATTCTGTTCGCTTTGGCTTCTCAATCTTTTTCACTATCTCTGCTGTCGCCACCTTCTCCACCTCGACGTCTGGTTCTACTTCTACCCACGAGCTTCCAGCTGGAGAATTCGAGGACATTGTTGTAGGGGTTGGCGAGGTCTCCAATGAAGATGTACTTATGGAAAGTTGCTCCGTCTGCTTCATCTCGGGCATCTGATCATGATCTGTTGCGGATATCTGCACTTTCTCCGACTCCTGAATCTGCTCTACTCGAGACGCAAAATACTGGGCTGATGCGGCCTCGCAGATTTCGTGGATAGTGTCACCACTGAGAAATCGAAGCACGGGAATGTCAATATTAATCTCCTTCAAAAGCCAGCTGCGTGTTTCGACAGCGATAAGCGAATCAAAGCCCATGGCCAACAGGGGGACGTGAGCATTCACGCTTCCGACATCAAGCTGCATCATGGTCTCAAGCTTGACCGAAAGGACCTCTTGTAACAAGGAATGGGCCTCTTGAGCTGTTTTGGCCTCATCCAGCGGTCTTCTCAGATTTACCTTCGCTCCGGCCTCCTGTGTCGGGTTACGTGATCCACCCCCTTCATCCATTTGCACGATGAAGTGTGAGAGGCGCGAATCCCCATACCACGACGGTTTCGGGCTAGCCGCCTCTCCGCCCTGCCGGAAGAATGGTTTAAAGCCCATGCAAATGTCGGCAGCCAGCTGTGAGTCAGCCGGGCTGGCAAGGACTCCCTCAGCAAATAAAAAGTGGGCATCAGCCTCCGACGTCCACATAAAGCCTTCCAGCGCCCGCAATTTTTCTGGATGACTGGCGACATAGCCAGCATCAACGACCACACCCATATGAATCGCAGAAGCCGCCAGTCCTCTGGACCGGCGATTCGACACGAGACTTTCCATGAACAGATTCGCTGCATGATAGTTGCCTTGGCCACGATTATTTCCTACTGTTGCCACGGAGGAAAAGAGGACAAAGTAGTCCAACTTAGGCGCGGAAAAGAGCTCATCCAAATACCTCGTCCCATCAACTTTGGGCTTGAGCGTGTCGTTGAGGGACTCGACATCCATGTTGAGAAACATCTTGTCGTGGAGGATCAGGGCTCCATTGGCAACCCCACCGATGGGAGGCATCTCGGATTCAATCTGATCTATGGTTGAACGAACAGATTGCCGGCTGCAAACATCCATCTTGTACAGACGGATATCCGCCCGGTGGTCTCTTTGCATGCTTTCAAGCCAGTCTGGGTTCACCTCGCCGCGTCGGCTGCCAATCGCGAGATAACGAGCCCCATTCCGAATCATATAAGCGCAGATGGACTGACCAAGATCGCCATTCAAACCCACCATAAAGTGCGTTTTGGTTGATGAGAACATTCCGAGCGGCATCAAAGGCTTGACCTGAACCATGATTGATTCATCATTCTGCGGCCTCCAGTCAATCAGAGCAGGGTACGCCGTGGTTGACGAAGCGCTTGCTGCCAAAGTTTGGATGGGAAGGACCGTTGTATTGCTTTTCTTCGTGTCCTTAAACTCAAGAAGGGCATCGGTATACGCACTGGCCAAATCCTGGCGTTCAGCCTCGAGGACTGACGACGAAAGTCGTTTGATCAAGCAGTTGGTGGGAACAAAAGTTCGAATATCACGTGCATTCGGAGCAGAAAAGTCAACCACAGTGGCGATGTCACTAGGTAACATCTGCTTAATGGAAGAGGTGAGTGCATGGGGATTGATATAGATCCATGATGTGGGTACGGCTGGATCTGTCCTTGAAGTGGCATAGTAGACATGGCGTCCTTTCCACGAACTGCTGTACTCTATAGCTTGGACAAAGCTCTCAGATGGCGGCTCGTATACCAAAATGGCTCCTCGTCGAGACAGATTGGAGGCGAGGCTACGAGCAATGATCTGTGCAGCAAGCGCTTCCATGAGCATTGGTGCATTCCCAGGTGGTGATTCTAGCTGTAGAGTCTCGTCAAAACTACTGAGAATAACAGACCCGTTTTTGCGGGACACTGTATAGGCTTTTCCACCCTTCTGTCTAACAGAGCCGTAGCAGAGAAAATACTGTTGATCCGTACATGGAAGAGCCATCGACAGATCTACGTCCAGGACAAGCTGATCTGGAGTACGAGGCGCCATTAGGCGACGAGAGAGAGCAGACTCCACTCCCAAAAGCGAGACAACACCATCTTGGATATCGATCTCGATTTCTGAGCTCGCCAAGGTCACGTTCTTAGTAATCATACGGCGTGTTGCATTGTATCTCTCATTACGAGATCTGTCGGGGATGAGGCGCGAGATTTTCAAGATCTCCCCATCAAGGGCTAGCTCGGGTTCCGTCGTCCATAGCATCGACTTTTCACTATAGTCCTGCTGCTTGGCCAGCACTAACCGAATAAAATACTCAGCCAAAACTTCAGAATTGGCATCTGACGGCTTCTCTAAATCCAACAGTTGCAAGTTGATATCAGGCTGTTCCGTACGAAGCGCTCGGGCGATACCTGTGAACATATTGGAGTTTGGGTCCGACCCTCTACTCCCGGTCCTTGTCCAGAGAATGGACTCAGATGCACTCAAAAGCGTTTGGATCTTATCTAATTTGTCCGCCGTCATCTCAATGGCGAACAACGACTGATCAAGCTCAGTTAGACTGATCACCGATACCCGCTCAAGGGGGTCGAGCGAGAGCGACTCGAGATGTGATATGGTGTCAATGGATGAGATCCATGAGGCAAGCTTCCTCTTCAAGTCTTTTGCTAATCTGGCTATAGGAAGGGTCTCACCGCCCAATATCACCAGCCTATGCGATAGCGTTGGAAGAAGGTCCAAGTTCGACAGAGGGCTGCGCAACACATTAAATTGCTCGTCAACAGCCTGGCTCACCAATGTAGTCACTTGGTGTTTCTGCGAAACGGTATGGTCAGCCACGGCCTGGTCAACACCCGAAAACCCGGTACGCTGTAGTAGATCGTCCCACTGTACAACCGAAAGGGCAGGTGACCATTGACGGCCTTCATCACCCATCTGTGCACCAAACCACCATCCAGTAAGTGCACCCATGATGAAGCCCATTCGCAACATATCGCCTGTCATTTCCATCATTACCAGATACCCTCCCGGCTTTAGAAGACGACGGACATGGCGCATCGTGTCGGCCATGTTGCGTGTGGCGTGAAGCACGTTTGCAGCTATGATGACATCGTAGCCCTCTTCAACAAAACCTTCGTCAATGGGATCTTTCTCGATATCACAGACTCGAAAAGTCATCTTGTGGCGATATTCGGCAAATTTCTCAGCCGCCTTTTCAAAAAAGCCCGATGAGATATCAGTAAATGTGTAATGACTGAATGCATCTCCCATGGCTCGTAACACACTGCCAGTAGTTCCTCCGACACCTCCACCGATTTCAAGAATATTAGCATGGGGGTATCGATGGCTGATCTGACTGAGAGCGCGCGCAATCTGGTCGTTCATACTCTCAAATCCATAGGCCGCGGCATAAAATTGGCCCAGCATATCGTTTTCCATCATCACCTCTATTGCTTGTGTCTGGCCTCGGGCAATGGATGGCAACTTTTCGCCTAGCGCACGCATCATGACAATGTCAATACTATTCTGATATTTCTCGACCTGTTTCCATACGGCTTCGCGGGAGTCCTCCAGCCACTCTCGCTTCACATTAGGATGGCGTCCAGCGCCCACCTCCTCTACCCAATGTTGAGCTGATTGCCAGAACAACTGTTGGTGCCAGGCGAAGCCCTTTACCTCACGGGGCGAAATTTCGTCCAACAGAGTACGGTAGTAGTAGAGGGCTGTACGTCCCAGTGCCTCATACAGCTCGTTATGGGACACGCGATCCGGTTTCTCCATCATAAGCTTGTCAATGCCTGTTGATATATCACTATCCCAGCGCGTGTTGGAGAACAGTAATTGCTTGCTACTGGTCGAGGCATCCCCTGCCACCTGCATCTCAAGGTCCTCGATTTGCACGGCCAGACGAGAGTCGAACATGATTTGTACCTCGCCCTCTATCCCCTTTGTCGACGAAGCTGTCACCCGTGCAACATTTTCAGTCTCGATACCTGCTGCACTGTATCTCGGCAAGCTATCCATATGGATAGTCATTTGTCGGATACCTACTGGGAGGTACATCGTCCACATTTGACCCGATGATGGAGAAGCAAACGCCGCTAGCACAGCTTGAAGTCCAACGTCCAGAACAGCAGGATGAAGTGAGTACAAGTTCCCAAGATTTCCGTCATCCCATGAGGTGATGGTGGAAGCATAATTCAATACCCTTTTGACAGACTTGGCCGCACGGAATAAGCCCTGGTAGTTGATGCCCAGATCCCTCAGATTTTCATAGAAGAGTTCATGGTCCACAGCGTTCGTGTTGGGTGGTGCTTTGCTGGGCAAAGGCAGTCGAACCCTTTGGTTTGAACTTCCCTCGTCAAGGTATACCTCGACACTCCCGCTACATGTCCTCTCAGGCACGGCCTTCGCATCGTCGGCTGAGGTTGCGGAGAAAGCGAAGTCGGCTGACAAGAGACTTCCGGTCTTGTGATTGAGTTGAAGACTTGTGATGAGCTCCGTCGACTTGTTCTCGTGTAGAACAACTGCTTTAGGTATCTTGACATCTAGAAGCTTGATATACTTGATGGAGCTTCCCTTGGCTAGGACTTTGACCGCCTCGATGATAGCAGCAATATAAGATGCGCCTGGAAGAAGAATTTGCCCTTGGAATGCGTGGTCCCTAACCCAGGGAATCTCAGTTGGCCGGAGAATATTACGCCATCGGAGCAGCTCAGGCGTATCATCTGTTGCTCTGCGACCCAGAATCTCCTGGATATGTCTGTCACTGAGCCGGTAGTTGTGCGAAATGCGCGACTCTTTCCAGTGTATTCTGCTATGATCCCAGGAATAGGAGGGCAGTCCTTTGACCAGCCTTGGGGCTTGGAACTTGTCCTGTGGGTCACTGAAGGCTCGTCGGTACCCTTCGAAGTCAATTAAGGCAGCAGGCCCTAAATTCTCCCAGAGATATCCTAGCGCGCCTGAGAGGGCTTCGACCTCATCTTCATCTCGTCGCATAGTGCCGAAGTATGGTAACACGTTGCCTAGCGAGGCCTTGAGAATCTGAGTGACGGGGCCCTTGAGTGCATGATGAGGTCCAACTTCGGCTGCGGCATCAAAAGGGCCAGCTTTCCCAAGGGAGTGCTCTACTGCCGGTGCAAACAAGACAGGACTGAGGAGATTGTCCACCCAGTACTGGGCCTTAAGAACATTCAACTTATCTTCGTCGTCCTCATCTGCCAGCACTACATCCGCGTTTCCATGGACGCTCGATACCCAAACGCAGCTGTCTTTGGGCCTCTGAACTTGAATATTGCACGCCTTCAGGGAAGCTAGATACGCAGTCGAACAGGCCTTCATATGATGTGAATGATATGCCGTATCGACATTCAGTTTCCTGTTGAATGTTTTTTCGGAGTCCAACTCGGCCTTGATTTCATCAATTGCATCTAAGTCACCAGAAAGAGTGACACTTGTAGGAGCATTTGCGGCTGCAACGCTGGCACGTCCTATATACTCTGGCCTGGCACAAATTTCCGTAGCGCTTTCGAACGATAGGCCCGCCGCTAACATGGCGCCAAGCTTCCCCTGAGGGCCGCTCGCTAAACCCGCATGAAACCCCCTATAGTACGCGACTGTGAAAATCTCGGAGTCAGCATTGCCATCTCATTAATACTGTAAAAGTTCATTATAGAAATAGGAGATAATGGAAGATGTTTGTGGAGGAAATGTTGTTTTGACCATCTCAAATTCGCCTGGCAAAAGCACAATTCAACTTGGGGAACACTTACTGCGAATAGCATCATGAGCTGAAATCATGCCGGCCGCATATACAGCTGCAATCTCGCCAGATGAATGTCCCACCACGCTACGAAATGTAATGCCACCAGCATGCAAGACATCTACCAGACCGATCTGGATTGCCGTACATAGCGGTTGAGAAATAGCCGCCTCGCTTAGCCGCGAGCTTTTACCCGTGGCAAGAAGCTCCTGCTTCAGAGACCACGATGGAGCATCGGCTCCCAATGCTGCCAACGATGCCTCACAACAGACAATGGCTTCGCGAAATATTGGGCTGAGTCGAATTAGATTGCTGCTCATAGATGCCCACTGTGCACCCTGGCCGGTGAATATACCCAAAATGGCCGGACCGTCCTCACCGAGGCGAGCATTGGCAGGGCTATTAAGAGATGAAGGGGTCGAATTTGAAATATGGTTATTCACAAATGCGTCCATGTGTGACAACATTTTCTGGCTCGTGGAACCGGAAAAGGAGGCTCTGCTTACGCCGAAGTGTGTTCGACGGAATTGCAGTGTCCAAGCCAGGTCTCTGAGATCAATTTTCTTGTTATTGCGGATGTGTTGTGCATGCGCCTTTACTGATCGTACAAGTGACTCTTGAGAATTCGCTGAGAATATCAGCGGCCCCAGGAACCGCTCATCCTCATCCTCTTCATGCTCACATACTTGTGGGGGCTCTTCTTGAAATGTCTCAAGAATGACGTGGGCGTTAGTCCCACCGAACCCAAAACTATTGATACTCGTGCGGAGAGGGGAGCCTGCTGGAACTTCCGGCCACTCGCACGCCTTGGTTGGAATCTCAAGATGATTGTAAAATGGGCGAACGTCTGGACTCAGAGCCGAAAAATGCATATTTGGTGGAATAGTACGATTTTGCATCGCGAGTGAAGCCTTAATAACTCCAGCTAGCCCGGCACAGCCCTCAAGGTGCCCCACAACAGTCTTAATAGAGCCCACCAGCAGCTTTGCAGGGAGAGCAGAATCGTCGTAAGCTTTCCCTTCTGGGAAGAAGGCATCCCGAATAGCTCTTGCTTCTACTGGATCTCCAGCCCGGGTGCCAGTTCCATGAGCCTCAAAATACTGGCATCGATCAACGAGAGGATCCAGACCAGCGTCCTTGTAGGCCTGTTGAATAACAGCTATCTGTGCATCTGAACTGGGTACCGTAATTCCCTTCGTGCGTCCATCCGAGTTGACGGCACTGCCCCGCACAACGCTCTCAATTCGATCTCCATCGCGAATTGCTTTGTCAAGAGGTTTTAATACAATTGCTGCAAAGCCTTCTCCACGAGCATAACCATTTGCTCCTGCATCCCACATACGAGAACGTGAATCAGGGGAAAGCATATGTAGCTTAGACTCAGCTATATACATGAATGGATCAATTAAAAGGTTGGCTCCAGCAACAATAGCCATGTCGCTCTCGCCGGATCGTAGACTCTGCATCGCCTGATGTAAAGCTACTAAAGAACTGGAGCAGGCTGTGTCTATAGTCATAGAAGCCCCTTTGATGTCCAGAAAATACGAAATTCGATTCGACAGAATGCTTGCGTGGGTGCCCGTGCCGCTATGTGTGGGAATGGTCTCAACATCGCGTCCTTGGATATGGGAATAGTCGTTATTCATTAATCCGGCATAGACAGATGTCAGTGACCCCCGCATTTGGTCAAGAGTGCATCCAGCTGATTCGAGGGCTTCGTAGACAGTTTCTAGAAGGTTGCGTTGCTGGGGATCCATGCCGTCTGCTTCCGAAGGACTAATATGAAAGAAAGACGCATCAAATAGTCGAGGATCCTCTGATAGGAGATAGCTCTTATTCTGAACGTCGGTGCTGCCATGATGTTCCCCGTTTTGGTGATAAAAGGTCTTGAGATTAAGCCTGTCGGCATGGAATTCGCTGAGTACATCTCGGGGATCCTTTAGTAACTCCCATAGCTTTGATGGGGAGGTTGCTCCGCCAGGGAAACGACATGCAGATCCAATAATGCCAGCCGATTTTGACATTATTTATTTCAGAGCGAAGAATGTAGTAGCGAAGAAGGTAGTAGTTGATGTGATTACAACACAAAACTAATCAGAGAATTAATCTAGCAGTTTTAGGCAGGGCACTTGAATACATATAGAATAATGTTAGACCCTGTTTTGGCACGGGATATCATGCCTCAAGATCGTCTTTTGGCATGTTATGTCGGTTGTGTTTGGCTGTCTTGGACACCGTCCACATAGAGAGCCAAGTACCGAGTAAACCTTAAAAAAGCATGATCTACCGGAGCTTAAGGTACATACTTCGTACCTCGGGACGAAGTAATTCGTCCTAGGCAAAATACTGTAAATGTTGGTTTCCTAGGATGATTAAGGTTGGCAACAGGGTAAAAGTCCCTGAAAAACCTACGGTTATTTCGCCTGGGACGAAGTATAATGTAGGTTAGCCGTAGGAACACTAATATTCGATTGTTCGTAGCATCGTAACGCGACAGCGCATCGCCTACGTTACACACAGTGAAATCGCAGTTAAAACAACGTTTCCTTTTTAGGCAGGACAATACTGTTCCGTCGACACGGAGGCCCAAAGTGGTAAATCTAAGTTTTCCTGCCTTGGCGATCCTTAAATCCCCAGGAGGCCCCCTTGCTACTCCTTTTTGGGTGTCTTTCAAGGTGAAGGGGGTGGACAGTCAAAGCTAGACCCTGTCACGTAGATCGTATATATGAAAAGTCTATATTGTTCAGATCGAAGTCTCTAATTCGCTAATTTATAGTAGCTGAAAATCAGGGCTGAGATATACTATGATTGGCGACAGTGTCCAGCTTTGACTGTCCACCCGCTTCCAAAGTTATTATTATTATGCCTGGGACGAATGTTAAAGAGGTTCAGCCTTAAGTTAGGGCCCTTCTACTCGTCTTCGTTTTGGTACTATTCTAATTGTACTCTCAAACCTACAGGTAGTACTAATGAATAATACCAAAACGAAACCGAGTTTGGTACTTACGGCATTAATTCTCGTGGAATTCAACCGTCTAGTCCACAGCTAACTTGGGGCCACCGTATCCAGTTTTTCTGTACAATCTGTCTACCGGTAGTTTATATTTTCTTGCGATCGATTGAAGTGGCGGTGTGTAGGTACAGTACTTTGTCCTAGGCATGATAATTGCAACTTTTACGGGGGTTTTTACCATCTCCACTGAAGCCGCCCTTGGAAAGTTCCAATTAACACTGCTGTAACGAAATAGTATATGCATACGCGTGCGGCTCCGTGAGGCTCAAAATGCTTATGCGAACTATATGCGAGCATGCGAGGCTTGGTAATCCTTGTACGAGTTCAGCCCACACGTAGAAGTCTCCAGAGAGAATCGAAGTAGACTCTTATACTAAGAATGCGATATACATCCCTCTTCTAAATATCTTTATCCATAAATGATATCCAAGAGATCCTATACAGGTGGCCCTTTTTTAAAATTATCTTTCCTAGTAACCATAGGTGGCACTTATATATTTCGTCTTACTCCGTTTGGGTTCGTTTCGGTATGATTCAGTTTATACTCTCGGACGAGCTTTACAGTCCGTTTCCCGGCGATATTGAGCCCCAATATCCTATAGGAGAAAAGTGTTTCGAAAGATCTACAATAGAGACCCCCAGGACCGCGTATCCAAAGCTGGGCATTGTCGAGTCAGAGGAGCATCCAGGGTACATCGCTACAACTAGGAATACATACGCTGTAGTTTCTAGCCTTCCTAGTGGATTACACCGTGTTTCTGATATTGAAAAAAGATAAAGTTAAGCGAATTCAGAAGAGAACAGTAGCTATACAGTAGTACCTGAAACTAAAAAAAAAATCAGCAAAGAGAAAAGACTCAGCAAGAAATGCTATATACTTCATAGTATAGCATCCATAGCACGACATCAAGGTCGATCGATATATTGGTCTTAAGTAAAAAGTCATGTGGTGGTATCTTCTGGTAGTAGACTGTAGACCTCGAATATTGTACCTTACTCCGTTACACCCCGTGGGTCCCTCCTTTGTCAAGGTTTACTAGGTACTTGCTCTACGGCAACGGAAAAAATTCGTAATTTGTTCCTCTATAACCTCGCTTGTTTCTATACATTTTGACAAATAACTTATTCCAACGTAACTATAAAAGACCTGGGTAGAGTCAAAAGAGAGGCGAGTCAAGCCGGAGTTTACGAGTAAGTTTCTTATAATCTTCTGATATTTGTAGAGTAAGAGATCTATCTTCTGAAACCAAGACCTAGCGGTACAAATTCAGAGCCTCCCTTCCCGTTCAGCTTGGCTCTGTACGTGGACGGTGTCCTACCTGGTGCTACCCAGATAATCCACAATATGACATTCGTCCGTATTGCGGCTCACTGTCCACTCGCAAAAGAGGCTGGTAGTTTATGGTTTACAATCCAACAATTCAGCGAGGCTCCACTTCGATACATTTTCACTTTAATTTGAAAAACAGGTTTCAGATACCGTACCCATGCTCTATCGGTAGACGCTGAGGGGACTCAGAAATAGCTAAGCTACGAATCTACGATCAATTGTTCAGCGTAAAATGGAGACATTACCAACAGTAGAGCGTGCCCTCAAGGTCCGGGGTTCCAAGGAGATTGAGATATGCAATAAATGGCCCCTGCCTGTTCTCGAAGACGACGAAATCCTGGTCCGTGTCAGATGTGTTGCCATGAATCGGGTGGATGTGGAGATGGTCGAATTGGCGCCAAAGATCGGCGTAACGATAGTTTGTCAGTTCTCTGGCGATTCAGTAGGGTTGATCCGATGCCACGTTGGTGAAGAATCGTAAGTTAAAGAAGAGCCCGGGGAAACCATCCGAATCGAGGCGACAATGGGGCGTTTGCTGACTTCGTCGCTGTGGCGGGGGACTTGGTTTATCTTCTTCCTCCACACTTGTCATATCAGCAAGGTGCCAGCCTTGGGGTTGCCCTCCCCACAGTAGTCCCACAGTAGGCATGGCATTGTACTCTTTGTGGTCTCTCCCCAAACCCTACCCATTGTTGTCCCAAGCCAAGCGGACCCGAAGCGCAAAAGCCTTTCAGCCGCAAGCGAGAGCTCGTCGTCAACCCCATCTTCAACGTCGTTTGAATCGTCTCCCGCAACCAGAACCCAGCGATATGTGCTTGTATACGGCGGAAGCTCGGTTTGCGGTGCCATGGCCTTGCAATTGCTTCGAAATTCTGGGTTTATCCCGGTGTCCACATGTTCGCCCCAGATTTTCGCCCTGGTGAAAGATTTGGGTGCTGAGGAGCCTTTCGATTACAACTACCGATCGCCGACATGTGGGGAAGACATTCGCCGCTTCACCGCCAACACCCTTACTTATGTACTTGACTGTACTCTATCACAGATCTTACGTAACTCGACAAGAATTCACTATGCGGCTATAGGTATGCCCGTCCCAAAGACCGAGCATTTGCCGAAAAATGGATTCTAGGCACAGGCCTCGGTTGAAAAGCTAAGTGACATTCGCCCGCACCCTCTTGATATAGATACAGAGGAATTGAATGGTGTTGCTGAAGGTTTGGATAGAATGCGCAAGGGCGGGGTTAGTGGAGTGAAACTTGTCTATGTACTTGGAACCCTGTTCGTTCAATTCGTAGTGTTTGAAGGATCGCCTAAGAGTTGAATCGTGGCTTCGTTATCTTTGTCTACAGTAAACACGCTACAATTCCATACCAATGTAACGCAAATATCCGAAAAACATAAGCAACAATAATATCAAAGTATATTTTATGATGTCCACTTGTATTTGTAGGTCATTTAGTTTAAATAAACCTTTTCAGCTTAATGCGGGTATAATAGTCGTCTAGAACGCATTAAGTGTAGAAAGGTCAGCAGTGCTGGGAATACTTAGATTCTTGACAGAGAGAGCTGGATGAATAGCATGAATGAAGTCTATTTTCATGGTATCCAAATTTCGAGCTCAATTATTGTTTTACTTGCTCGGCTGGGAAATCCGTAGTTATTTAGAGCGCGCTAGAGTAGCTTAGTGCATCAATAAAAAGAAATTCATTGTGTCTTTGAGGTGTATAGAGTATTATCAAGATAAGAACTTAAGAAACAGAAATTATCCCATATACTTGCTGAAATAAAAGGAAGTTAAACATAAGTCGATTTTTTGAACTATTCAACTAGCTGCTCTTACCTGAGTCAGATGACCGTTTTGAATTTTCAAATCGGCGTTCTAATCTCTAAAGGCTTTTGCCAAGATTGATCTAATTTGGCTTGCCTAGAATATATTGCAGTAACCCCGAACTCCCTGTTTTCGATAATTAGACCATTTTCAACCGCTATATATTAGATATGTAGGTTACCATTATAGCAGTCAAAAGTATAATCGTCTAATCTATAATATGCTTCTGTTATAGTTTTATAAGGTGTACAATAAGTAGGGTAGAGGGTGTAAAATAAGAAATATAATATAGATTACAAAAACTATAATAGTATACGAAACTAGATAATAAGTAACTATAAAATAAGTAACTATATTACTAGGAAGCTACCTAGTATATTTACCGCCTCTCCCCTCGTCTAATATAGCTCGAGCTTTTAGAATAACTACTATTACGGCACGAGACTCCTAGCTCTATTACCTGACCCCTGTCTCGGTTACCTAGTCCTCTAGAGTCTTCTACTCGGTTAGGGTCATCTTATAAAACTCCCTACTTGCCCCTTAGCTAGCTTCTCTCCTTATTTCGCTTATCTATTCTATATTATACCCTCGTCTTCTAACAACTACCCTTTGTTACATCACCATTCTAATTCCGTTACTAATTCCTTCTTTCACTACTTACACTATCACCCTTTCCCGTCTTTTAATCCACCTCCTTTGCTGTTCGGAACTAGCTCAAACGAAGTCATCGAGAAATTTAAGGGTTGAAGTTTGTTCCTCGTTCATGAGCTGACGGAGCACTTGCTGCATTGGAGAATATTTAGAGAACCATGATGATAAGCTTTGGCATTGTGTTCCCTACAGAGTTTTAGATAATAATTATGCTTTAAACTTTGTAGGACAGGTCCGCGAATGCTGAGAGATCCCCTGACGACGATCTTTCCTGGCTAGAAGAAATTGGTTGTATCAGAAGTAGTCACGAAGAAGTACTGTACAGTACTTCTATAGAAATCGGTCCAATTAGAACATCAATCAGCTGACCTTGTTATCTGAATTGTTATGTCCAGTGGGATTGATCGAAGTCTTGCTCGATAATACTACAACCTTAACTTAGTAAGTGGCTGATAAGGAAAGGCTACACGAACCTTCCACGGCTGTGACAGCCTGATTGTCGGGTACAGTACCGCAATCGTGAACGAAAGTTTTGATATAGTACATCGCTATGAATTGACAATCGTACTTTGAACAATCAAGGATATCAGCAACCTAGTCCTTCCAAAAATTATCCGGACGCAATAATGTTCCAGGTCGACATCGGCATCGATCTCCAGTGGCCAAAACAAGCTTCTAAGCTTTCTTAGAATCCCGTCGATAGGGCTATAAGGTTCTAGAATCTTACTGGTCAATTCGGTAATGAAAGGGAAGATAGCGCTACTCGTATTCTGATGTCCTATCAAATCACGAGCTGCTTGTTGAATTAGGAAGGTATGGAGATCAGGCGCAACTTAGAGACGGAAATATCTATTTACCCCGCATACCTCCCGGATTTGAATGGGTTGCGCTGGAGGGCACAATCTAACTGTGGCACTATATTTCGAAGAATATAACCATTTTCCTGGTCCACGCGGCCACGTGGGAGAAGGATTTCAATGGGCTACCATAACTTGCTCCAGAAAACTAAGGAAAGATATTTTGTGTAAGCCGCACTCCATAAATGGACCATGCCTTTCAAAACGCCACCATCCATACCTCGAGGTTTGATACCGCGATGCAACTCAAGACCACCTATGAGAAACCGGGTGTGAAGTATGTACAGGGTTTGATGCTTCTTCACACCCCTGCCGAGATGACCCTTTACGCAGTACCTTATCAAGATAGCCCGCTCGTGTGTAACTGTTGATATCAGCTCGGAAGAATCCACCCATCAGATATTAAGCTTCTATGGCTCTTCTTAACAGAAATGCTTCGCACCTCATCTTCCCTCACCCTCTTCGACTCACTATCGTAATTCATCAAGTTTACATTAAGACCTTTCAGCCCACAATGAGTAAAGAGGCCCTCTCAATTGAGGGCAGCGACCCCCAGTCCCAAAACAAAGTAGCCGTAGAAGCACATCACCCACTTCCAAGCGAGTTGATGAACGCCAAACACGACCCCAGCATCTCATTCAAAGAATATATGTACTATGCCGCCATAACATGAGCCGACGAGAAAATCGAGAATGAAAAGTATATCATTGCTTCCGGACCCAGAACTGTAAAATCCCTACTTGCCAACAGATTTTCAACAGGAAGAAACAATGCTGTTTTGGAGTACCCGTCCCCTACAAGCGAAAACAACGAATTGGAAAGAAAAGAGGGCGACGGAAGCATGAAAAGAGATTTCGGCAACGTTTCCGTTGCGGAGTGGAAGAATGCGAGTAGAGCTATAAGAACGGCAGGGTGGAGCAGTATTTTTTATTTGATTACTACGGATATTTTGGGCCCTTTTAGCGTTCCGTGGGTTTTCCATCCATAATTTGGAGGAAATGATACTGATTTGGCTTTCAGATGGGCTTTTGCTCAGATGGGGTATGGGCCAGGTATTGTTCTGTATACAGTCTTCGGAGCCTTGGCTATGTAGTAAGTACAGTATCTCACTTAAGAAATTTACTCGTTCTATTCATTTGTACGACAGAAGAGGCCAAACCGGCTAAGTCCATCGACATTCAGTTATTTGACCCTCGTTTTGACAGTAGATGAACTGCCCTCCGACCACCCATCTTGTTCAGATTCAATCAGCAGCTAACAAAGCGTAGCTCCGGATTCCAGATATACAAAGTCTTCATATATCTTGACTCCAATCGATACCCCGTAAGAACATTCGGCGACCTTTTCTTCCGCACTTACGGAAAGTGGGCATCTCATATGTCCAATATCCTCCAAACACTTCAGCTCCTGATGTCGGTGTCGATCTTGATTCTCTCCAACGGTCAAGCGATTTCTCAAATCTCCAAGGGGAACCTCTGTTTTATAGCTTGTTTAATCATCTTTGCCATTGCAGGGATGCTATTAGGTCAGATACGAACCCTTCAGAGACTTGGATGGTTCGCCAACTTGGCGGTCTGGATCAATATACTTATTATGTTCATTTGGTGAGTTTCTCTATACCTTTAAGCTTAGTTTTTCAATTTCTTATAGTAACAATTATCTAGTATGGGAGTAGTTGCTAACAATGCACCAAACTTTACGGCCGTTGAATCCTCGTTTGGTCCCGAATTTGCAGAAGGGCCTATCCACAAATATGCAGGAACTCCCCACGATGGAGCGGCAACTGGTGGCAGTGGATTTACGGCGTCTTGTAATTGACCGTTCATTTATGTTGTGCTTGAGAAAACCTCGGCTAATAATATTGTAGTAAATGGTCTCAACCAAGCAATCTATTCGTATGGAGGAGCCATGCTTTTCCCTGCCTTCCTGGCTGAGATGCGACACCCTTTCGACCTTTGGAAGGGTCTTCTACTGGCCGATTTGTGCATCTATATTGTTTACCTCTTCTTTGGACTTTTCGTCTACTCCTACCAAGGGCAATACTCCTATAACCCTGCCTTCCAAGGACTGTCTCCATATAACTGGCAAACAGCATCAAATATCATGTCATCAATCACTGGACTTATCGCAGCCGTTCTGTATGGAAACATCGGCATCAAAGTTGCTTACATCGAAGTCTTTCAGGAGTTCTTCAACTTTCCGCCACTGACTACAAAGAAGGGAAAAATATACTGGTGCCTTTTAGTACCCATTTACTGGGCTCTCGTATTTGTAATATGTGCCTCTATCCCGCAATTTTCATATATTGGTGGACTTGTTGGCGCTGTCTGTATTTTGCAGTTTACGTATACATTCCCAGCAATGCTAGGTTTCGGCTTTCAGATTCGGAAAGATGCAATGTTACCAGATCAGGAGTCATTTGATGCGACTACCAAGACATACAATTATGTGGACCAGGGATGGGGAAGATTGAGGAGAGGGTTCAAAGTCAGATGGCTGTTGAATGGGTTTAACTTCTTTTATTTCTTGGGGTCGTTGACTACAGCTGCTTTAGGGATTTATAGTAGTGCTGAAGGATTGAAGGGTGCATTTGAGGGAAAAAGTGTTGCAAGTAGCTGGGGCTGTAAGAGTCCCACTGGTTGAATCACTGATGATGTTGCGGAAATTGAAGGAGGATGCTTTTCGAATTTGGGTGTTTGTACAAGCTTCGTTGATGTTGGGGATGAGGTGAAAGAAGTCATTTTACCACTACAATAATATTGAAGGTGACTTAGCCTGTTGTCGTAGTCATATTATTACTTGTTCTTATACCATGGCATACGTACGTAAAGTAAAATCCCTGACTTACGCTCATAAGGGCGACCGCGTGTGCTGGGGCAGTGTGGATGGAAGGATTGGCTCTGCGTGGAACTTCTGATTCCTCTAATCTGCAGGTCAAGAAATACCAAAAAAGAAATCAAAGCACATATAGGTACTCATGCTGCATGAATTAAATAATATAGACCAAGTCGTAGAAGAGTTTTTTTATGGCTTCAAAATTTGGTTCTCAACCAGTTCACCTCAGAAATCATTTTATTATATTGGTCGTCACAACACGGGTCCTCTAGGAGACTTGCGCCAAGTTATTAATCCGTGCTTCGAGACGATAAACGCGTACACGGACAGGAAAAGCATTGTGGCTGTCCAATACTGCCCAGAGCATTTGGTGATGGGTTGCTGCTCCTGTTTCTCGCAACACTTCGCAGATTGATCGGCATCTCGCCTACAAGATACCGCAAGGTTGCTGAGAACTATTCGGGAAACTTTATTTGACCCCTGAGCCTCTTCTTCGCATGATGTAAAGACCCTAGTGTTGCCTCACTTAGCACGTGTAAGTAGTGTGGGCAGGAAATACTCATACTATAAGCAATCTGTTAGAAAAAACAACCACGAGAACTCCGTACGCCGAGAAAGATATGATCACAAAGAGATGATTAAACTGCCCAAAATTGCTAGAGAAGGAAATAGAACAAGAACTAGAAGAAGGTGATGATAACCTTAGCTTTCATAAATATCATTCTAGGGGTTAATGCAACACAAAGGCGCTACAACAGATGCGGTATTTCACGAAGTCTTGTGTTGTTAATTACCGCGCCACGGGCAACTTCTCAAAATGTTTGGTCCACCTGCAAGTTGTCGTCCTCTGGCTCACCCTACTCAGATTCCATCGGAACTTCGGGAACCAATACCTAAACCAGGTACAATACCGACTGTACTACCCGCCGGAGTAACCACTACCTGCAAGTCTAAATAAGGTACGAGATGGTGGTTGAAGGATCAGAACTGAGATTTCATAGGGCTGGCCTAGCCTAGATCTTGAATATTTCTTGGGCGCCAACGACTGTGCCGCACCCCATGAAAATCTTCCAGGATTCCTTTATGGACATCATACTGGTTTTCGACACGACTTGCCTTACTGTACAGCTCAAGTGTGAATAATGACTTGGTTGGTAGGGCAGATTGAATATAATCTTACGTACTGCACATGTACATCTCATTACAGGTACAGTACCGCGGTAGAAATATCAGCCCATGTCCACCCCACCTTCTTTGTGAGGCTGCCAACGCTGATAAGTATATATCTCATATCGTATGTTTGATTCGGCTTTTCGGTCTTCACTATCTGATTTGTCTTCAGGACTATTCCATCCATTCACGACATATGTTTTGCTTCAAATCAGTGTCAGCCGCCACCGATATACAAACATACTCGGCAGCGTTTCAGAATTGTAGGATTCAAGCGCTGGATCTTACTCTGCCCAGCTCCACGCATCTCTGGCCCCCAACGGTGCTGTAAGCATTGCGGCGTAGTTAACTGCAATTACACCTGTGCCACATGTAACCATATGGAGTTTTGAACCCGCCGTTCTTGAGATGAAGCAGTTTCTTTTCTTGCGAAGTTTTATATTCTACTATTGCCATTGCTGTAGCTCTCGTTTTTCTGGAATTCGATATGGCGCCTTATCACGAGCAACCCGGACTTGAAGTCGGGGTTCAACCTAATGATAAGTATATACCGGGCTCTCTTGGGGGCATTCAGGGTTACTCGACAGCTGCAATGGCCAATACTTCAACAAATCTTCATCCAGCGACTGAAGGGCACGCTTTACATCTAGCGAATGAAGGAAACTCAAATGACAACCCGTTCTCGAACTCAGCAAATATCGTTTCAAATTCGCCTCCGAACTCCGAGCAATATGGCCCCTCTCACTACTCCTCGTCACAAGTGCCTCAAGCCTCCTCGATATCCTATTCAACAGCTGGGAGAGCTTCTCAGTCGAGTTACTCCTTTTCAAATACGCCGCAGCCATCGTCAATATCGCCTCCAGCACAAGAAAGAAGCGCGCATTTTGGCTATACAAATGCAGCACAAAATACTCATATTTCACCTCATAATGTGAACCGAGAAGCTCTCTCTGACTTCTCACGATCAAATTCAGCCACTTCGGCAACTCGAGTACAAGCGCCACAGAAAATCGATGCTGGTTATGACTATGCGCCATCCAAATACTCCTCGCTTCCAGGTTATCATAAAACACACGATGGTCGAGAAAAAGGCGGCAAACACATATGCGGATTGAAACTTGCAACATTTCTTTGGCTTCTTGCCTTCGCAATTGTAATACTGGTTGCAGGGTTAGGGTTAGGGCTAGGGTTACCAATGGCAGTCAACAATGCTAAGAAAGGGTAAGCCAGAAGCTTTAGCCATGCAATTATTTCATGTCCTAACTCATACCAGGGCCGCTGTTTCCGCTTCAGCCGTAGCTGCGTCGGCATCTGCCGCATATTTAAAGCAGAATGCTTCACCTACTTCAAATACTCTTATGCCTACTTCCGGGCAAACAAACGTTGGTGTTACTAGTATTGTCACCAGTATGATTACTGCTAGCGCAAAACCAACTACCACAAGCTCAGGCCCCTACACAGCAGACCCATCACCATCCACGATAGCTCGCGATTGTACCAGCCCGAAGAAATTCACCATCGGCGGCAAGTACGAGAACACTTTCAGTATAACATGCAACAAAGACTTTGTGCCTCCGTCTGTTGGTTTTGTCGACATCATCGCATTAACAGTTTACTCAATCAATGACTGTGCAAGAGCTTGCGCATCCTACAACCGAAACATTGGTGGCGGTAACAAGTGTATAGCAGCAGCTTTTGACGCGAATTGGGCTGCTGTCGGTAAGGATGCCGGCAACTGTTGGCTCAAAAATACTACAGCAACTATCAAAGATGGAGCTGGTACGCAAGCAATAATACTGTTGGAGACATAGTTGCTAGATTTCATCAGGACTATTGTATATAATGTGGAGAATACTTATGAGATACGAGATTGCTTATTAAATTTAATATAGATGTACCTCTTTAAGGAGAGGAAATGGGAAAACATTATGCCAAGTGCGAGGCTTCGATAGACCAATGTTATCTTCTAGATAGAGAAATATACCCTATGTGATTCCTACTCTTATATATATGCTATGTGCGGCACTTCTTTTTTTCGCGCGATTTGATTTGATTTTCTTTTCTTTCCAAAAATAAAAAGGTACATGGCCAAAATTCAATTTTTACTCTTCTTTCAAGTATTTCCTTCTATCTCTTAGTCGCTCTAGAAAAGTAGCCTAATTCTATGATGATCCGATTGCCGTTTCAGCACCGTTGTCGATGCATGCCTGACGCCACTATTTATAATACAATTAGCTCCCCTTATTTACAACGAGTGGCCGGGAAAAATGTACCACTTCGGAAACAATCTTTCCTCCTGTACTCCAGCACATTGGAGGTGCTGCCTGCAAAACGCAATCGCTGCAGCCATTCGACTTGAAGAGGCTGCATACGTATTCAGTCGCTCGAAAGTGGAATTCCCCCTGTTTTTTTTTTTTTGGTTACCCTTTGTTTTATACCCGAAGTTGTCTAGAAAGAGAGGGAGACGGGGACCTACATCCGAATATCGACACTGTGCGGTAGTCCAACCCTCACTATAGACGCTAGTCGCTAAAGTAGCGAGAACAAGAAGATTTCGGATTTGCATATTATAGGGAGAATTGATGCAATTTTGTTTCTTGGTATAGTACCGGAAGGCCGTCCTACAAATGAGTAGAATAGAGGTCTTCGGGGAAAGTCGTAGAAACGGCGTCGTCACGCTTTGTAGATAGAGGGTTGAAACAGCTTGTAGATGTAATCGGCGAAGGTTTTGAAGCAAATGGATTGAACCAAGGACTATCTTCTCTAACTACTATTTATTATAGGCGGCTGTCGGGCTCTTATTCGCTCGAAGCATGATATGTAAATCTAATTTTTAAAGCTTATTGTCTCCACCTTTCGTCTTGGCTTGAAGTTGTTTCAACATTTTACAGAAAAGTCTTGATACTAGGTAGGATATGGGTTTTGACAGTATCTATAAGGATATAACCCAGGTATCCTTATAGCGCGTATCCTAGTATCAGGGTTTCTCTGTACTGCTTACTTCGTCCTAGGCTAAATAAGTGTAGGGGGGCAGCGACACGAGCTGTTCGTTTTCTTTCCTTGTTTTTAGACATTATAGTTTTAAAATAGAAACTGTAAAATTTGATACAAACAAAAATAAAAGATGTATATGATACGCCGAGGGAACAATCCGATACTAAACAAGACTATCTAGCTATTTCTAGTACTTTGTACAAGGCGAGATAAATGTAGGTTTACTGGACTAGCGAAGCTTGCCAACAGGGTAATGACCCCTGAAAATACTACATTTATTTCGCCTAGAAAGAAGTTTGGAAACTAGTAAAACGAATTGGATGTAATAAATATACAAGAAACGGTAACAAAATGCTATTATAGTAAGTACATGGAAAGTTGGTCCAGAATCGGGGTCCGACTCGACAGGCTAACAAGGGGAACGTGCCGAGAAAAATTATATAACAAGACCTTTAAACCGCTATTTTCAATCAACAAAACACGGCAAATAGTACACGACACTGTACTGCTACCTAGTTAAGGGTCAGTTACTTTAGTATTAGAGAGTATAACAAGATCGTTACAGAATACTAATGTTAAGAGAAAGTAAATAAAATATTATAAATTAATTTGAACTCTGTTAAGTATTTGATCTTAACTTAGTGAAATAACTTTATTTACTTTCACCTTCCAAAGAGTTCTATTCTATTATATTAGACGTCTCTTATACTCTTATTTATTCTCACCTGAATCTGTTCTTAGAGTCACGTGACAGTTTCTTACTTTTCCCTGGCAAATCTTCTGGACTTATATACTGAGATTAGTTCTAGAAAAGGTTATTCTTGCTCTCTTTCTGTTCTTCGAATTTCCTGGAGAATGGTGAGTATAACACATGTTGACTGTAATCCCTATAAAGATTTGAAAGAATCACGTTGAATATCACATCTTCCATTAATATTTGATTCTGAAGTATTCAATGGAATACACGAGATAGCGAGAGCGGGAGTTATTGACTGCCGCTTTCGACGTCCTTTGAGTCTACGCTTGCTTGTAAGACAATAATAGGTGGCAATCAGCATTCTAGCCTTAACGCCATAACTCCCCTACCGAAAAAAAGCCCAACAATAACGCCACCTGCAGTATCAGCATCGGAAATGTTGCAAACATCACCAAGTAAATGCCTCTTCCCAAAAATCGACGTTTCCCCTCCCCATGAGGTTTCTAGCTGCAGCTCTGACATCGTCAGCAAGAGCTCCTGGCCCACAGACACCCACACTCATAGCACCGACACGTTCCTCAAACTGCCTGCTCAGGATCTCGACTACATTTGGCCTCCCGATGCAGAAAGTCTTACGGTGATTAACCTCTCTTACTCCCTCCGACATCACTTCTGCCTTGTCCGCAAGATCTTCTGAAGAATCGTCCAAATCAGGAGAGGGCCTTGTTACATATTGCAGCACAATGAGTTCACAGCCTCTCTTCGAAATTGTTGAAAGCTCTTCCAGCCATGGGCTAATCCATTCCAATTGCTCGGCCGATCGAACGGACCATATCAGAACGACCTTCCTCGTAGAGCAAGTGCCATCAGCGAATCCATTTACGAGATCGCGAACGTGGCTAACTTGGTGTGTTATCCCCACGCCACCAGCAAAAAGTACCACTGTTCCATACGATCTCATATTCTCCAGCCCACCATACGGCCCTTCCACAAAGGCACGCAGTTTTATGATACCAGTTGGCGATTGCCTCGCTTGATGGTAAAGTGCGGCTGTCATGCCGGTTCTTTTCGCGATAACACATGACACCAAACTTCTCTTACTTTTCCCCACGGGTTTGAAGTCAGCTTCCGTGTCGGTAAAAGATGAGTTACGATCACCCGGTTCAAGATCGCTGGGTGCTCTATCATCAACCCAGGCAACACTGAATGGGTGTGACATCCAAAATGATACGCCTGGAATATAAGCATAGATGTGGCAACCTGGTGATTTGGTCCATTTGCCACGAACATCAAATGTAACTCGGCAAGCTCCACCCGCCAAAGCCTCGATCTGTACAGTGGCCCCGCGCCGACAGAAGATTCGAATGAGACGCGTCAGACGTTCCAGTGCCCAGAAAGATATGAGAATGTAGATGAACGGTTTTTGCGGAAGCTCCTGTATCGTGCAATGTAACAGAATGCTTATGAGAATAATGACAACCAATAATTGGTGCAGATGAAGAAAAGACTCATAAAATGCGTGTCGAATAACCGAGATCGACTGAAACAATAGAGTAACCATGGCAACCATCGCTAGAAGACCGTATATCAGAAACAAATCTGCGCGAATATGAGAAGCAAGCCCATGTAATCCCCATGCGTTATAATTGTTAGCGCCCCAAAAAAAGGTATGAGCAAGTGCTTCAAAAACCACAATTCGCCCAACCCAGCGATGGAGCAAATTGAATGTGTCGAACGGAATTCCCAGTATGGGTACTAAAGGGTTGTTCCTAGCAGCGAATATAAACAGAGAGGCCATGTTAACAACAGCCAAATGACCGGTTCTCCCTCGGGCCTCCGCAAACAGCGCTGCCTTGGGTTGATTATAATCGAGCAGGCAGCAGTAGACGACGTTACTGAGGAAATAGAACGCAAGGAATATGGCATGAAATCTTGAAGGTAGAGTCCCAATATTTGTCGTTGACGAGATCTGTATTTCCTTGTTGTGCCTTTTGTGAAAGAGAGGAGCTGTGAGCAGACATCTTTTGACTTTTGGCCAGAAGTCGCCAGGACTGTGCTTCCAGTACCTTTGTTGGTCATTTATAAGTGTGAGAGTCGAGAGAAATCGGAGATGTGCTTGTCCCTTTTCCGCGGCTCGTAGTATAAGAATAAGTAATGCAATCAACACCAAAGAAGCGTAAAGAACCTCACTACATCAATCCCAATTAGAAGTGTGCGGAGAAAAAGGTTAAGGTTTCCAATTTACCTAGTGATATTGTTGAGCCACAGGTTGACGCCCGTCAAGCCTTTGGTATATGGCAGGATCTGGCTTTTTGTGGAATTAAAATTCATGGTTACAAAAGTGGCAGAATGGATTGCTGAGGCATGAGAACTGGCCATATTCGAGCACAAGATCTAGGTACTAAATATTCATAGACCCCTCCTCGTGTACTCTCACTTCTGAACTTTGGACAACTTCTTATCATGCAAGGTAACCGGAATAGTGACTGATGCTAAGAAATCAGTCTGATGAAATTGACATTGGCTGTGCGAGAAAGATCGTAATGATCGCTGCTGTCATGAGAAACAAGATAAGGGATATTGATATTGATTGTCTAATAAGAGGAAAACCAGGGAAAACCGGGGTGGCGGTTGGTATTATGCAAGACACTTTAAATAATCATCGTCTCTTTTCCAGCTAAAGAGCTAGAAAAGTCGGAAGCCTAAAAGCTTGTATCAGGAACAACAGAAACAGAGGCTGATAGCTTCCGTAGAACACATCGCAATGCTGTGTGGCAGAAGTTCCTGACCAAGGTGGAGTCGGCTTACCCACTTTTACTCCCTCCAAAAACGCCTAGAAGCCAAGCATGAAGCAACCTCCTCTGAAGAGTGAAAAGAACACAGATAGAAGCAAGCTAGGCCAGGGGAAAAAGTGGCCTGATAATGTTCCTTTCCAGGGCTGAGGCTATCAAGCTAAACATCTGTGCGAACTTTGCTAACAATACCACCCACTCGGGTACCTAGCGTTTAGTGCGTACGCCAACGGAAGTCCTAGAGCAAACTTGAATGAATTGGGGATAATTCAAGGGTCACTGCTCGACACGAAAATCTGACAGTATTGTTCAGCTCTGAAATGTATTGTTCCAGGAAGTATCATGCACAATGAGCAATGTTCATTTTGAGACATCCAGGCGAGGGATTCGTGTCAAAATTAACGTGCCATTGATGTTCCACATTTCAAGTCCTAAGACAAGCACATTAACAAACAGCGAGGAGAACTAAATGCTGCTACAGAATGCTCGGGCTCAAGCCAGAAATTCTCGGATTGAAGAATCTAGGGTGGCTGCTTTCTTTGTGTGATTACGACCAACCGAATGAACGAACCAATACTGTAGAACAAAAAAATATTTGGACCCCACGTCATCCCGACGTATATCACATTAGAATTCGTAAGCCAGAAGAGCCTCAACTTAAGTCGAGGCTCTTCTGCAAGCCGCTAGACAATGTTCCAGCGCGTTTGGCAGTTTCAGATGGCAAATCAATACTACCAAGTACAATGACATTGAACAAGTATGATGAACCAGATGATTGATATCGGAGAGCCTTTTAGCACGATCTATATATGTATGTGCTAGACTGAAAAACATTGCTGAGTGCCATCGACGATACAGTAAATACCAGAAAGCTGGTTTTGAAAAGATACATTCCTACTTGTGTCAGATTTCAAACATCTCGATAAGACCTTGGATGTTGAACATAGTTTGAGATACGGCTTACACTTGAGTGCCGGCGCTAGCTCTCTTTTTGGTTTTGCCTAAGCGAGGTATGGGAACGCTTTGAAGTAACCGATTTTAGGACCATGACGTACTGTAGAGCATCTTGATGGGGAGATACATGAGAGGCACGTGTGTAAGATGCACACACATGAAAGTCTGGATCCGGGCAATAGACGTGAGAAGCGAAAGATCTTGAATTAACATGGCTCTTCAAAGTGCTGGGCATTTTCCCACCAAGCTAATGATGTATATTTGCATGCCAGTAGGTTTATTCCGGGAGAAATCCTCCTCCCATTTCATCGTCATCCACATCATCATCCACATATTCATCGTTGGAATCGTCACTTTCTTCGTTCTTATCTGCCGTCTGATGTTGGGCATCACTCTCTTCACCCTTAAAAGCATATGCATCAACGCGTTCCTTGATGCGTAGCCCAATAACGAATCTCTTCCACATATTGAGTACAGCCAATTGGCGCCTTTGTTTTCGTTCACGATCTCGTTCGTCTCTAAAGCCATCAATCACGGCCTCTACAGCCTCTCGGAACTCAATCGCAACCACAACCCCTTTGAAGACAGCTGTACCATGACGACCTTTGAAGTCAAAGCCGGTTAGTGCTTCTGCGAAATCAATACCTAAGAGCCGAGCAGCTCGGGAGGCATCATCATCTATTTGCATTAGCTAGTTTTGCTTTCAAGTTGTGCAGCACTTACGACGTAAATGAACACCTCCACTGGGAACCATGCTCGGAACATAAACATCAATGTTTCCAAATGAGTTCTTCGGAATCTGGCCGTTGACTACTGGCGGGGCTTCATATGTTTCTGTCTGATCCTGCGTATAAAGATTCGTGCCGGGTCGCTCATTAATTCCGTCATCGAACGCATCGTCATCTGGTCTTCGCTTTGCGGGTACCGTCTTGACCGGCTGTTCGCCCATTTTTATGTCCCTCCCAAGTCGGTACCAAGCATCTGCACTTCGGGCGATTTTAACGTCTCGTCTCCTGTAAACATTTTCGAGTTTCTTTCCACCCGGTAAGCTGGAGTCGCGTCCAGCAGCAACCTTTCCAACCTCTCGCGTAGCTACAAGAAGCTCATTCCTTTTGAGATGTCTTTCCAGAGCATAAACGGGATGGTCTTTGAAGTCCATGATATTCTTCGGCATCGGTTCCCTGGCTTCATTTGCTGCTAGCTCGATGTCTTCTATTTGGTCAAGATCACTCTTTGGGCCCCGAGAATAAGCTTTCATGGTTTTCCTCCACCATTTATCACCACCTGGGGTGGCCTCAATTCTAGTTTTTCTAGTCTTTGAGTTGAAAGCTTTAGTATATCTTTTGGTGACATCTCGGGCATTACCTCCGTCGTCAAAAGCGACAACATAAGACATGTTGTTTTCACGGTCGGCCATGGGTGGTTCAAAGGCCCGAGGCTTTGCAATCGTATCTGTTACTAGTGGATCGACCGGAAGCCATTTCTGGTGCGCTTCATCAAGAACCTCAACCCAGAATACTGGATAGGGTGATTCTGTTATAGGTTTTGGTTTTGGTTTTGGGGGCAGTCGCGGCGGCGGAGCCCTCATTTCAGGTGCATTGTAATCTGCTGCGCTAGGGTGTCCAAGTCGACGCCTTGGAGACGAATATATGCCAGGAAAGTTAAGGAGATTCTCGCCGAAACCTGCTGGCCTGGGAAGCATACTAGAGGATTGGGGCTCTTGTTCATTGGCATTTGTATTATTCTCTTTAAATGCTGGTACATAACCCTTGGACATTGAAGGTCCTCCAGAGGCAAAGAATAATGGTTGAAGGGAGAAGACTAGCCGAACATCTAAGCCCGCACTACGTAAAAGAGCGCAATAAAGTTGCGCACCGAGATCTCGCGAGCCTTTTAAACTCTTTGCGGCGGCTTTGAAGTCAGACTTATCTGAAATAATTTCAGTATCATCTGACAGTTTGTACTACTCTATATTAGATGACTTTTAAGAGAAGACATTTGAGAGAAACTTGCATTTTCAAGATCTTCTTGGTCATCGGCCCACAGAGCTCTGCGCAACCCTCTGGCCGTAATTGTAAACTTAGCCCTCCAAAGTCTGCCAACCTTCTCCAAACCTCTTTTGAGGAACTCCGTCTTCCCAAACTGTGAAAGATCCGATTTTGGTCTCAGGTCGGCCAGGACTTTCTTGTCTAACAATGACTTGAGCGCTCTCTGAACGTCTAAGTCGTTACACCAATCATTTCTTCGATCAATGTGTGACAATAAACATAAAACATGCATTCGATGAGTTTCGACTCGAGCAACCTTTTCCGCTTTGGTAGACTGCCGTCGGCGAGGACTTGCTCTCACCTTTGCAGGTGTCGTCTCAGTTGTCTTGAAGGTCAATTCAAGATCACCTGTGGGCTCTTCGTTTTGAGGGAGGGTTCCAAAATCGAAGTTATTCCAGCCAACGCTTTCATTGTCCGATTCCTCATCAGAGTCCCTATATGCCGTCTGAGCTTGCCTTTTGCTTGTGCCATCATCATTGGAACTACCGTTGGTCACCTCGGGTCCAATAACGTCTTCAAATTCGAATTCGTCCTCCTCGTCTGTAGTCTTCTGTTCCCGCGGGGGAACTGCAGTTCCAGGCGCAACTCGAGAACCTACCCTTCGTTTTTTCAGTGGCCTTTCAGGTATATTTGACTGCTCTGCGACCGACTCCGCGAGCATTTCTCGGTACACATCCGGAACCGCATTTCTGGCCGTTTTTCCTGCATTTCCCCTTTTATTCGAAGCTCTCTTTCGTATCATCGGTGCTGAAGATTCCCCTGTGTTCTTGACATCATCATTCATTCCCCCAGGCGTCTTCGCGGGACGTCCTTTTCGTTTTGGTGGCATGGCAGTCTCTCATAGTTTTTGGAGAGACGTTAAGGTCGACTTTGGTCGAGGTTATCTTCGGTTTTTGTGTTAGGATGGACTTTGTACTTTGGCTAACCTCGTAAGCTGATCTCGATGACGCACCTCGGAGCGATGTCACATGACCCGGTTAAGCTCCGGATCCATAGATGCAAGTATTTCCCAGGGTCAGGGTTTAATACTCAGCTCGACTCAGTTACGCGCAATAGAAAGACGCACTGACCATTAGGGTTAGAATATATTATTAACGGCGATTGTCAACTTGTCCATGATATTTGCTGCCTAATATTAGTCTTCTACAAATCTCAAGAGTTTGTTATTCTTCTTGGAATTGTCATCTATAAAAGATTCACTACTCATAACTGCAGGTACAGGAAGATTGCTTAATACGATAAGAATAACTGTGCAATCACCGCTCGCTCTCTCAGCTTTACTTTCGTTTTTATTCCAAAACATTCCCATTATTCCTGATCATCTTACATCGCTCAAATTCTCCAAAATTTAATCCTTATCATATAATCCTGGTATTGAATTTAGGAGGCAATATAAGCCTGCGATTCAGCGTAAGACTTTCTTTGAAGAGCAGCTTTTCCAAACCGAGCACCTGGAAGGTTTGAAGGGTAGGGATGAGATTCAGTTGTTGGATTTCTTGGAGCATTTCATTGCTTCTCCCTTGACTAGGAGATGGGAATCTCATCTAGGGAAGATATTTTGGCCGATTGATGATCCTATTCATCGATGAATATCAAAGGATTTGGCGAATGTGTCGTAGCTATGAAATGGAGCTAGAGTTCCTGCGTCTCAAAAGATTATAGGAACCATCGATACGTCTTACATCTCGCCATACTTATTTTCTTTACTTGAACTATACGATGATACTAGGAGCATTGTGTTTTCTTTGCTCGACTGCTTCCCAGTTCCCCGAACTCCATTTATGAAAGTCAGATGCTCCATTCCTACTATTGGATATATTCGCTAAGAAGTATGCCGCTTACAAGATTTCAATTTCGCGAATTTGCCAAGTTAATGCTACAACCACTTCGACGATACGCAACGAACTACTACCCTCTCCACATTTTGTAACTACACAAAACTTCTTTTGGTTCGGTCAGATCATTCATCTCAGAAATTCGTCATACCGCCATATTTCCATCCATCAGCAAATTACCAAGCAAGCTCACGTAAGCCCACCTCAATCTACAGCTCTAGCAACCCCGCATTCATCATATCTACATCATATCTATATAACCAACAAACTATTTTTCCTCATCCCAGAATTCCCATCGCTCTTTCCCCTCAATTGGATATCATACCTCAGTAAAGCTCTATCAACTTCCCTTAAAACACCATGATCGACTTCTCCCTCACCCCCCGCCAAACCGCAATCCGCTCATCAGCCCAAGAATTCGCAACAACAACCCTCCTCAAATCCTCCTCCCTCACCACCTCCCACCCAGACCCTCTCGCCAAATTTCAAGCAACCAGTCCCCTCTACGAAGCCGCCACAAAAGCAGGCCTAATCAAAGCCCAAGTCCCGGAAACTCTCGATGGCACAGGCGGACCCTTGATCGAAGCAGCGCTCTGCGCCGAAGAATTCTATGCTGTAGAAGCTAGCGTCTCGTTAACGATTCTGGGTACCGGACTTGGATTGCTTCCCTTGATTATTGAGGGGAGTGACGAGCAGCATGAGAGGTTTCTGAGGCCTTTTCTAAGCGAGGAGAGGGCCTCGCTGGCAAGTTTGGTGCATTCTGAGCCGGGGGGTGTGGCAAATTTCCTGGAGGAGGAGGAGGGTATGGGGTTGCAGACTGTTGCGAGGAAGGAAGGGGATGAGTGGGTGATTAATGGGGAGAAGGTGAGTTGAGCGAATTTTATCATGCTATGAAATCTACTTTTCGGAGCTTCTGTAACGTTTGATAGAGTGTAATGTAGCTAAGTGTTAACAGTTTTCCTCGAGTATATATGGGCCACAAACTGTGCAGGGTGGGACGAACACGGAGCAGACCTCAAATCTGTAACCTGTCGAATACAAGGCGGCCCACCAAGCGAAGTCGCTATCCTCATCGTCACTCGAGAAGACATCGCCAAAGATCCAGAATCTTACAAAGTACTCAAACACACAGAAACAATCGGCCACAACGCAACTTCAGGACCGCACGTAAAATTTACCAACCTCCGAGTACCCGCAGTCAATTTACTCGCAGCGCCAGGTCAAGGCGCAGCTGTAATTGAAAAGGCTTTCACTTTCTCAGCTGCTCTAGTTGGAGCCATCTCAGTAGGTGTAATGAGAAGAACTTTCGACCTCGCTCTCTCGTTCGCGAAGAAGGATTCCAGGAACGGGAAAGTACCGATTATCGAGCGACAAAGTGTCGCTGATCTCCTCATAGACATCAAGATGCAATGTGAAGCGAGTCGAGCATTGACTTGGAAAGCATGCGTGGGACTGAAGAAAAACGAGAATACTGCTGAGTTGGCCTATGAGACGAAGATTTTCTGCTCGGATAGCGCTGTGAAATGTGTTGTTGATGCTATGAATGTGGTTGGGATGTAGGTGTTCGCATTTCATGTGTTTCTGGCGCTTTGAAAGTGAGGTCCTCAGCTGACTGGGGGGTATAGATCTTCGTATGATGCGGACTTGACATGGGGAGAGCTGTTGAATACGGCGATATGTTTGCCACTTTTTGATGGTGATAATGTTGGCGTTCGAAGGAGACAGGTGGAGCGAATCTTCACTTCTCCTGATTATGAACCTTGGGCATCGACCTTTGGTTCAAACGAGAATGAGTAAGATCATATCCCGGTGCCACAAAGGATTGTAATACCTTTACTCAGGGTTCACTTTTGTACAGTGGCGGTCGAAAGAGTTTGGGCTTTATCAAAAGTCGATAGACAATCAACAGTGGTAGCCAAAATACGTGACTTTCAGTATATATCTTAAAACTTAGATATAATTTCTTAATGTGCGCTATGCACAGCGACTTTGAGGACTTCTCATGTCTTGCCAGGGACCTCTGAAGTATTTGCCATTAGTCCAAAAGCCCTGATTCCCCTGTGGAATAATTCGACAAAAAGTGAAGGCTTCACACTTATAATCTCTTGACAGAACCTCAAAGATTCGACAGCAGAAGAATTTGCGAGAATACTAATCGCTGCTGGAAAACATAGACGAATTACCTTTCCCTACATACCTCTTCAATTGATTCCAATTAAATTCTTCTTTTCAGCTTTAGCATTCTCTCGTAAGTCACATCTTAGAAAACAATAGTATTTCTTATCTATACCACTCTACTCCTTGATACAAATTGTGGTAATTGTAAAAACTAAAAGACAAACGCCTGGCAATACAGTAACAATAGTTATATACAAAGGACCCCCCAGGCATAATCCTCCGTTGCCAGTGAGTCTGCGAATTTTCTGCTTTCAATAGAGATCTCTGGGAATTCCCCCAAAGCTGCGTCAGGGTGTAATCCGCGAGTAACTTTTCAGGTTGAGGCATAGTGTAATGGCGTGTACTTATTACTATACTGATCCTTCGGATAATGAAGGAGCAGATAAATAGTCTGCTACTTACGTTTGGGATATGTCAGGTTCCTGGAAAACAGCTTCTCAGATTCTTCTTGTTCAAAATATATACTACCCCGTTGTATTCGTGTGTTTGGTAATAGGCTAATAGCCAATTTTGCATTGTGGATATAATTATGACCGCTTGTATCCATGGCTACTCACACTTGCAATGAAATTTAAGGGTAATACAGAATAAACAATCCGCTTGTCTAACACCAAATCAAAGCATTTATTCAAATCCTTTGTACACAAGGGCTATTAATATCTACGCTAACAATAGTACAACTTTAAATCACCTTCAGACCCTTTCTACGGGAAGCTCCAGGTTCATATATCATAATATCGAGATATTGTGAACAAAACGTGAGCTCCTGTAGATTAACAGCCGAATCCAAGAACTGATGAGGCCACAAATAAATTTTCACAGACTGTCAAAAACTAATGCGCCTATGGCCGCTGGACAGCAACGACAGGTATCTCAGACCCAGAACGTGTGGACTCAACCGCCAAGCTTGCTATCTAACGCTACAGTACTGGCACGTGTATAGCTTCATCAAGAACCTCGAGCGTATATAAGTACGTTTTTGTCCATTCCCAACTGATCTACCATCAGCAATGGTGGCCCGAAGATTGAAACGAGTAGCCTGAGGATCAGGAGTAAAGCCCTAAGAGAGCTATATCCTAGGGTCTGTTTTCCGAGAATATTTTGACACAAACGCCATATGCTTATAAGCCAGGTCACGGATGGTAATCGCCATGAAGAAATTGCTGAACAGAAGAAAGGAATGAATTCGAAGGCAGATAAGAATTCGACAGTAAATCATACTTGGATTCCTGGAATAGAACGAAATTATGTCTTGCTATGATAAATAGCCTCTTGCACTCTTGCCTCTCAAAAGCGCAGGAGGAAAGCGGGTGATAATCGATCACGAATTCTACTGCCAAGCCATGTACTGTGACAGGCAGTAGTTGTGTCTGTAAGGCGATCTTCTGAAGTACCGCTTTGGTCAAACACATTCTCACATGCTTTGCGAGGATATAAATCCACGAGCCACCTAGAGTTCTCGCTTATCCACCATCTCAGAACTAGAGAACCTCAACATACCTGCTAGCCACCGCTTCTCCACCTGAACCCAAGAACAGAGAAGGCAAGCTCTAACATATGCCTATCATATCATACTAGATACCCAAAAACAAGAGCTCCCCCAAACGACGACAATACCTATTATCCCATACGAAATGGCCTACTCTACAAACGAGAAAGCCGAAGCCGATTCCAACCGTCCATACCCGAGCCTACCTACCTAACGAACTCACTTCTTATCTACCCAAGTCCTTAAAATCGCGGCAACAAGAAAATATGAGTACTTAGGTAGTGTACCCAGTAATGGTAGAGAGTAGCCCAAGGGCAAAGGGAGCGAAAGAAAGAAAAATGCGATATCGGAGAAACAAATCTACACTGGACTCTGTCAAATTCACATGATGATAAAGTCAAGCGACACTGCCCAGGTGAGGAACAAGCATCCCATCGGTATTTCCCAGTCAATCACCATGACCATGAGCCCTCGCATTTACCTCCGTACAAACCCTCAACCTCAGAAAAGAATTAAGTGTCAGAGTAAGTGTCAGAGTAAGAGGAACCCTGACGTCATGTACAACACTACCTATTGCTATAGCTATACCAAGTCCAAGTGCGTACTCCGTACTCGTACACAGTAAAGCTTCCTCTCCTCCCCTCTCATCGGACAAACAAACACCAAAAGAACCCCAAAAGCGACACCTCCATAGACACGTGATAAGTAAGCAATATTCGTTTCAGCATCCCCATTTTCCGGGTCTCAATCCCGTCCGCTCGTAAATCTACACCCGATGGCCCGGCATGGGCAGTTTCAAGAGCACGCAAGAGCTCCGGTCGGCTGGAGCTTATCGTCCTCTTATCGCTTGCCACGAGGTGCTACCTTACCGTGGGAGCATCCCAATTACTTGGTACAGACCCTACCTACTCTACGTACAGTACTAACCCAAGCCTTAAAGCTGATGCTACAGTCTAGACATGTAGAAACTAATTAACTAACCAATCACCTAGATTATCTACTCTACTCTACTTTCTACCCACAAAAAGAACAATAACGAAGCCCAAAAACCGCCCTCACTCCATCCACTCCATCCACCTCAAGAGAAAAAATGAACCACTGCTCAACGACATCTCAATCTGACACAAACCAGAAACCAGCAAACCCCCAACAAACAACGGACTTCCGCATCTCCATCTCCAACTCCAACTACAAACCCAGACCAGACACCTCACCAATCATCCCAAAAAAACAACCCCGCATCGCCCCAGTAAAACCGAAGCAGTCAAAAAACAATCAGCGAGGACGATATGATACTCCGTAGAGTAGGAATAGATACATGACCAAATGACAAGGTACTGTACTGTACTGTCGGGTATGAGTAGGTGTAAAACCTACCTATATGTACTCAAATACGAGCACAGTAGTACCGGTACTCCAGAGCTACTCTCACTACCTAACGAGGCTAGGTATACTAATACTATACGACAGTACGAGCTATAGGTACTTTCTGTACTACTCGTAGGCAAACGTGGACTTCGGGAATAGGCTCCTCCCTACGCCGCGCTACGCTACTTCGCTCGGGCTACGGGAAAAGAAAAAAATACTGCCTGACCTGCCCCCCATTCTACCTATCCCATCGCATCAAATTCACGATGGGGTTTTTTATTAGTATCCGTAGCTGTGGTAGTGATAATGGTAGGAAAAGTAGTAAACCCATCAGCTTTCCATTTCCCATTCCCCATTCCCATTCGCATACCCATTTGATTTTTCTCTCTCGTCTTTTCATGCACTCTTTATGATATCTTTTCTTGGATTGTGCTCGAGCGCCATTTATGTCATTTGTCCTCTCATCAACCCATTCAAACACCATCTCCAGTCAACACCTCTCGGCATCCTCCTACCCGTAAAGCATTCGAGATAGACCAGTATCCCGCGATTTTAATCAACCAAGGAAGGGGCGAGTAACTACTTTCTAAGACTTCGTAGCACCAGAAACCTCACTTCACCACGTCTAGTACTTCGTGAGGATCACAGGCTTGCCTTCCGTCTCGTGCCAGACAACCCCGCATTTGAACTCAATTGCACAGCACATAGATTACAGTCCACCTCATCGATCCGTCTCTTCCATCCCACACGTCCCACCCACCCAACCGAGGGACCTTTAAACCCCAGGCCAGGACCAACAGGAACCAAGAGCTCGGCACCATCAGAGAAGAGCTTGCACAACAAAACCCATCATAAACCATCTTATCTCTCTTTTGCTTCAACACGGAAAAATCACGACACGGTAACAAAATCTTCCATCTGCAGCATCGAGTACGGTTGCTCGTCGTCGTCGCTCCGTCCTTGACTCGTTCCGATTCTCCTCATTCGATAGGGCTGGCGAGCTGCATGCAAGTCGATTCCCTGCCCCGCACCAGTCTCAACACCACCACCCGCGCCCTAGCTCTCCACTTTGGCACATCGTTATCAGCGATAGAGGGCGATACAGCATAACTGTTATTTCTGCTTGAGTTCCAAGTTTGCTGTACCGGAAAGCTACAAGTAAGTTTTGAACACATTCCTTTTCCTGTCTCCCAAGTCTTTGGTCGCACCATTCGATCAAGTGTCAGAGGCCTTGGCGATGGTGCAACGCCAGCTCTTTGCAAACAAAGGTCCGGCGAGTGTTCCCTCGGCGTAATGGGTCAACTTGGCATGTGCCAGAGAAGTTCGAGATTCCCGTCCAGTCGCTTTGTTCTGGTTCCAAATCAAGCTAAGAACGAGCCGCCCATAACTCCACACTGGACCCCGCCAATAAACTTTGGGTGGGGGGAAGCTCCATCAACAAAACTTAATCATTTGGTCCTGAGCTCGACATGTTCTTCCAAGCTTCTGATTTTCTTTCTGGTCCTACCTTCTGTCAGAAGGGAAGCTGACATTGTCCCTTTTCTGGCTTCTAGCTGTCAAGCTATTTGACTTGAACAACGTTCACCAGTTTCAATTCGTTCCAATTTTCCCTTCCCAATGTCGACCTCCAACTCGATCAAGCAGGCTGCCGAAGCTGCACGCAACAAAACATCCGAAGCAATGGGAGCCTCCAAACAATATGCAGAGTCTGCGAGGGCAGATACAATGGGCGCCAGAAATGACTTCTTACATTCACCCTTCATGCGAGGAGCGCTTCCTTATATCAACGGAGGCGCCGCCGGAATGGTAGCAACCGGCATAATCCAACCAATCGACATGATTAAAGTACGACTGCAACTGGCTGGTGCAGGAGCAAAAACAGGCCCCAAACCGTCACCTCTATCCGTCACTAAAGAAATCATAGCTGCCGGAAGGGTGATGGACTTGTACACAGGCCTATCCGCAGGACTCTTGAGACAAGCATTATATACGACTGCACGCCTGGGATTTTTTGAAACTTTTATGAGATCTTTTGCAGTGCGAGCAAAGGCCCAGGGTACAGAAGTTGCCTTTAAGGAGCGCGCTGCTTCAGGCATAATGGCAGGTGCAATCGCAGCCATGATAGGAAATCCAGCAGATCTAGCTCTCATCCGCATGCAATCGGATGGATTGAAATCCGCTGCGCAGAGAAAGAACTATTCCTCGGTCATTCATGCTTTGAGAGATATTGCAAAATCGGAGGGTGTGGTGGCACTATGGGCCGGTGCTGCACCAACAGTCGTCAGAGCCATGGCTCTGAACTTTGGCCAATTGGCCTTTTTCTCAGAAGCAAAAGAGAGACTGGAGAGGGGCACCAATTTGAGCAAAACATCACGAACAATGGCTGCAAGCGCTGTGGCCGGTTTCTTCGCCAGTTTCTTTAGTTTGCCATTTGATTTTGTCAAGACCAGGTTGCAAAAGCAACAGCGTGCTGCAGATGGCACGCTACCATATAAAGGCATGGCAGATTGCTTCAAAAAGGTCGCCAAGGAGGAGGGTATGCTCAGATTTTATAGAGGATTCAGCACGTACTACATGAGAATCGCTCCCCATGCGTAAGTCCCCATTCTTCCAAAAATCATGAAGGAACATCAAACTGATTCTCGAATGCAGTATGATCACTTTGATCGTCGCAGATTACCTTGGATTTATCACAAAGTGAATCGATTCCTAGGTTTGATGAGGGACCATGTAGAATACAGGTAGTGAAACGGGTAGCGTAATTGAGATGAAGTAGATATGGATGGCGTAGGAGGTTCGGGCAAATGCCGATATTCTTGTATGTATCTTTTTGCGGATGAAGCGTTTTGGTCGATGCGCCGTGGATTGGGATCCTTTGGTTTAGCGTGTTGGTATGGCTGGAAGACCATGAAATACCATTTGTTTTAAATTCAATTTCATCTGTTCCATGCATGCAAAACTTGGACATCAAGTAGCAAGACGTGGTGATATCGTAAAGTGGGAGTCATACGATTTTCAATACTTGTATGGAATATCTCAAGTCGCGAACTACGCAACGTTCGTCTTTCCAGATGCCCCACCCATGGCCTTCCGTAATTCCAGAGCTCGCTTGTACGGGGGAGCAGTCGGTGGCTGTATGGGATCCAACGCAACTCGATCCTTTGGCAAGTGATATGAGGCATCGGCATCGAACGCAGAGAGATCGCCACAAGCTAGGAAGGGAGCAATCCACTTTCCGTTCTTTCTTGCGTTCGATTCCTCTTCTGGGAGTGTAAGCTCTACAATTTCATCTTCTCCATATATGATAGGGGATGATTGTGTGAGAGACCAGGTTCCAGTGGTAGGATCTTGCATTGTTGTAGGGGCAACAATTGAGATGTGGGATGCCTTGACCTTGGCCATCTTTTCCAATTTGTTTCCAACACCCATGGGCTCTGCCATACTTGGCACGTAGCCTTCTGGGGGTTGAAAATTGATGCACACGATAAAGGCTTCGACGCTACTGGCTCTGCTGGACCTGGGCTTTGAGACAACCACTCTCTCGAAAAAGATACTCATTTGAGCGTAAAGCAAGTCGACATTTCTTCCCCGAAAGATCTTCGCAACAAACTTTCCTCCTGGACGTAAAACACAAAGTGCTAGATTCAGAGCAGCGAAGAGGAGCTGAGACTGCACATAGATGTCTAGATCATGGAGACCAGTCACGTCTGGTGCCCCGTCTGAAATCACAAGGTCCACTGGATGTGCAGCTTGCTGTGACTTAGTGGAAGGGTCGTAGTCTGGGTCAAGTGCTCGTAGTAACAGTGGTACTGTTGCAGGATGGGTGATGTCAGCTTTCAGGGTAATGATGCCTTCAAGTGGACTCATAGGCTGCAGGTCGATGGCAACAATCTTGACATCCTTTCGAGGCTTCAATTCTTCGTCTTTCTTTTCTGCTGCTGCTGTTTCGATTTCGGGGGTTGTGTCTGGTGCAAAGACCTTTCGCAACATTTGGGATAATTTTGCATCTTGATCTTCCCACGCACGCCGACCGAACTTTTCCCCCTTGATTAAGACTCGAGAGAGGACTTGACTCCAGCTTCCTGGAGCTGCGCACAGATCGACGACGCGTGTAACATCCTTGAACAGGTCAAACTCTGCGATACCAACATCAGCGATGCGCAGCCAGAAGAATTGTTGCAGCAGTATTGTCTGTTTCTCTCACCTTCGTCCAGCTGAAGAAGTTTGAAGGCGCTTCGTGCTCGCCATCCTTGCTCCTTTGCAAGTCTGTAATACGCATCCCGCTTGTCCTTTGAAGATTTACCCATTGTGATGAGATTATCGAGAAGAAAAGATCATAGAGGAGGGGTCAAAGAAGTGGGATGAGGGATGAGGGGAGGGGGTGTATACTCGAGTGCAAGTATCTGGGTAGATAAGATAAATTGCAAGGCTGAAATGTGGGCGGTTCGCGACAAAAAAGGAGACCGTGGAGACTCAGCCCGTAGACCCCTGTAGCGCGGGGCTGCCAAGAGATTACTTCCAGAAAAAAATATCGACCACCAATTGAAGCTTTTGACACGGGAAGCAGCAAACTCCCAACAACAATTCGTGGGATTTATCTGATTTTTGCAGTCACACCATGGCACCAGTCGTGAAGAAACGAGCGGCGCCCTCTGCGACTAAAAAGCAAGGTTCTAAAAAGCGACAGAAGATAGAACCACCGCCGGCGCAAGAAAGCGATGTTCGAAGGCAGCCCGTCGCAATCGATGCACTGCCTTGGAATGAAGTAGAGCTACCAGAGATGTTCGATGATGCTGAGGGGTTTTTTGGTCTCGAAGAAGTGGAGGGCGTCGAGGTTGTGCGTGAAGGGGATCGTGTCAAGTTCGTGAGTAGGAGATGGACTGTGGTAGATGAAGGGTATATTAATCTCCCTTAGGTTTCTGCCAGCCCTGTTGCTGTTGAATATGACGATGAAGAATTTGAAGGATTTGGTGACGATCCAGGAGAATCTGAGTCTGCAGATAAAGAACAAGAAAGCACAGTCGTGTCGAACAAGCCCCCGAAAGAAACGAAGGACAAGAAAGAGAAAAAGGCAAAAAAGGACAAGAAGGATAAGAAGAAGAAGTCAAAGCCGGAAGTGGATGGAGATGAGGAGGAGATTACTGAAAGTCTTACGACTAACATATTCAAAGCCCTCGAGGAGAACGATGAAGAAGGAATCGATGTCACAGCATGGTCCGAGTTGGAATTATCCGGGAAAATGCTGTCTGCTCTTTCAAAACTTGGCTTCCCAAAACCTACTCCAATTCAGTCGGCCGCCATACCAGAAGTACTAGCAGGGCATGATGTGGTTGGAAAGGCATCCACGGGATCTGGAAAAACCTTGGCTTTCTCCATCCCCATAATCGAAAATTGGCTCGAGGCGTATGGGGAGCTAGACGAGGATGAATTAAAGACAGTCCGGCCTCCTACTGCTTTAATTTTGTCACCAACTCGAGAATTAGCACACCAATTGACAGACCATATAATTGCCTTATGTAGGGGACTCGAATCATCACCATGGGTTGCGACCGTTACTGGTGGGTTGTCCGTTCAGAAGCAGCAACGCCAACTGGCCAGAGCTGATATTATAATCGGTACACCTGGACGTCTATGGGAGGTGATGAGCTCAAACATTGAGCTGTCTACATCAATGAAGCAAATTAAGTTTTTGGTCGTTGATGAGGCCGATCGCTTGCTTACAGATGGCCATTTCAAAGAGGCAGAGCAAATTTTGACAGCATTGGATAGACAGCTAGATGTCAATGCGGAAGACAGTATCCCGACTCGACAAACCCTGGTCTTCTCGGCTACTTTCCACAAGGGCCTACAACAAAAACTTGCTGGAAAAGGCAAGCAGGGTCTTATGGGTGATAACGAGTCACTTGAATATTTGCTTAAAAAGCTCAATTTCAAAGAAGACAAACCCAAATTTGTTGATGTCAACCCTATTTCTCAAATGGCAGATGGTCTCAAGGAGGGATTGGTCGAGTGTGGTGGTACTGAGAAGGTTTGTGTTTCTCTCTCTCTCTTCTTGTATGCATCGCATCTAACAGCCACAGGACTTATACCTCTACTCGCTCCTCTTATACCATCCAAATCAGCGCACATTGATTTTCACCAATTCCATCCATTCAGTACGACGTCTGACTCCGTTGCTTCAGAACCTTACCATCCCAGTCTACGCAATTCATTCAGAGATGATGCAAAAAGCTAGACTGCGATCAATAGAGCATTTCTCGTCTCCAAAATCCCCAGGATCGATTATGATTGCTACTGATATTGCAGCAAGAGGTCTCGATATTGGAGGAGTCAATCTGGTCATCCATTACCATCTTCCTAGAACAGCTGATATGTACGTTCATCGCTCTGGTAGAACAGCGCGTGGCGGCGCATCAGGATCAAGTGTCCTACTTTGTGCACCCGGGGAAATCGTTGGCATGCGAAGACTTGTCGCAAAAGTCCATGCACAGAATGCGGTGGCAGGCGGTGGGAATAAATCCAAGTACTACATGCGGTCACTCGATATCGACCGCAAGGTCGTAGCGAGACTCAAGCCCAGAGTCACACTAGCAAAAAAGATTGCAGATGCCACCTTAGCTAAGGAAAAGAAAGGGCATAATGACGATTGGCTGAAGAAAGCTGCCGAGGAGCTAGGCGCAGATTATGATAGCGAGGAATTTGAAGCTGCGGGTGGAGAGAGGAAAGGGAGAGGAACAGGGCGAAAGAAGGAGGAGAAGGAAGCTAGGGCTCTGACGAAGAATGAGTTGGGTGCTTTGAGGGCGGAACTGAAGGCTCTCTTGTCGCAGAGGGTTAATGTGGGGACTAGTGAGAGGTATCTTACATCTGGGACTGTGGATATTCATGAGTTATTGAAAGGGGCGAAGGGAGAGTTTTTGGGGAAGATTGAGGGGATTGGTATGGATGATGTGTAGTACTTGGATACGAGCATCGTAAATATAGAATGCTATTGCCAATGGATCGATCGTATGATACTTGTTCCTGAGTGACAATAGGTCGAGCAGGATTTGGCAATCAGATATGCAGAATTTTGTGTCAACAAAACATAACGTATTAGGAAATTACAGTAGCACACTCGTACACCTTGCACCAAAAATGTCTAAAATACCACCAACTTAGAATAGATTCAATGCCGATCACTTTGGTTTTTGAGTATTATTCTTGTTGAGTACAGTACTCGTACATAGGCAGTCTTTGAGAACTTCGAAAGATTTGTACTTGGGTAGAACGAGTCTGGGTTCTTTTTATCCCTACAGATCTGTGAAAATTGTATCTATACTGCACAAGGCTTAGATGACTGTAAGTATATTCAGATCGTCTGTCCTTCTAAGTAAATCTAAAACTAATTTATAATTAGTAATAAAAAGCTCTTTCTGATTTCTATCCATTTTTCATATCCCCGCTCACGGCGGACAAAATAAGCGCGAGTCTGTGTACCATCATCGCTTAGACTCAGCGGGCCCCGGCTCCCGGTTTGCGGAGCCTTTCGGTCTCGCCTCGGCTCTTTCTGCCCGCTGCAAGCAAGTCGCGTCGCCCCGACCCTAAACACGCTCTAAGCTGAACTTCTCGCGTTAAGTGGCAACACTGTTAACTCCTGCGAAACCGACCTGACTTTCCTGAGAGAAAAAGTCCAGGAGAACCAGCAAAAAGACCTAACTTTTTCCCAACCACCCTGTCGATCATCATCATCAACTATGCCATCCAAAAGAAGGGTCAGCGCACCCCCAAATCGCGTCTATAAATCCGCCACACCACTCCGCCAAGCTAAGCTCCCTGGTGCGAGGACGCGGGTAGGATATGGGAAACAGGCGGGGAGGAGGGTCACGAAGGCGCTGGTGGATAATAAGTTGACGCAGATGGATTTTGTGGTTTTGACGCAGAGAGGGAGGGAGGTGGATGAGGAGGATGACGATGGGGATGTGGGTGAGGGATCCGAGGAAGAAGAGGGATATGTGCAGGAGAGGAAGAGAGGTAGCAAGAGGAGGAGGACAATGGGTGGTAAGTCGGAGCTGGAAGAGAGGGTGAAGAACTATCATACACAGACTATTACACAGTTGGATTGGAGTTTTAATTCGGCGATGGATGTTGAGGATGATGAAACGGTTCAGGGAAATGCGCTGGAGGATCTACCAGAAGATGTGATGGATGAAAGTTCGACTGTACATGACGATTCCTCGTCCTCGAAAGCCAGAAAGTCGACTAGGAAATCTAAACTTCCAAAAGCTTCCAGGGTTCACAAGAAGAAACACCCGGTTCCAGTCCCGAAGCAGGAACTTGACACCCAAGGAAGAGATATCTATGACGGGCCTTATTCTTCGGACAAGAATGCGAAAACACCATTAAAAACATCGCGGAAAAGAGTTTCAACGCCAATCCAAGAGGTGGACTCTGAGCAGGAAGGAGTGGATACTACCGATGACATATCTATGTCACCCAAATTGGAGAAGACAGTAAAGAAATTTGGTCCCCGGAAAGGTTCCAGGAGAAAAGCCCCTATGCCAGTGCAAGAGTTACACTCTGAGGAAGAGGAAAATGAGGTCTTTGTAACACCGCGCTCTTCGCCTGTTGCCGTCAGTCCTCAGAGGAATGATAGGGCCTTGAGATCATCTACAAAAAAGACAAGTACTACAGCCGAGGATAGCAATATAGAAGGACGAGATATCTCCAACGCGCCGTCATCAACTAGTAGAAGAAAAATGACTGATAACAAAGTCAGAGAGTCCAAACAACGTAGTTCAGCTCCTGTGGTAGCCCCAGAACAGGACCAAGATATGTTCGATGGACCGTTTTCATCATCGCCTACCAAATCAGGCAGTGCACCAAAGAATGACGAGCAACCTCTGCCTTCGCGACCTGCGAATGAAGCCTCTACAAATAGTATGCTTCCACCCCCGACCCCACATCGTCCTATTCGTAAAGAGATTCCATCCTCTCAATCCCCAGCCTTCACGCCACTATCAGCTACTCGAACACCCTTGCGAGATCAACCTATAAACAGCGCCCCAATCCCTTTTCATGCAACCAGAACACCAAAAGTAGATACATTTGAACCCCCGAGGTTGGAGGTTAAAGATACATTTGCTACCTCGACAGATGCTAGCAATCTGAGTGAGGCTCCTTCGCCTGTGAAAAAGTCTAGTCCATCAAAGAGTGTTAGGTTCATTATACCTGGCGAGAAGGAAAATGCCATGGCGGTCGAGGACGACGATGATGATCCCGAGGAAGATCTCATTCCTGATTCTCCATCAAAGACGCGGGGAACTGGCTTGCCTCGACCTACACGGGTACCTCACGCAACTCAAAGAGTTGTGATACAGGACTCGGATGAGGATTCGGATTTGGACGAAGAAGAGACCGTTATTGCGGAATCAGGACCTGTCGAGCAGGCCATCAACGAGGAAACCACTGTCGAGGATGACCCCGTTACTGAAGATGGAGTTGTATTAAAGGTTAGAACTGGGGCTGAGGATAACAGTGAGACAGCTCAGCCCTTGGAAACGAGTAAACTCCAGCTAGAGCCAGAAACTTGTTATGGTGATATTGGCCTTGAAACACAAGTTGCGGCTAATCGCTATCTTGAACAAACACGAAAAAGCCCGGTGCCAGAGATTGTAGAGAAGGAAAAGGACAACGAAGGAGAAGAAGAGGAGGAAGATGATGAAGAACAGATCCACAGTCCTACCTTCAAGGAGAGAACCCAAGCGATGGAAAGCCAAAGGCTGTCAACCCAACAAGTGCTTTTAATGGCTCCCAGAACAACGGATTCGGATGCCTTTATCTCTGCCTCTCATTTAGAAGTCGCGGAAATTTTGGACAGAACAAGAGACTATCTGTTTCGAGCGTGGGTACTGCCATCATCAGTATGCAGGATATGGATATATGAAACTCAACCAACATCAACACTCAAATACATGGCCGAGCTAGGTCCCACAAAGAAGCCCGGAGAGGACCTTATGAGTGAGACTGGAAAAGGAAATGCTACTTTCCATAAAAAGAGCAACAAATGGCGTGCGTATGCGATATCTGAACTATACGAACTAGCGGATCCCATGTCGCTAGCTCAGCTGAGATCTAATGAGTGGCTCGGAAGGGCTCCAACGAAATTTACAAAGGTTCCCCCAGCTGTGCTCCATCAAATGATGGCGAATCTTTTACCTCCACTGTGGTCTGCTGCTGAGATTGGAGACGAAGATCTGGATGTAGACTTGGACGAAGATCTGGGCGCTGGAGTTCCATCGCCAGCAGTATCAAGGACAGATACAGAGGAAGCTGCTTCACAGTTGCATCACACTATCAGGCAATTCACGCAACCAGCATTGGTCCCTAGCTCAACCTCTTCATATCCATCAAGTCCACCTATAAAGATCGAGTCACAATACACGGGACTCGAGATCATCGAAAACTCGCAACGTGAAGAGACACCCATCAGGAAACGATATGCTGGGGACTCACATTCCATGGATATAGACCTAGATGCCGAAGTAGAAGAACGCATTCCTTCAAGTCAGAAAGACACTCCTCGTGTTAGTCCACCTGGTCCGTCACAAGCAACCACTGTGGATCTCACACAAACCCAAACCCCTCGACACCGATCTGGCAGCGAAGTCATATTTGAATCTCCCATCCGTCCTGTCGCGCCAAGTTCGCCAATCAGACTTCCTACCCCCAAAGCGTCTGATGGTGTGCAGCCGCTTGAATCGCTTGTTCCTTATTCGATGGGCTCGTCGGAGATTATGACGAAGAGTCAGATGTTGCCGGAGAGCTTGATGGCTGAGAGTCTTTGGGAGAGGCCGCCTGTTATTATGGATTCTGATGAGGATTATGATGATTGAGTATTAGTTGAGATTGTAGTTTGAGATTGCACTCAAGAGCAGGGATTGCATTGGTACCATTCTTCATGATTCCATATATTGCAAATAATTAGGGGAGGCGAAAGCCGCAGTATGATATTATAATATGTATATAAAACTGTACATAGGTTGATACTCGCTTACGAATTGATGAAATACTTTGAAAACAACAGAGCCGAACGTTCACCCATCCCAAGCCCCTTTCGCCAAACTCCCAGATGCCAAATCATGTGCTCTTAATACCTTTAGCCTCAACTCCCACTCTTCCCTTCTCTCGCCCCAGCCTCCTCCTGCTCTCTCTTAATCTCCTCCAACTCCCTCTGAAGCGTCTTAGTCAACCTCTCCAAAACCCACTCAGCCTCCTCCTTCCCACCCAACAACGGACTCCTATTTCCCACCCAACTCCACCTCGCCTCCCCCTTTCCCTCTTTACTACCCGTCCCACGATCCCCAATCCCCTCTTCATCCTGTCCATCTCTCGTTTCCGCCCCTTCCTTCTTCGCTTTCTCCTCCTGCTTCGGTCTGCGTACCGGTTCGCGATGCTTACGACCATCCGCCTCATCTTCACCCACGAGTTTCAGGTACCACGCCCATTCTTCGAAGGTGTATTGCCGGGGTGGTGAGCTGTTGAGATGGGAGAGGACGGAGGAAATCTCGCGGATGAGTAGGAGGTGGTAGTGGTGTTTATTCTTGGGCAGCTTGTCGTTTTTCTTTCCTTTGTTGTGGGCGTTGGAGGTCTCTGTGTTGGCTTTCTCGTCATCTGCTTTTTGCTCTGCGGATTCTGGGTCGTTCCTTTTATGCTGTTCGCTCTGGAAAAGCGAGGGTATCTTTTTATCCGAATTAAGTATATTAGGCGGTGCTTCCTCAACATCCCCATATCCACCAAAAAGCCGCCCACTCGATAATCTACTCCCAAACTCCCTCATCATCCCACCCATCCCCTTCTCCCCCGGTAACACCGTAAAATCTCCCACCCATAGCGTCAAATCCCTGATGCCCTTCACAATCGTATCACCCATGTTACTAATGAGGATCGTAAGCGAGGGGACCGCCAGCAGACTCCAAAATACGAAGAAAGCCTTGCCGCTGTTCGACGTAGGATAGAAGTCCCCGTAACCGATAGTGAGCAATGAGGTGTAGGAGAAGTAGAGGGAGATGAAGTATGACCAGCTCTGGCTCCGTTCGCACCTCTGAAAAACGGCCGCACCAAGGAACCAGAGGGCCATCCACGTCGTGAGCGAGATGCAGAGGGATGTCCAGCGGCGTTTGACGTGTGCTGTGTGTTGGATTCGGCGCATGAGGTGGAATTCTCGGTGGCGGCGATCGCGTTCTGATCTAGAGGTTTTGGAGTTCTTGTCCTTTCTCTTCCCCTTCTTTTGGTCATGAGAGGTCGGTGCTTGGTGAGCTTTCTCGGTTTGCTGGTCCACGATGGGTTTCAAATCTTTCTTTCCTTCCGACTTCCTTACTAACTTCCTCCGTTCCCTCTCCATCATCCTTCTTCCCATCCTCTCTTTCCCCCGTTCTAAGACGAGACTCCTGATACTCCCAATCACCAAACCCAGAATAATAATCCCCGCAATCGCATACGGAAATAATAAACTTCTTCCAAGATGCGTCGTCGGACTTAAATCCCCAATGCCCACCGTCAACAACGTAAAGTCCGCCCAATAAACCCCATCCAAAAACTTCCAGCCTTCGATATGGGCGAATACCGCGGCGCCAGAAAGCAGGTAGGTTAGGAACGAGATGGTTTGCAGCATGAGGGTGCGTTGTGAGATTGTGAGTTGGAATGAGGGCGAGTAGTGTTGTTTGTAGGCTCCGTAGACGGTTACTAGCATTAGGGAGGCGACGAAGAAGTAGAGACCGGCAGCGAAGAGGGCGTAGTAGAAGGCTTGGGTTAGGGCGTGGGTTTCGCGGGGTTCGATTATGAGGGGACGGGAGGCGCAGGCGCAGAGTGATATTAGGGCGAAGGAGGAGATATACCTGTGTTTTGTATTCAGTATTTGTTTATTGCGGGAATCTCAGTGAGACTTACCACCCGATGATTGTTATAGGTTGTGCTACTGTGAAGCGCACTCTTCTAGCCATGTTGAGAAGCAAGAATAAATTAGACATTAGTGCTACTCCTAGTTGGATTGCGTTGACGGCGATTAACCTAGGTGTATTGATTAGTCGTATGTTTGAAAGTTATGGATACAGCTTGGTACTTGCCATGAAGGGTCTGGTACTTCAAGACCATCTGCTTCGGTTTTCCCTGGTGGGATTTCTACTCTCCAGTGTACGGCTAAGGAGCATATTGAGAATGCTGAGGCCATGGGTCCGAATGTACCGGCCATGAGTGGGAATGCTGTGCTTGTGAACCACCATATTCTGTTTGTTTCTTAGTTTGGCTCATATGAGGAAGGTTCAAGTAGAGATAAAGTTGACGAGTATAAAGTAAAGACTGCCACAAAACTATTTCGGTAATGGAAAACAGCTCAGGAAGTCCAGTGAAACCCAATAATGCGATGTAAATATTGTAGGGCTTCCTCACCGATACTTCAAACTTATGGAAATCCTGTAACAAGGAATGGTACAGTACGACTTCGTACGAATCATGCAAACATCGCTCAACCACATTCATAAAAACACCGTAAACACTGATATAAAAACAAAAGACCACAAGAAGAAAAGGAACAAAAAAGGAGATACTCAACATACGCAGGCTGAAGATAATCACTCTCCTCATCCTCCTCCGCCTCCTCCTCATCACGCTCTATATTCTCCACATCCTCGGCATTCCCAGCAATCGGCTCGTCTAGACCAGGGTCGTTCATAACTCCACTAAATCACAGAACTTGATAAATAACCAAGAACCACAAATATATTCCACTTTCGAAACATCTGGAGATTATTATGGAGAATGGTTTTCTGGGGTTTTGTTCTGGCTGCTGGGTTGTTGAATGTGACGTCGTTGGTCACATTCCTTGAATTTGGATTAAGCGAATGCTATTGGTTGGGTGGAATGGGAAAAGCGGCATGCGGGATTTGTGGTGAAGTGGTGAAGTGGTGGTCGGTTTTGTGCCGCTTTGAGGTGAAATTGATGACTGAATCGTGTATTGGCAGCGAACTACCAGTATGAAAATTTGGTAAAAAGAATGCATGGAATTGTTGATGTTTTAAAAAGCGCGCCATTTCAAGATTCGTCCTCGTGAAAAAAAATCTGCTAATCTTCAATAATAACAAATTCCCTGACCAACTTCACAGCGTCCTCTTCTTCCGCCTGCTTTTGCTTCTGGTACCATCTTTCCAGATGTTCTATACACCGCAGCTCCCAGTTCCAAGAATCCGCAATCCCCGACATGTCTCTGATACTCTGTACTTGTTGGTAGCAATATTTTATAGCCCTAGGCAAGCTCCATATCTCATCGATCCTCTCCAGAAGAGCTATAAGCATCCTCTTTTCATGTTCTTCTTGAAATATCCGTGATATCACTCCAAGGATATAAAAAAAACTCAAATCGCCAATCCCTTAGTCCGAAATCCACATATTCATGAGCTGCTTGAATACATTGTCCTAGCTTCCCTTGTTCTAGCAAGCTAGACATAATGTTCTGGAAGCTGTCACCCATCCAGCCCTTGACATAGTCAGAGCTACTTCTAGCAGTTTCTATGTTTTTACTCGAAAGCAAAACAGCCTCTCCGTACCGACCTTGCATGTACATCAAACGTCCCAGCCTTGATGATATCTCAAGTAATATAGTTAATTCCTTTCCTCCCAGAGGTAGAGCGATTCTTAAAAGTTCTTCACTCCCCTTCCGCCGCCTTAAGCATTGAGAAAGTCTGAACATAGTGTTCACAGTCTCTTCATGTTTGGGTCCTAAATTGCTGAGGCATAGCTGCAAACAATTCCTAGAAGCTTTCTCTGCGTCTGTACGCTGGTAAAGATGGCGGAAAATCCTTCCTTTCAAGCGTAGAAAACGGATAAGAACCATGTTGCTGGGCATTAAAAGCTCATTTTCTGAATCTTCAATTGTGGCTAGCGCTTTTCGGGCCTGTCTCTGATTGCAGATTGCCTCAATAAGATTTAACCTGTCCCACAAGATTTGCTCTGTGTGGAATCGAGTGGAGCTGTGGTTATTCAAAAGTTGATTACACCAATATTCTGCCAAATTCCCATCGCGGATAGTACCGCGTAGCAGGAACGAGTCAACCAAGTTACGTATCATTTTCAGGTGTCTAGGGTTTGAGTAGGATAATAGACCAGACGTCTGAAGGTTGTATAGCTTTGCGTCCCAATCATCTATCTCTTTATATGTCGCCAAATAGCTTCGGTTCACGGATCTGGTGGCTGGGGAACTCGGAAAGACATGGACTTCGTTGAAAGGAGATGGAGAATGGTATGAGTCAAAGTATTGTGGTAGTGGGAAATCGAATCCTTCGTGAATGAAAAGACCGCGTGTTTTCTTGTTCGAATGAGAAGCATATGAGCTCCGTTTGATGAGGCTCATTGTGGTGTGTGCTTCCATCTCATCAGCGGGATCAGAAGCTTTGTCGCCGGAGCCTTTCTCCACTTCGAAAGCACTAACGTACTCTGGAAACGTGGTATTCAAGGGCACAGAAGGAGGTGGAAGTTCAAAATCCGGTATATCCTCTCCACATACAATTTTCAAATGTGAGAACAAGCGGGTGAGTTCTGGAGAATTCTCCACATCCACGTACGTCCATGAGAATGGCCAAGTAATATCCATAGGAGTTTCCAATGTTTGAACTTCCATACATTCATCTGGCTGCTCTGGTATTTTTATGAGATTTGTCTCGGGGGCACCTGTTTCTGGCGTAGTCGCTTCCTGTTCGTGCATGTCTTGTTCATGAGATGTTGTTATTGGTGTTTCTCCTGGTTCTCGTTAGAGACACAAGACAATTTCATGGGAATGAAGAGCATACGCATCAAGACTTTCGAATCACAAGTAGCATCTTGTTTCCTTCTTCTGCACTCCTCTTTCGCCATTCTTCTTCCGGTGTGCGAACCATCAGATCGAGGCACCGCGGTTCCCCGATTCTTCGTCTTATTTTTCCAAAATTTCCAAGATTCCAATTGATTGGTGAGCTGCTTCATACTGTGTCATCGTCAGTATCTTTGTATTTAAGTAGAATTTTACACATCTTATCTTGAACATACGTACGTGACTTTGAGTTGATGGTCTTCTGCGATGATACCGAGAATGTTTTTCAATGTTACATTCTTCTCGATGTAGAGCTCGTAAATAATCGGTTTGAGATTTACCCATTGCTCTGGGGAGGGCTGCGGGAGCTTCTTAAGTCTTGAATACGGCATGGAAGAACCGAGTTGACTCTCATAGCTCGAGTATTGGGGGTCTCGTTGGGGAAGAATTCGTCTCTGTTGAGTGTCGAGGAAATTTGAGGAAGACAAGGCTGGCGTATTGCTGTCGTCAAATGTCCAATCCATACCTGCTGCTGTAGAAAGCTGTTCGGACATTGTGGTTGAAAACCGACCCGTGGGACGAAATTTGATTTTTGATTTGACTTGAAATTGATTTGAATTGCTTTAATTCTTAAGGTTCGCAGGAATGAGTGAGCTTTGGAATTCTCTTATACAGTATATAAGGCTTCAGCTCCCGTGATCTGGGCCGTGAAGCGATTGGATCAAATCAGAATTTCCTTGCATACGCCGTATCCAATCGGACAGTTGACCATGTTGAGTCCAGTGTAACCATATACAACAGACCATGGGAGCAGACGCATTCATCTAAAATTTCCTTAGTAATCATGTAATTTGTTAATGCGGCAGCATAAGACTACCACCCTGCTATCCTTTCTGTCAATAGCTGTAGTCTATCTGAATTGGTATTGGGACTCGGCATTAAATTTCGAAGTCTGTCTAAAAGTTACGCAAATGCCGATATCTACACCAAGAAACATGTCCATTTGCTTCTTATCGAGGATTTTCGAATATTGAACTAGCTACTTGATTGTACCTCAAACCTATGTAGCAGGGAGCTTGCCCTTTACAGCACCAGGAGGCAATGATAGGGCCACTTTTCTCGGTAAAAATCGTACAGCTGGATCTTAAAGCGAGTATCCCCCTCCCGGTGGACGAGAAACGTGTCGGAGACCTCCTTTATCTTATCCTAACTTAACTAAAAACCATTATATTATATCATTTATTTGGAACAACTAAAAGTGATTTATCGAAAACGATAGTACAATAAAGGCAATTATTCTAGATATTTTAGACATTTTATTACCTAGAATTAACTTACGCTAATAGTTCAAAAGATGAATCTCTGCCACTTTTCTTGTCCACCGGGAGCTGCCAAACAATATTCTATACATGCACTATAGCTTGTACAACACTAGATCTCGATGAAGTTTCTGAACACCCCTAAACTCTTAATTTCCTCTAAATTTTTCTGTTTCCGATACCATGTTTCAAGGTGCTCGACATAGGACAGCTCGACGGCCCGGGCATCTGGAATCCCCAAGTTAGATCTGTTTTCTTTTATGGCTTCGCGGAATTCTTGTAAAGTGATGGCCAGGCTTCTCCTCTCATCAAAATCCTTCAAGACGGATGCGAGCATATTCGCTTCGCAACCTTGGCAGCAGAGTTGCGATATTTGGCCCAGGGAACACGCAAGATATATCGGTGGGTCCAAGTTCGCAAATACCGAATCCATAAACTCCCGTACTGTTCCTATAATTTCTTGTACTTTGCCTTGTTTAAGAAAGCTACTGATAATGCACTCAAACCCTTTCCGAGTAACTGACTGAAGAATTGCGGACTTAAATTCAGAATTCTGTTCGGCATCCTTCATTGCTAATCTCGACAGCGAGATGGCTTCTTCGTGCTGACCTTGTTCACTCATCAAACGTGACAATTTCGACGTTGCCTCGTTTGTTGTAATCGAGCTCCTCTCTCCGAGTTGCAAAACAATCCTCAAAAGTTCTTCGCTCTGCTTCTTTTGACCGTAGTACCGATGAGGTTTAGAAAGTCTGTACATAGCTTCCAAAGTATTTTCATGTCTGGGCGTGAAGATAGTCAGACACTTCTGCAAGCAAATCCTATATTGATCCTCTTCCTGTTTGAAATTGCCAATTTGCCCTAAAATTCTCCCTTTTAAGCTCAAAAGGCGGATGACGAATCCGTCGTCATTAGGCCCTATCAATTGCGCAAAGTCGTTCTCTATCTCTTCCATCATCGTATGTGCTTTTCGGTATTGCGTGTCTTTATATATTGCCTACAAATAATTGACCTTATCGGACAGAATCTCTATTGTGCGGCACTGAGCGTTCTTGTCATCCAATAGTTGTTTACACCAATATTCGGCTATACGGCTATGAATTCGAAAACCAGTAAAAAGACATGATTCAACCAACTTGCATATCATTTTCGAGTTCCCGGGATTTGATAGGGATAAAATTCCAATCCTTTGAAGATGGCGCAATTTGGAGTCGACATCTGTTTTCGCTTGATTGGGCATGAAGCGTGCTCGTTGTCGGGATCTGGCAGTCTGAGACGGAAAGATATAAAGCTCGTTAAAAGGATTCGGGTAGAAGCATGGAGGAAGATGTGGTGGATGTGAAAAACCAAAACTGTTGCGGCTTAAATACCCATCATATTTGTTGTGTGATATAGACTCATATGAGGCATGCTCGGCAAAGTCACGAGAGGCTTCCGGGGAGTCAGGGTAGTCAGATACATTTCCATCAGAGGTTTCATGTAATTCAGACCCGCTGATGAAATTAGAATGGAAGGGGGGCTTTGATTCGCAATGCAGTGGCAATTTCGACCCCAGAATCGTGGCCTTGAATTCGATTTTTAATTCCGAAAGCAATCGGATGAGTCGACGAGTGATCTCTACTTGCTCGGGAGCCTCTGTGGCAGTATTTGTTTCATATTCTGTCCTGGCTAACTCTGATTTGTCGAATTCGGATGCTTCTACTACTTTATGTTAGAAGATTAAAATGGATTCGAGCATGAAGTACATACACTCAAGAATTTCGGTATCATCCTGATTCTGACAGGTTCTCTCAATCTGTTTCTTTTTTCGACCTCGTGGGTTGATCTTTGTTTTTGTTATTTTGTATCTGCTTCTGTCCCAAGTCCCATCAGGATTGCGTTCAGTAATTATCTGCTTCTGAGTCGTGTACTTTAAGAAACCCCAGGCTTTCAAGCCGAGACTCAGCTGTTTTTGACTACGTCTCCATTAGCACGCACGAAATCCAGGTATTGTTTGACAGAAGACTTTAGGCTTACGTGACGTTGAAACAGTGTTCTTCTTTAAGAATTTTGATGATGTCTGTTCATTTTGTGTCCCTCTTGATATACATCATTTCAATGTCTGGCTTGAGAGCTTCCCATTTTTTGGCTGAATGCTCAAAAGATTTTGATTGCGCGAATTTCAATGCGGATTGATCAACCTGCAATATTTCGGAGCCTGGGTAAGGAAGACTTTGCTGCCAGGGAGCTGTTCCGTCTTGTGTAATGAGATGCGAAGAACAAAAGCTATTCTTGTCTAACGCGCACTCCATGACCAACGAGGGCCTTGTGTTATCTTTTGTGCTCCTCGGATGTGCAAAATGACTTTTCTGAAAGCTGATTTTCTTCAAATGTGAGCGGATATTAATCCGCAAGAAATCAGTGACGCCTTAAAGATCTTTGCGATACAGACATACTATAGTACGGAAGCTTCGCCACGCTGCTTACACACCATTTACAGTAGGATCTTACGTACAGTACAGTACATGTGATACCCCTGCAAAGTGTGGTTTCACAACATGGGAAAAGCCAACATAGTTTTGGGGGCTATGAACGGGGCTGAGTTCCATTCTGTAGAGAGCCACACGTATTGTAATCTGTTGTAGATTACATATGAAGATAACCCAGATAAACTTACGTACTCAAGCCTATATTTATGATGTTTTTGGCTAGACTTTATCAGTGTATAAGATTACCAATCCATTCTCCCTAAAAGATTTCTTAAGTTAATTTCCAAATTTGTCCATCTGAGCTGCCTTGCCCACGACACCTTTGAAAGCCTACTGATCATGTTGCAGGTTGCCAGTTCTTGGCAACCAAATGGATCAATAAATGGGAAGTAAGCAGTACAGTTACACTAAAATACCAAGAAGAAAAAAAGAAACACTAGCAAGTACTAAATATGTGAAAAAATGGCGAGATATTGATATCACTGAGGGTCTTGTGAAGGGTAGAGTAAGCTGACGTTTTGATCAACGTTCTACATTTATACTAAGGCGTTAGGACTATTCTTTCACCAATTGCCCAAAACTCTCTCTCCTTCTAACATGCCTTCTTCTAAAATCTTTTCTTGTGGTTCATACTGTTTTCATTGCGGTGGCAGTACTCTGTTTATGTTTGAAATTCCTTGGATCTTGTATTATATACGATAAAGGACAGAATAGACAGTCAAATTAGGTTAAAAACGCTCTAAGTACCCTAGAATTAGACGAGAAAACTTACTATATAAGTAGTAATTAAGGTAGGTCACATGATTACACGTAACCCTATAGGAATGTTCCTTGTCCTTAGTTATTAAATTATCTATTATATCTTTACACTTATTTTCTCTCTTTATTAGCCTTTTTTATTTATTTATTTATTTATTTATTTATTTCTATTTAACGTCAAGCGGATTCTAGCTCGCGTGGGCTAGGTCCTAAAGAGTCCCAAAATAGAGCAAATGACGCTAGGGGGGTGCCCTAGGCTACAGGGGGTGTAAACGGAAAGAGCTAATTTACAAGAGACAGTTTAGAGAGAAGCTCCACTTTCGGAACAGCCCTTATCCTTAATTAGTTCTAGAACCAGGGTAACAACAAAGGAGATATTTAATAAAAGGAAAAAAGAAAAGAGAAATAAAAGAAGGCCTGTCTATCTAGAGAGACAGATTTTAGTGTAGACTCCGGTCTTAAAGTAGACCTGGCTAAATAGCTCCTCGCAGTGAGATCCAAAGAGCAGTTGAGGGTTCTTCTCAGCCTTTGCTAATAGCTTAGGGGCTTTGTTGTTTGCTAGCTTGCAAAAGAGTAGGTGGAACTGGGTCTTGGCCTTCCTACACTTACAGTTCCCTGAATTGAGTAGCGCGTCGAAGTGAAAGAAGCGAAGATGGTAGGCAGTAAAGTCTCCGTGTCCAGAACGAGCAGCGATTAAGCGAGCGAGGACCTCTCTTGGTAACTGGAGAGACTTGGGCTTCAAGAACCAGGTACAGAGGCCTAGGTCCTTATATAGAACTGGGAGTGTAGTATTCCAGAGGTTTCTTGCTAGCCTGATCCCTAGCTCCTTTACCTCTCTCTGAAGCGTGGCCGTACAGAGTAGAGGGAGGGGACCAGAGGGGGGTGTCCGCGCCGCTTTCCCTGCAGCTTTATCCGCAATCTCATTGCCTAGGATACCTATGTGGCTAGGGCACCACCTTGTTCGTATTTTCCCAGGGTAAGATTGAGTTAATTCGTTGACCTTGTTAAAGGTTTCTTGCGAGGTGCCACAGGACCGGTAGGTTAACTGTAGTGTAGCTTCAAGGTTGTCGAGGCAGATCCAGCACTTTCTAGCCAAAGACCAGAAAGGGGAGTCTAGGGCTAGTTCTAGGCCATGTAAAGCAGCTCTAGCCTCTGCATCATATATCTCTAACGTCTTGCCAAAGGAAAAGATCTTAGTGTCGAGAATAGCCCCTCCTCTTGTAAGACATACGCCACCACCAGTACTTTTGTCGTCCAGGCGGGAGCCGTCGGTAAACACAACTAGGTCGGTAGGTGGGACAGTAGCTAGGAAGTCAAGGAATTTGGCCTTAAAAGAGCTCTTGTCTCCACCAGGGTCAGGTCCCGCTACCTCCAGTAGGCGGGCTTGTCGGTTGAACCCTCTATTCCACGGAGGGTCTTGAATGGGGTCAATCTCTTCAGAGGGAGGGAGGGCTCTGTGAGAGCGGTAAATGAGCCTAGCTTTCGAGCTAGGGTTATTAACACATCGTTTCAGCGGGTGGGCAGGGTCTAGTCGTCTGATCCTAGCTTCTAGTGCTTCGCTTCTTGTTATAAGAGCAATTTCAGAGGCTAGGAGGCCTGATTCAATAAGGAGTACTGAGGTGGGAGTGGTCTTGTATACTGGGAGGGTGATCCTAGCACACTTGGCTACCACTCTATCTAGCAGAGTTAGGTGACGGCCAATTCGGTTGTTTGTAGTCCCTCCTCCCTTAGCCCTGGCTCATCAAGGGAACCAGGTCTCGCTTCCAAAGTAAGCGACTGATAGAATGCAAGCTGTGGTGGCCTGTTTCAGCAGGTAGGAGGGAGAGCCTCTTGTTGTGTTTGCGGTCCCTTTTAGAGCAGTCGCTGCTAGCGTAGCCTTACTAGCCATTCTCTTAACATGGCTATGGAAGGAAAGGCGGGGATCAAAGAAAATGCCAAGCCANCTAGCGTAGCCTTACTAGCCATTCTCTTAACATGGCTATGGAAGGAAAGGCGGGGATCAAAGAAAATGCCAAGCCACCGGAGCTCTTGTGTTGGTCTTATTGTCCTGTTTCCTACTACAATGGATGGAGGCAAACGTATACCCCTCCCTTTTTGCTTTCTCTTACGAGAAAATTGGATAAGTTCAGACTTCTCAGCGTCGAAGGTAATGCCCTCCTCTGT